TTTACCATTGTACCTTGAATACGCTCATCTCAGAACTGGTGCTAGATGAAACTTTTGTTGCAAGCTTATTATTGTCGTGTGCCAAATTAGTTCATTGGTGGCGACTCTACCTATCGGTGATATCCACATTCCAATTACCTGTGAGAGTGATGTCCACCTGTTTGGACAATTCAGCTAAAAGGTTGCGAATGTGCCATTTATCACACCAGATTAAAAAAAAACATTCTATTAACTATCAAGAGTAAAACACCTAACATATCAGAAACAGGAAGTCACTATTATCATTAGCAATGAAAGCACTTGATACCACCTCAAACACACAGAACACAAGTTTCATATTTGACGACTGAGCGACGACCCACTCTCATGCATAAGAACGACATATTTGCATTCAGTTCATATGTGAGTACAGTAGGGAACAACAAATGCACCACAATACTACCTTCACACTTTTAAGTGACGTTACTAACTACTCGCATCTAAGTAAACAATGGGCGTGAAGGCCAGTCCTATAACTCCCTGTCAAGTTACATGTTCACTAAAACATTTTGCTAATTAGCTGCTGTGCCTCAAATGGTGCATGTTTTTGAACAACATAGTTCAGAATTAGCACTGTGCTAGCGCAATTTTGTAGAAGAATAATTAGCATAAATTTGCGAGCAAAGGATAGACTACAAGTTCTACAAGGTTATTTTTATGTATGTTGCGGTGAAGATATGCAGGCTCAAGTGCTCACCATCATAAATACGCCACCTGACGGTGAGCTTTCCGTCAGTTTCGCTTCGCAAAAGAGTGTGGGATAGCTAGCGCCATCATGAGGGCATGTAAATCGAGCTGTCAAATGCGTGAGTTCTGTGATGTTTGGGTTGGCGGCTAGTTCTCGGTATCACCCGCTGCAATCGCATCGCTTTCTACCTTGAACGAGCTCCTAGTATTCTACGATAAGCTTTCTGAACTGCTTCCGCTGCACAATGAGCAATATTTTGTAACCTTCAACGGGTTGGACTGAGTAATTTGGCTTGTTATGACTGACAATGCATGGATCCGGCCTGCAAGAGACTCTCATCGGCGTGCCCTCCTGACGCGGTCCACGTCTTGCAGGAACGCAAGAGGAGTCTGTGTGCGCTGCAAGAAACCAGCATCAGCATCGCTGGGACACATAGCCTGCATCGTCTGCTGCGGTGCCCTCACAATGGCGGCAGACTATAGTTCGCGTCCGCGGTGCTAGGGGCGCCGTTTTTCGAAAAGGGTCTAATAGCCTACCCACACCTGTTCTATAAAAAAGTAACTGAGGCAGTTCTGGGTTTCCTGACTGTGCTTGCAGGAAATTTCTATTTTTCGTTGATATTGCTGTCTCGGGATTCACTTGCGATCGTATTTGTAAGATACAGGTGTGATACACACTGCACATGTATGACGTGCCGAGCGACATGTCGTTGTGCTGTGTACCTTGTACTTCAGCGTACACACTGGCTAAAACAGTCTAAATAAGTCGCGGAAACACCCCTGTCACCAACAAACCAGCTATTACTCTCTATTCCACGAGGCGAATTCATGTGCCAAGTTAATACACGCAAGTCTTCCGTTAATGCAGGTCACATTTTCGTGGCCAACTTTACGCTGGCCTTGACTAGCAGACTAGACAACGATCCTCTGAGGGTTCACCATCAAAGGGCGATGTACAAGTTGTTCTAAGTTGGGCGAGTTTATTCAAATGAAGTGTAATCGCTCAGAAAGACCAAAATGCAGCGCTTAGTGTTGGCAAAATGACTAACTTTATCGGGATAACAGGGTCCTAGGAAACTTTACAGCAGCAGATAGATAAATGCCTTATGCCGGTTGAGCAGAGAAAGTGGTGTCCAACGAACATTGTATTTAAACTTTTTCTTAAATACTATACACATACCCCAAAACCTTCACTAGACTAAATGCACATCTGGCTTCATCTTATACTTGATATAATAAGGTTAAGAATACTGTAAATCAGATATTCTGGACACTGTCTTTTGATCAATTTAGAACATCTCATAATTCAAATCAAACGCCTGCTGTTCTAAGAACTTTGTTAACTAAAGCAAGGTCATTTAAATGATTTAAAAATGTGCCTCTGATCATAAGCCCCCCAAAAAAACCCATTTTCGAAACTAAACATTGAAGCAGTCATTCAACACAACTGTTATGCACTACAACCTACATCTGTAATTCAGAGGAGTTAGCTGCTTTTAAAATCACTGTGCAACACCCATATGCAAAATAGAAGCAGATGTTCCGACTATGCGGTTTGCCGAGATCCTAAAGTACTTTCCTATCACCTTCTCACTTTTTGCTGCCCACTTATAAACTTCCGTAGCACAAGTCAAGATGCTTGCTTCATTCTGTAGGACCTGACTTGTATAGTATCGTGGCAAAGCTGGAAATTGGCGATTTCATATATTGCTCAAAAGCAGCCCTATACACAACACAGAGATAGAAATAGACTGGAATCCCCAAAAGTACTAATTTCTATGTTATAGTAATGCCTTTAACATTTCTTTTTCATCAAAGAACCCCCATTTTGATCACCGGTTCGTCATTTCAAGGCCTTCTGCTTTTTGGAATCGCCTATGAAAACTGCGAAACGAAAAAGTATTGCACCAGTAACACGAAGAAACCACAAGTATGGCAGTCTATCCACCACAGGAACGATGCATACTACGTAGTAACTTGCTTAAAGCTCAGCGCTTATCGTTCCAAGTGACCGTGGCATCACAAACAGAATGTCGACAAAGCAGCATTGCACCACAGATGCAGCGACTTGCAGTGGTTATACACGTGAGCGGGGCCGTCACGCACTACAAGAAATGCGATTGGTCGGAAGTCTGCAATAACAAAACATGATGCTGCTGCAAATGATCATTGAAAATTAGAACGGCAGGTTGATTTGCTAGTTGCTATGGCAGTGGTATGAAACGGAGCATTAAATAGAAACAGGAAGGAGAGATGCAAACACAGAAGACTGAACTACAAAATAAACCACAAAGAACGACACAGCCGTGCAAAAGTTGGCATTTCCTTTTGGCATTTTTTGTTCACAGTGCATCCTTGTTTCTGTGCAACTTTGTCGTTCCATCCTCTTTGCAGTGATGAACTTAAAAGAAATCTACGTACCATGCATCATTCTCATAGAGCTGAGTTACCACTTTGTCAAATTACTCAGAAGGATAGCGTTTGGGCGTTTTGGTTAGTGATTGCTTAAGCATAATGCATAGTTTAGAAATGAACACAGGACCAGACGACGACAGAATTAGGGTGATAGTCGAAGTGTTTGAAACAGCTTGAGCAGATGATCGGTGTGCAAGTATGCGCCAATAGCATCAAAGAGGGAACTCAGAATTTTCAGCGTAGTTCACACATGGCACTCTTTTTCTGCAGCCTGTACTTCCTTTTAAATGCGAAGCATTTCTTAGTGAGCTTTAGCGACTTTGAGCGTATCTATCTATCTATCTATCTAGCTGCCTACGACTTTTAGCTTTCCTGGACGTTTCAATAATGGTATCGATACCAAACTTGGTATGGCATAACATGACTGTATGATGAACATATTTGTCTACTCATAACATGAAAATCATGACATATTTGTCATGAATGTCATGATTTATATTTCATGGTTCTGCAGCTCTTGTGGTGGTTTCGTTCACATGGCATGTTGCAAAATGGGCATAGTATGCATGACGATCACGTGATTGCATGGCGATTCACAAGCGACAGGCTCCAACATGAAAATCATGACATGCGTGTCATGTAATAACATGACTACTTGCCACACTCATGATGCGCTCACGGCCATTTTGCTAGCATCACATATACCGAATTTGGTATTACGGTACATGAATGGATGACGAAGGTACGTGACTAGAGCTAACACGATAAACATGAGATGCAGTGTCATGTAACAACATGATTACATGCTACGCAAATGATGCGCTCGCGGCCGTTTTGCTAGCTTCACATGTACCAAATTCGGTATTATGTGGCGTGAACGCACGGCATAGGTAAATGACACATCCACACGTGATAATCACGACATGCATGTCATGTAACAACATGACTACATGCCACACTCATGAGGCGCTCGCGACCGTTTCGCTAGTTTCACATATGCCAAATTTGGTACTACGGGACGTGAACCGATGACGAAGGTATGATACTGGTGCAAACATGATATACACGAGATGCGTGTAATGTGAGAGCATGACTACATGTCACAGTCATGGCACCAATACATTTCGACGTGTCACGGTGCGCGTGGTAGTTGGCGTTCATTTCGTCGCGTCACCCCGGTGTTGCCACGCGAGGCGCTGGTCCTGCCATTTACTTGCAGGTGCGCGCCGCGCTGCGTTGCTTTGACGCATGTGTGCTTCAGTGCGTCAGGCGTCCCTTCGTCACGAAAAGGGGGAGACGCAGTGTTGTCTGGATAACGCATCGGCACGAAATGCAGCATGTCGCATTTAGCTCTGGTTGCCGTCAGGCCGCGTCGACGAACGCTAGTCGCGCCGGTAGCGCCTGGCGTTATACTATAGGGTTCTTGCGTTTCGCTAACGTAGCGTCGCTGTGCCCAGCGTGCGTGCCCGTCAGCGCTACATTGGAGTATATATGGCCCTTCGTGATGCGCTCGTGGACCGTTTCCTTAGCTCCACATATACCATTTTGGTGTTACGTGACGTCAATAGATGACGAACTATATAACTGGTGCAAACATGATAATCCTGACACGCGTGTTATGTAAGAACATGACAACATACCACGCTCATAGCGTGCTCGCAGCCGTTTCGCTAGCTCCACATATACTAGATTTGTTATCCTGTGACGTGAATAGATGGACAAAAGGTAAACAACACATTCAAACATAATAGTCATGACACGGAAGTCATGCATGGCATCCCATACCTCCACCTCGTAACGTAGTGCTGATTTTAAAGTGACATATGAACATTTCTCATGCGTTCTTCGCATATCATCGATTTCCACTGTACGTGGGGTCTGCCAATTTTTAAATTTTTCTGGCAGTTTCATATACCCTGAAACTTCTTCATAACAAAGTTGCATCTTACACGAATACCAGTTTCCTAAGTTCGGAAATTTGTTATAAATGTATATATAACACAGTACTGCAAGACTAGTTTTTATTTACTTAGTTATAACCGATAATTTGTTATGTCTGGGTTCGTTATATTGAGGTTTAAGTGTATTCTTGATTCTAGTATATGCACACAATCTGCAACAAAAGTTTTGTTGAAATTAGCACCTGTCCTGTCGTCTTCTTGTCCTGTGCTTGTTTCTGCGCTATGTATTCTGCTTAACTAAATTACTCTCCAGTCCAATCTTGTACGAAATTCGACGTACGGCATTTCCCACCGGCAGCAGACCAGCTGCCTACCAGCTTGCTCGATGTTCTGGTGTCTGCCTCAAGCCTTTGCATGGGCTTTGCGCACCGAGTCCAGCATTTGTGCGTGGTTGTTTAGGGCAGCCAGGAGGCCACCCAGGTGTACTGGCGTGGACTCTACGCTGTAGCTCAGGGGCGTGCCTTCGAGTGCAGTCATGTGACCTCCCAGCGAGGCGAGCAGGGCGTTTCCCGCGCAGACGTCCCACTTCTTGATGGCGCTGCTGTGCAAGTATGCATCGGCGTGACCTTCTACGAGCTGCAACACCTTGTAGCCTGCGTGGAAGTGACAAAACAGCTGCAGGACGCAAAGCTCAGATCTTTGTAGACATCATTGCTAAGTGAATATTAGCGAAGTGTTGACACCGACTATGCGCCAGACATGCCGGAGCTGAATACACATGACATTACCTGTGTCTGTTTTCCTGTGCTCGCTATTGTGTCATATATAGGCTTGTGCAAATACTTGAAGGCTTCGAATATTTGAACGAATATTACTGTACTTGAATTCGCACTTAAAACTGTTGAAAATTTCCAAGAATTGAAAAAAAAACGAATACGGTGCATATTAGTCCACATTTAACCCCTTGTAAATGTTGTTTCACTGCAGTAGGCAGGTGCTAACCTATGAAAGCATTTTTTCAAGTGTATAATAATTTGCATGTAGGTAGCCCATTGTAAAGATGGCTTCACTGTTGTAAAGGAATGCTAAGCCGTGAAAATACTTATCCAGGAAAAATACGCCCCGCCGGGAAGCCCCATCTCAAGGTCGAACGAACATATTACTCTCACAACGATTCATAATTTCTTAAGTTTAAAAGCTTGTTATACCTGCATATATACTGTAAGTATACTAAATTTTAAGGCATAACGTATTTTACAGGTTATCACTTGCATTCTACTAGAAGTCAAATCCTGCTACTTCTGAAAGCCGTTTCCACTTTCCTTGAACCAAAAAGTATGGCAATTACTCAGGCCTTGTTTCAGTTTTAAAAAAATATAGTGCAGGTTAGTTAGGTCATGACAAATATGCCTATTTTTCTTTATAATACGTGATATAAAGTATTTTAAGTTTGATTCGAAATTATTCGACCAAAATCAATATTCACTTCGAACTTGCTTCGAGCCTAAAATTCACTGTGTGCACAAGCCTATGTATGATGATTTGCCTACGCGAATTTTCTACTCGACGTTTCTTTATTTCGTGGATCTACCTACATGCATATGACAGCTGCTCCAATGTTCACAAGTAGTCCGGCACACAAACACATATGACACCGACCTTCCACGACACACGTGAATTTTCACTTCTTTGCGGCCTCTCGCAAAACGGATCACGACTATTAAGAGTATAGCCTTCTAGTCTTTGCCACCTTAACACAAGAACGGCCATGTCCCCATGTGTCAAGGACCAAAACACAGCCCCACATCTACATAGCAAAACTTCGGCACACGAAAATGACACAGGAAAAAAGAGAAGACGGGATGTCTCATATTGTATTTTTCCTTGAGCCATTTCCCAGCAAAGTTTCATAACTGATTCTGCACCAAAAGGCCCGATTGTATATCCCACAGTTCCAGTCCTACGGATTCTACTTATGAGTGAAAAATGAGCGAATAGTTGGTACTTTAAAAAAAAGGACAGATTAAGAAATAGTGCTTTTCCTGCTCTCCATTCACATGCCGAATGCAGTCACAAACTACCAGCAACTTGCACAACCTCGTATACCTATGTTTTTGCATTCAGTTTACAATTCCGATGATTTTGAAGGCCACAGCGTTTGACTGCGCTCCCTAATAAGCAGGACATCATGCACAGTGAAAAGATAACACAGACGATAAGGCCCAACTTGCCCAACTGTGAAACTTTCTACGAAACAATGCATCTCCTGCCACAGGCGGTGGCTGCTGAAGACTAAAAAGTAAAACGTACCGCTGTCCGTGCATAAAACTTGAGTCTAATAGCAGTCGCTCTTCTCAGTGACATGGAGGTTAAAAAAGAACCAATCAGAAATGCAACATTCAGTCATTTGCCACCATGAGAAACGAGGCACCGTTGCACCAGCAGCTGTTGTCCAGATTTCCTTGTCCTAATATTTGTTTCTTGCAAAATATCTTTGTACTGTTGTCTGCACGGCACATCAGCATTGCTCTATGAAGTTATTTGATGCATTATAACCTCGTAATCATGCTGCTTTTGAAGTGCACAAACAGTAGCAGGCACTTAGAGCGTTTACTGCATACCATCGTTTTGGGAATGGCAAGTCGCAACACAGCATGCGATTCTTGCATCGCTTGGATACGCCTCGCATATGGATCATTCTCGCCAATTTTTGGTGAACAGCTCGCTTTGCAACGCGGAGACATGCAAAAATGTGCAGTGTGGCCTCATGAGTGGGTCTTATGTTTATTCTCAGGTCGCAACCGGCAATACACCTCACAAACTCACCTGCGCCTCCAGCTGGCACTACTTTGGCCTCCGAGCCAAAGGCCTTCTTGGCCAGGGCCTGTACCTCGCCGGGATGCGATCGCGACACCACAATCGTGCGAGCCTCGGATGCATCGCGCTGGGCGGGCGAATTGACGTTGCTGCCGTGGCCAACCCAGCCCCACGCTGCATGGGAAATGATACCAGTATCTCTGCTCTGTCCACGAAATACACAAAGATGCTACTTTTGCATGTTCGGGGTTGACCAAATCTGAGATCAACACCTAGAACTCAAGACACTAATGCTACTTCACGCGCGGAACGTCCTTTACATGGCATATAATGAAAGTGTTAATAAACATAGTATTACATTCTTAATTATGCTTTAACATCAGGCTCTAATGAGATGGTCACCTCAGATGTGGATGATTCTGCACATTCATACGCACCTCTCCATACATCTCAATGTCGCATTTTCCGTGATCATTTTTATAGCGCTGTAAGGTTACAGGAACAGCCTTGCTAAATAAATGCACTCAACTAACCATGCCTATTCAACGTACTATCACGCTGTTGTGATGCTGAAGATTTCGGCATTCAAAGCACCAACCAAAGGTTGAACTGATTCACTGCAAGAACCAGTGTCCGACAAAACAACATCTAGCTGCCAATATTATTAATGAGAACAGCCCTTGGTCGTTAATAATCTGTGCTGCAAATTAAATATGTCCTGCATTTATGAACATGTGACCATACACTCCAGCGTTAGCGCTGGTGTTTCCATTTTACCGGATTTGCTTATTATAGGACACCATCATATTAAACAATATAGTCGCCAAGTTCTTTGTGGACAACATGGTACTCAGACATGGTGCGCCCATCGTCGTTATTACGGATTGGGGCACTGCATTTACTGCATGCCTAATGCAATGCCTGATGCGTATGACAAATACCGATCACAGAAGAACAACGGCATATCACCCTCAGTCAAATGGCTTAACCGAATGCCTCAACAGAACTCTGACCGACGTGCTGTCAATGTATTGATTGATTTGTGGGGTTGAACGTCCCAAAACCACCATATGATTATGAGAGACGCCGTAGTGGAGGGCTCCGGAAATTTCGACCACCTGGGGTTCTTTAACGTGCGCCCAAATCTGAGCACACGGGCCTGCAACATTTCCGCCTCCATCGGAAATGCAGCCGCCGCAGCCGGGAATCGAACCCGCGACCTGCGGGTCAGCAGCCGAGTACCTTAGCCACTAGACCACCGCGGCGGGGCGTGCTGTCAATGTATGTCGATGTTGAACATAAACAGTGGGATCAAATATTACCCTACATAACTTTCGCATATAATACAGCTGTTCAAGAAACAACCCGCGTTGCCCGTTTCGAACTAGTATTCGGCCAAAAAATGACCACCACACTGGATGCCATGTTACCACTACGGGACAAAAGCAGCTATCCCCCTGACTTAGATGACTTCTACCAAAGAGCCGAAGAAGCACGACATGTGGCAAGATACCGAATACGCCCCCAACAGCGCGTCGATTCTAGTCGGTACAACAAGCGACGCAGTGACGCACTTTATCATCACCAGTGGCAAAGTGTGAATATGGATCCCAGTGCGCCGCCGCGGAACTCTCTGAAAAGCTTTTTTTTTTTTTCAATACTTCGGCCCTTATGAAGTACTTCACCTGTATCAGCGGCGTCACTTATGAAGTCAGATCCGCTGGGCACGAGAGCTCAAGACGCTGCAATCCGACCAAAGTGGTACACGTAGTCCGCATGAAGCCCTATCATGACAGATCGTCGGAAAACGAGTGAGAGAGCGCATGTATTTTTTTCACTGTCTCAAGCATCGGGACGATGCGTCTGAGGAGGGGGATAATGCCGCGACAGGTTGGCCACGTTCAATATCCCACCGAAATCATCGTGGCACGAGCACCAGGCAAGACCTGGCTGGCATGTGCTACGCGTTCGTGCGCTCGGGCTACGAGGAAGACAGTTGTATCTGTGCAACTCGGCTACTCAGACTTCGACAACCATAGTCATTAGACTCGTGGGAACAAGTTCACCCTAATAAAGACGCTTGTTTTTTTTAGCCTGTCTGCCTCAGCATCGCGATGATATCCTTTTATGAGATTCGTTTAATTATAAAAGTCAATATAATCCGTAAAGAAGAGATGGCAGATAACTCTATTGAAGCAACATGTGAAGAGGGATATCATAAATGTGCTCCCAGTTTACGCTTTAACATTTATCATATTTTAATACAGTAATACAAATTACACTGGACTGCATCTCTAGTGTGCGGGAACTGGTAACATATCTAACAGGCTTTTCCTCCCCCGTGGTCACCGTGTACAGCAAAATGAAACGAAAAAGCATCTCTACATTTGGCTTTTGCATTTCCAAACAGTTGCATTAGCAACAGCATGGTGAATGTGTGTGACAAAAGCTCTGCTAATCAAGGTTCGAGAAATGCCAAAAGGTGCCTAAGATGCTGCAATTAGGTCATACTTGTCTTGTTAAGGAAGGGCTGGTGTATGACGCCAATCACCGGAGAGCCGTGCACTGCCACACAGACCATAGTGGTGACATAGTCCAGGAGGTTTTCTGCATGAAAGAACGCATTTTAGATTGCTAGATGAATATCTCTCGAGGGTACTCTCAAACAATCTTGGGCACCAGACAGGGAGAAGCTCAAATAATGGTGCATAAACGTTTTAAAAACTTTCCTCTGCATGAAATGGCAGACAGGCTTTCTGGAGTAGCGTGTTGCAAATGTCTAGCGGCACACAGTGCACTAGCTAACACTGAAACTGCGTTACGATTACTGCAAAACTGAACCCTTTTTTCTTTCTCTTTTATGTATACATTTGCATTGCAAAAGAGACTTATCAAACACTAACAATCCACCATTTCACCACCCCTCTGATTTAAGGGTATGTTTAGGGCAGTCTGATATTCTCACAGTCACCCTTCCAACTTGCGGCATAGCTTGTCAACATGTCAATGCTTCAGTAGAGTGTAATATGTACACGCCTGTTCTTGTCTTCAATAAAAGAAAGAGGGACTAGTTTTTAATGCACGGACTGATAAGCTAGTTAGTACAGCATCACACACACTGTAGAGTGAAAAGTACTTGCAAATCAATGTGCCCCTAGATCATGACAATCATCTTGATTGCTCATCCGGGAGGACGATGATGATAGATAACCACGTTGTATAACTTTTGCCCTCGGGCGAATCTGTGAGGGTCTCCTGTGTGCATGTTTTTTTCACCTTCGCGGTGCTTTGAAGTCAAATACCCGTGTATTCCTGAGTGGCGTCCAGAGGATCAATCCATATCGTGATGGCCTCTGCTGGAACAAGGACATCGTCACCAATTGGGCCTCCCAGAGTGTGCACTCTGGACAGCAGGTTAGCAGCTGCATCGCGGTCTCCTTCAGCGTGCTCCTCGGAGATTATCTGAAACAAGGCGACATCATGCGATTCAAAGAGAGCGACACCAGCCAAGATACCAATTAAAGTAAAAAGTTTTCTTTACACTACATAAACGAAAAGGCCCAATATTTCAGGTCTCACTTAGATCCTTGTTCAAGGATAACTTAGGGTCACCAGAAAGCAGTGTTTATTACATAGCCTTCTTTTCTTGAGGCCGTGGGGTTCCGCCTGTTCTCAATGATGTGCGGATGTCCATTGACGCAAAGGCTCGGCAGCACAGCTGTAGACCAGTTGATGCTGCCAGGTGCCAACTGAATGTGCCAGTATTCCACAGAAAGCCCCTCATGGTGATTGGCCTTTAGATCAATGCCGCAGAAGTTACGCAAAGCGATGTGGTGATTCAACGAACACTATGTTGCATTTGACAGCTTGACATGGATACATTGTGTATTTGACATTATTACTTTGTGTATACGCTTGCGAACACAAGTCTACCTGGCGCTGCAATTGCTCTACTAGGGCAAGAATGGAAGCGCAAAAATATGAACTGACGACACGCACGTAACAACGTGGGTGTCATCACTTTGCTAGCGCTTGTCGTGTGCATGGGCATAGCTGTTATAATGTTGAGGCTTTAGATGGTTTACAAACAAGAGCTGCAGAACAGCTACTGCGAAACAGCGCAGTAGAGCATCAGTCTTTGAACAAACACAATGGAAACTGTAGTGTGGTCTATCGATTAAAACCAAAAAGAGAGACCCAAGTTGGTCCATCTTGACCATACCAGGATATTGTTCGTGGCAAACAGGTGTAATCTTATTTGCATTAGTGCAATAATTTCATATTCCTGCTCATTGCAAGCAAACAGAGTAACAAAAACGCATAATGTGCACAATGCTATAGTCGTAGTAATTGAAGTCACTATTTTGAAGTCATAGTATGTTCACAACACTCACTGGCTTACGTTCCCAATTGTTTCTTCCAAGCCTCTTTAGACTTATTTTTTATTTTAAGGTAGAGGCACACATTCTCACTTATCCAAAGTTACTGGCTGGCTGCTTCGAAACTAATCCCAATATACTGATGCTGATCGCCAGCACACAACATTCAAGAAGGCAGAACTGACAGTACACAAATGGCATCAACTTGCCCACTTAGAGACCACCTGCAATTAAGGGATAATTTCTTCTAGCTGAACCGCTTGGATTTGACAATCAATTCTGGGTATGATTGGCCTGAGATGCAACAGGTTTAAGATCAGCTAATGCATATACTGAGGGGAACAGCGCAAAAAATGGGACGGAGAAAGATTGAACACACGACACAAGCGCTGACGAACAACTGTGTGCAAAATTTATTACACCTGGAAATATATAGCTGAAAACAAGAACAACCATCACGTACACATGAGAGTGAAAAACAGAAAATGATCTGCCACGAGTCGAAAAGTACAAGTTAACTACTCAAAAACATTATCTCTTTTTCCAGGAGGGCGAGTTCCAGGAGTTGCGCTGTTCCCCTCAGCCTCATGTACCAACTAGCCTTCTGCAATGCATATATGTTCTGGCTCCAGGCCACTTGGTTTAATTCATCTCATAACCAACTCATTCCAACTGGTTTTCCTGATCAAGTGGTTCAGTTTCCGGACCAACTGGTTCCAGTTGGTTCTATTTCCTAACCAAATGATTCCGCTTCCTGACTGGAGTGGTTTCCGCTGAGGACCAATTCGCAACCCGTTGGCTTCCAGCTGGTCCCACTTAGCTCCAGTCAAAAAAGCAGCCGAAGACCAGTTGAATTTAGGAGAGCAGATTGGGCACGCTTGTAATGATTCATGATGGCACTTGGAAACGCAAAACACACAAAATGCGCACGTCTTATTTAGTTCCTCTAGTGTACGTATCTAGCGCTTCCAAGTACGCGATCATGGACCAGATGAATATTCCCCCAGGGCAGGGCATGTAGAGTCCGCGACCATGGAAAGGCCCTCACCGAGAGTCCCGGAAAAGTGGCCGACAGGCCTCCGTACATGACGCGGTGGGAGCTGAGGTCTCCCGCCGTGAGCGGGTCGTTGGCGCCTTCGCGCGTCTTGCCCTTGCTCTGCTGCGCGAGGCGGTTGCTGAGGCGCACGCGTCGCACTTCGTCGCCTCCCGCTTCAGCAGCGGCCACGCCGGCGTCCAGCAGCCTCCTGAGACTCACCAGGGCGGGTCGCGAAGTCCTTATCCGCGCCACGTAGATCAGCACGAGCAGCGAGACGGCGGCGGCTAGGACAACCACCATTCGTCCGCTGCCTCGAAGCGCCAGCCAGGCCATTACGAACAACGCGCGCACGCTATCGGCGCCCCGTCGCAGAAGTAGATGTAGTGTAAGCACTCCACGTGGTGTGGTAACGGTACTTCAGACCACGGAGATGCGGGCGCAGCTGTGCGTGACGGCGCTCGACGACGATGTGCTCCGTTGGGTCATAGCACAGCCACGACGACGCCGAAACCACGTGCTTGCCATAAACACGACAGCGAGCGACACACCTGCGTTAAGATGCCTTCGCCGGCGCGACGCTATTGATAACATTTCAGGAAGATTCGCTCCGAGCAGCTGACAGCCATGACCCTGTTTTTGCGGCGTTTCGAAACTGCTGCGCAGCTGGTGTTTTGTTAGTGACAGGGTTTGTTCGATTTGGACCAACGCGCGTTGTACCCGTGGAATCACGGTTCCCGGGTCTGGATACGGCTGTGAACGTGTTCTACAGCATTGTACACGCCATGAACACGGGCTGTTTTTATGAGATTTGCACCGTTGACTGCACACACGGACATGTACTATGTCGTGGCGTGGTGGAGTGGTTTCGCACTCGACGTCCCCGGAAGGGGCGAAGGCGGTCAAGTCACAGAACACCTACCAGGTCAAGTCGAGTCGCTGGTCCAGCCAGTGCAAGACATGGGCGCGCGCGCGCTTCGAGTGTTCGCAAGAGTTTATGTGCTTTGTGCATGCAGTATCCGCAGAGGGCTCCCGGCAATAGACTCGAGTGGCTTAATTCGCACTTTAGTTAAACTGTAACCGCTCGCGCTCATCTTTGCTCTTAGTGTGACCAAAACACCTGGACCAGCTAAAAGAAGTTGACGAATGATGTAGCTCGTGATTTGTTCGTGGTGGTGTCTTATTTGGCGCGTGCACATCAGAACATCGTTGACCAAGTGCCGAGGCGTTGCTCACGTGCGGTTCAGTCTTACGTAGTCGCTGCTAATCGGTTTCGAGCGTCTAGTTTGTGCCCTCGAAAGCCCAATTTTCGGCCAAGTGCGAGCACCGCTTCTGGAGGGATCAGTGGTGAAGGTAACGTACCTTCTTTTTCTACCGATCGACTGATTATTTGTAGTTAACGGGGCTTTAACTTTGGTGGGCGATATATTGCATGCGAATCACGGCATTCGGTGTCTACTGGCGGCAGCGTTCTTTGGTGTTACATCGTACCCAGTATGTTTCAGGTAAACGCGGTACCATAATTCTAGAGGTCGTCAAAGTATACTAGAATGATCGAGTACTAGCTGTTGGACGTGCCGTAGCGTCCGGTGCGTGCCAGCCAGACTTATCGCCAGAGCCAGCCAGATTTGGCCACGAAAAGTAGGAGTCTGCGAAATTCCGAAGTTGAATGGAATATATCGATCATGATGCCCCATTGCTAAGTATCTAGAGAGAGAGAGAAAAGACATTATCCACAGGATCCTGCGTGGGGTAGGCGCCAGCCTCGCAGGGCGCGGTCTACCCTTCTAATGTTCTGGTCTATGCAGTCCTAGAAACACTGGGCCAAAAACTCGAGGGTTGAACCTTACCCGAAAAGGATACTTGGGGGTTCCCGCGCTTGCGGGTCACGAGTTCCCGTTCTCTGCCTGGCCAGGGCCCCCTCGAGCCGCCGGATCGCTCATTTCTGAGATTGGCAGTTCTCCGAGCGAATCCACAGCAATCAGCCGGGCTATCCCGTTTGGTTGAAGAAATACCTTTGTGTGAATACCTTGTAAAACACGCATGACGGCAAATATGTGGACGCTGTTTCAAGCAATTCTCAACAAGCTGTTGCAGTCGTTGCACATGCAGCTAGTTGCAGGTTGCTCTATGTGCGTAGAGCAACGTCTGGTTTACGCAGGAATTTAGAAAAGTATGAATTTGAAGTCTCAACAGTGAATTCCCCATCATATTCAATAACAGTGACTTGCTTTCAGATATATTACAAAAACTACGAATTGGCGACTTGGGCAGTTTAATCTTGCCATCCTTTCAGCACAAAACAATATGACCTCACATAATCTGCATTTATTTGAAGAAAAAAAAACATTTGAATTGTAATAAAAAAAAAAGGGCAGGCCTGCATAGAAGGCGCAGCACAGTCACAGCGAAAGCATGTAGAGTGGCCTTTCAGAGCCTTTTCTAAACACTTTTCGGGTAAACGCTAGAAGCACACTTGCTGGGTATCCACTATGCCATAAATATTCACAATTTCTGCGTAGTAGGCCAGCATTTACTATGCTATCCTTTTTTTCGGAGAAGCGTGGTATGCGCGAACACTTGTAACAAATTTGGGTTGCATTCAGTGGCTGAGGACGATGAAGAATCACGCTTGAAGTGGGTATGTGCCACAGTTAGTAGGCGATAAAGAACGAGCTTTCCTTATGTGTTGGAGCATTTATATTTACGCAGGTCTGGTCAAATGCCATCTCCCCTTTTCTGTTACTGTCAAGAGCCAGAAAACATCAATCATTTTTTAATTATTTACCAACGTTTCACAAGGCACAGGAAGAAACATTTAGACACTCTATTCAGAAAAGTGGACATTACCCTTAATTCTGAAAATATCCTTTCCCTTGGGGCTTCTTTTCTGGGCCACAGCAGCAAGAGTGTTTGCGTTGCACTTTGTGAATTTCTCAAAGACACAAGAAGGTTTGGTTGTTAAATTTTCTTTTTTTTTTATCTAATGAAATTCTAGTTCTTCGGAATTACCATCAATTTATTCATTTCAGTTATAAGTTGTACCTAACTTATTCATGAGTCACCATATAATTATTCACTCTTATATTCTCTAGATGACTGAATAATTATCCTCTTCATATTATAAATTTGAAATTAGTTTTTCCCCATTACAATAACCACCGGTTTAATGGCCAATCCTCAATGGTGGGTACAAGCCAAGACATATAAAACAAGTAAGCAAGTGAGCATTGAGCGGCCCACTCATTTGCCCATTCTCATTGTGTGAAGCCTGGTTGTTTTTTTTTTGCTGTTCTAAAACGCTTATTACTCATATTAACACAATTTCTTTAGCGACCTCAAGCCTGTCTAAGGCAAGTTTGTGAACGAATTCCCGGCGTGGCTCAGCGGTAGAATACTGGGCTGGCACGCAGTGAACGCTTTGTCGAATCTCACTGTCACCACATGTCTTTGGTCTTTCTTATTCAAGTTTTTTCTTCTTATTTTGTGCGATAGTGGTTACGGACACTGGCAGCGGTGGCAGACAACTACGGCGCTGGGCGTGACCCGTGTTGTCATCCCATAACAGCTTTCACTGTGGAAAAAAGTTCACTATGGGCAAATAGGGCAGTCATTGTGCTTTGCTGCTTCTTGAAGCCTGCTATAGTAAATTTGCTGCTTGTGTAAGCTAACCAGTACTCGCAAAATTTATACTGCATGCTGACCACTGGTTATTGCACCCAGTTTGTTAATTGTTTTAGTTCCCTTCAAACATTCTCTCTTTTATCTCAAGCAGCTCGCATCAATGTCCACACTTTATCGCTTCCCAAGAACCCCAATAACTCATTAGAAAAATCTCCTTAAAATGTAACTTGAATTAACATGAAATTGTGATTATGGTCAGCTAGTAATGACTGATCACATATTATCCTATTGGCTGTGACACAAATGAATGCTTCTAAAACACGCAACTGTTCATGAAAGTGATGCAGCATATTGAAAAGGCTCGCATTCTTCTTAAAGTTTGGGTAGCAATTTGTCGAGTGTTGTATGAACGTCCTTGTACACCTTTTTGACTAGGTTGGAACCGAAATCGCAAGTTCTCGCAGAATCAGTCCCTATATGTTAATCCAGGTTGTTGCAAGATAGTTCACACGCATATATACGAAGAGCATCTGGCGATGGCATGCTGGATGAATGTTATCAAATAATCTGTGCATCACTTCCTTTAGTTGCATTCCTCAAGTGTTTATTCTGATATGTCATCATGGTATAAAAAAGAAGTACCATTTGTGGACTTGGAATTTTATGGCTGAAAGAAACCTTAGATGAATTATTTTTGCTGGTTATCAGGGCCAAGCAGTCGGCGAGGCCAAAGTGTATTGTAAAAGCCTAGGAAATGCTTTTGCATCTAGTGAAGAATGATTAACTTAAACGTGGTGTTGAAGCTGCTGTCATATTGTGGCTTTTCTTTCAGAGGCATGGAGGTAGAGAGAAGAGCTATGTGGTCCTATGTCACCCACCTTGAAAGTTTGGGACTCACCCACTTAAAAGCTGCTGACTTGGCACTCGCCTTTCAAGCAGTCAGGACTGGAGCAGTGAGGCAGGTGGTCCCGTTCCCGACTATTTGTACTCACAATGGAAGTACACGGGTGTGCTGGATATTCCAGCATCTTGCTCTCTGGAACAAGCTCCTGTGGGCCGCCATGGCTGAGCTTCGGGAAGTGCGGCCTGGTAGGCTGGCCTTCGTGTCCCAGCACTTTCTCAGACTTGCGGAGGAAACTTGCCCTTACCAGCTGGAGTACACATATGCGTTGATCCACTGCCTGCTTGCAAACCATCGCTGTGTTGTTTCGGTCATCGTCGACTCCGAAGTGCTGCAGGCTTACCCCGCGCTGTTCAGCGATGCTTTGCGGCGCAGCACCTCTCTTGAGCAGCTGCAGATTGACACTCCAGGAATGGAGTTTGATGAGGTGGGCGAGCTCATCGTCGACGTGTGTGCCAACTGCCGCCTCAGGGAGTTGGTGTGCAGTGAGGGTAGGCTCCTGGGAAGTGGAAGCGAGGTACAGGCACGCTTCGCAGAATTCTTGAAAAGGTCGACTACGCTGAGAGTGCTGAGCATCACCAACATATCCCTTCATTCCAACTGCGAGTTCGTCCTGGGCCCCCTGCAGGAGAATTCGACGGTCACCAGGCTGACGATTGACAGTGCATGCATTGAACTCGACAATGGTGCTTCCCTGTCCAAGTTTCTCTCTGCGAACTCCGTGCTTGTGGAACTGACAGTGGTGAAGCAGACCTGGTGTGGTTCGTGCAACGTCGACCTCTTGTTCAAGAGTTTGGAAACAAACCACGTGCTTCGGAAGCTGAGCCTGCAGCGATTCTCGTTCACCATGGACAACACCATCTCGATGGCGGATGCACTGACCGTGAACACAGCGCTTCAGGAGCTCGACATCAGCAACATTGAATATACGTTCATACGACCTTGGCTCGGCATGGCCGGGGAGAGCGATTCTGTCACGAAGGCAAAGTCTATGTGGGGGAACTTGTGGCGTGTTCAGCCGTTTGTCAATGCTGTACGAAACAGCATCTCTCTCCGGAGACTGTTGTTTGGACATGTCTATTTTCGCGACGACGAATTGCGAAGCTTGCTTACAGCAGTGAGGGAGAGTCACTCACTTCATCAGATCCAGTTCTCACAAGTGACTTGCAGTGGCTTCTGCGAATTCGTCAAGCTCGTTGAGGAGACGGACACCTTTGATAAGGTTGCCATCAGGCATTGCTACTCCAATGCCTCACTCTTTGCCGACTCCTTGCGAACATGCGAGAGTCTTCCACTGACAGGAAGCTACAGCTTCAGGTTCCTCAACACCACACATTTGAGGGAAATATGCTCCGCACTCATACTAAACGACAGCATTACTTCGATTAACCTGTGTGCTGACCGACAATTTCTGGAAATGTTTGACGAACAGTGTGCCGAATCATTGGCATCGTACGTATCATCGACGACCGCGCTAAAAGAGCTTCACATTGCCATTAGCAGCGTGGACAAATCTGTCAACAGGATTGTCTTGGCTGGCCTTTCGGCAAACACAACTATTGAGAGGCTCGAAGTATTCAGCGGTGCACTTTATGATAGTGATGTGCGCATGTTTGCCAAGTGGATCCAGCAGAGCAAGACCCTGTACGAGCTCTCGGCGTCTTTCGTGCCGGACAATGCATCCGCCCTCTTCCTGTCGGAGCTGTTCAGTGGCCTCCAAGATTGCTACACACTCACATCCTTGACTATCGCACGTTTCGAATACAGTCAGGCTCACTGGCAAGTCATACAGGACCTGCTGTCTAGAAACTCCTCGCTAACAATGCGTGCCGTCCACTTTGCCATGGGTTCGACACTGAAAAGGTGCGCAGCTGCGTTTGAACGTGTATCATGGCACCCCTTGGTGTACTACAGATTGGCACAGACGATGCCTTTGGACGAGGCGCGGCAGAAGCTGGAAGCAAGCAAGAAGCGACTGTTGATGGACTTCTGGCAGTTGACTGGTGTTGTGAAGGAAGATCTCTGCTGTCACAAGTGTAATGATGGCCGGCTTCAGATAGACGAACTAAGCTTTGATGCCTGGATGGCTGTGCGCAAATTTCTGAAAGTGGGCGATGTTTTGGACGCTTCGTGCGTGTAGAAGATTAATGAGTTAATGCAAATGACCATTCCGAGTGTGAGGATAGCTTTTTTAAATGACTGCATGTGCTCAGCACACTTTGCGTGTGGTTGGTGTGAATATGTTCTGCGTTTTTTAGATGGACAACTGTGTGTTCTTTGGCTAGTCACATTGGCTTAGCAATGTATAGTTATACATGTCAAGTGGGAAGTTACCCAAGTATAATAAAAAGATTTCTCAATAAAGAATAAAAATATCTTGCTCGAAAGCTGTATAGTTAGTAGAAAAAGTCTCATTTAAGAATTTCTTGAGTAGAAAGAAAACTAACCAAGATTTATTTTGAAGTACCCGACGTTTCAAAGCCTAACGGCCCCTTCTTCGGAAACAAGAAGGCCTGAGATGCACAACATCTATATATATGCCTTCTTGCTGTACGTGCAAGGTTAGCCGAGACTCGTCACAAGCCCTAGCAGTAGTAGCGGGGCAATGTTCCTGTGGTACGGCAGATGCTTTCCCTCTGCCTGCTGTATACGCGGAGATTCCAGGAGGAGCCTGCTTGCTTGGTTAACCATTTACATGTGGCTCGCACCCATTATATAGGATTGTCCATTAAACCTGCAGTCAATATGTAAGGAAACAAAGTAAAATTTAGATTATTGTAAATGAATTAATTGGTCGTCTAAGGAATTAGTATAGTACTATAATATGAAGTACAATCAATTTGCTGAGAAGTCCAAAGAAATAAATTTTGAATGAGAATAACTTGTCGATTAATTCTTCTTGCGTCTCGAAGAAATTCACAGAGAGCAATACTGCTTCTGTGAATGTGCTGTCTTCTCTGGGCCACAGCAGTTCCTGTTGCTGTAGCCCAGAAAAGAAGCCCCAAAGGAAAAAGTGTTTTCAAAATTAAGATGAATTTTTTAGGAGTAAAATTTTGAAATGTTTTTTTTTTTTTTTCTGGGAGCGACCGATGAAGGTAGCTTACTTTTTCCAAGATCACTGCATCATCAGGACTGATACAGCGCATCAAACTGCTCCCACTGATGGATTAACTTCAGACTGAAGGTGGAATGACGATTGTGTCTGAGTGACTGGGCTGGCAATCACTGTTGTGAATAGGGTTAAATTTAGAGACACAACAAAGTGGAAAAACTAAGATCTCGTGTGTTGTGCTGTCATCGCGAACGAAATCGCCTGTGTGTGTGTGCGTGCGCATGTGTGTGTAGTCTCATGGGAAGATTGTATATTTTTGCCCCTTTGAAAAGGTAATAACTACATGCTCGCAATGTCACTCTGGTGAACATTTAAATTAGGTGCTTAATTGCTTTCATCACAAACAAGCTCCTAGATAATGTATAAGAACACAACCCCAGTGAAGGCAAGGCACGTACCCTTATTGCAATATTTGTCACAGTGCCATATATTATGCACTGCATGCCAATAGCATGAACACTTTAAATTGTTTTCCCGGTCGGAGAAAAGTCGGACCTGCGAAACCGGAACCTTTACCAAAGTTTCGGTTTTTAGATTCGTCTCATACGTACTCATAATAGTCTGACGTCATGTGGCTGTTGTTTCTAAAAAACAAACAGATAATCTTATTGCATCACAAGCCTCAACAGCTGCTGATCCTTTTGTACACTTTTACAGTGAAAGTCATTGATACAACCGCCGTATTCGCCGCTTTCTTAATAGGCTTGAGTTGGCTCCAGTTTAGCCATATGAAGTCGCAGCCGTTTGCGGCCATGTGAAAGCGTGTGAAAGTAGCTTGACATGAAAGCACGGAGGAAAGGAATGCTGGAAAGTGATTCGGACATCGAGTTTCGGTGTTTTGGAGCGCCTGAGGTGTTTAAGAAAGTTTCTAGAACACTTCACCTGAGCATTCTCCAGTGAAGCAGCATGCGTTGAGTGAAATCGCCCTTTTACCGCTCTGTGAACTTGTCCACACAGCAGCCTGTTCGTGAGGTCCTCGAAAGTTCTTGAGTGCCTTGGAGTTCGCGATGTCGGCCGCTCAAAGCGCGCGCCTAGCGAAAGCTGCGGCAGCATGCCGACTGCCGCCGATGCCGTCAACGCGAGACCTCCTCCGCATGTATGGAATCCGTGCGATGCGCAAGCTGTCCCAGAACTTTCTGCTCGACCCTAGGTTGGCCAAGAGACTAGTGCGTGCCTGCGGCAGCGTGCGCGACAAGCACGTCATTGAGGTAGGACCCGGGCCTGGGTGTCTTACCAGACCCTTGCTTGATCTCGGAGCACGACGGGTGGTCGCTATCGAGAAGGACAGTCGGTTTGCCCCGACGCTGGAGGTGAGTAACGTCCTATGCTACCTGACGCAGCAAGCTGTGTGCGCCTGCGAGTCCCCATGCGACGTCGTCGACCTACCGCACCGGCAGTGAACGGAATAGTTTATTTATGCTCTAGTGACCCGTCTCAGTTATGTATAATCAGGTGCCGTGTGTTGGGATGTGTGTGTGTCTGGTTTTGGGACGTTAAACCCCAAAAATCAATGTGTTGGGATGTGTGAACCGATGCACCTCTTGAATGCTCTTATTAATGTTGCAGCATGTGGTCCTATTCATCTTAATGAAACCGCGCATTACTAAGTGACGAGAAAAAGGGCGCACAAAGCAAGGAGTGTCCTGTGCACTCCGTTCTTCGTTTAGTACCGCGCTGTTTCGTCAAAATTAACTACCACCTACTCGTCCAACTTACCGTCCTACGTCTCGTGTATACTTCTGGCCATATTCTTTCACCTCTTGTACACGTAAATGTACTCGCACATCGTTCCGAAGACTATTACTCCTGCTGTATGACTCTGAAGTAAAGCTTACAGCTACCTAAACTGATAAATGCGGGAACAGCCAGAAATTACTGCATAGCCACCTTTCGTAAATGCTTTGGACATAGTTCAAGGTATTCTCAAACTGGGATTGTTGTTGGATAGAATGTTTCGGCTAGTGGTCTAGCCTTCCAGCGCACAGTGGAGTGTTGTTACAGCTCATAGGTAACTTCATAACTAGCGGGCTTACTTGGTCCACATATGCATGTTTTTTTTTTTCTTTAGCTGAATGTGTAACTACAAGAAAACATCAGCAATACCTGCATGCAAGAAAGCATGTAAAGACTTAGTGCCTGTATTTGTCAACACTGCATAGGCAGAGTTGTCACTGCTAGCTCTTTCGTTTACTCAGTACGTGCTAGTCAGACTAAAGTCCAATTCCATGATTCCCACGCTACCTCTGTCAGCGCTATGCAAAAATGTATCGAAAGTTTTTTGTCGCTTTTGCGTTGTCATGTCAGTCGTCGCCGCTTCCTGTTCGCAGATCCTGTCGGAAGCGAGCGAGGGCCGCCTGCACGTAGTGATGGGTGACATCTTTCACCAGCACTTACAGGAACTCATACCTGAGTGAGTAGGCAGGGAGTGCACGCATTGCAGCAGAGGGTGAGAGAACGTAAACATGAAGAAAAGAGACGTATGGGGCTAGTGCATTCCTTCAACTGAAGCATGATACGATTGGACGAAACAAAAGTAACTACCAGACAATACAAAATAATCATGATAACCTGGCATCAATTACACTAACTTGGGAAAAAATATTTTTTCAAAAATTCCTAACTTGTTCTAGCCTCGCTGCGGTGGTCTCTAAGGTACTCGGCTGCTGGCCCATAGTTCGCGGGATCGAATCCCGACGACGAAGGCTGCATTTTTCATGGAGGCGAAAATGCTGTAGGCTTGTGTGCTCGAATTTGGGTGCACGTAAAGGACCCCAGGTGGTCATAATTTCCGGAGCCCTCCACTACGGTGTCTCTCATGATTCATATGGTAGTTTTGGGACGTTAAACCCCACATTCAATCAATGTTCTAACGGGATAGCATAAATCATTTTACTGTCGAGTTTTGTGGCCATGGCATAACCCCTGGTGTCAGCATAGTTTAGGAAATATAGCAGAAGCTTAAAATGCAGATAAACAACATGTCGTGAAGCCATTATAACAGATAGGGATAGACAGAGCATGCAACTATTTCGCTTGCTGCTGATCGAGTGACCACAGGCAGCAATTGAGTTGTTTTTTGGCCTATTGGAGAGGCAAGAACTAGCACCTTGAACATGATGCGCTGTCGCTGACATGCCAACAGAATAGAAAAAAAAAAGCCTCTTCAAAAGTGCATTAGATAAGAGAAAATCTTTTACACCAGTAAGAGTGCGTGCACCGCATGGTTCTCAGCTCGTGAGAGTAGATTGTAGAACGACCATGTCCCCAGCAAAGAAGGGTGGACACTGTTGCACGGTGCTCTCGTTAACATGCATCCTGGCCTCACATATTCACCTGACTTTGCACCAAGAGACTTCTTTCTCTATCCTGTCACAAAGAGAGCACTGCGTGGGAAAAATTTTCGGGACAATGCAGAAGTGAACGCTGAAAGTCTGGCTCTTTATGACCTCTCAAAATGGGGAGCTGTACGTTCCACTGCAATGGCCTGCGGCATGAGCATGCACCGTCGGCAGCAGTGCATGATTTTGAGAGGAAATTATGTAGAAAGGGAGTAAACTTGCGCTGAAATTTCGTTTCTTCGTCTCTCCCTTTCTTCGTAGCCGATAATGCGAACCTCATGAATGCCGCTTGTAGATGTATACTTATTGCTTCAGTAATGTTTATTGTATCTTCTTTGTTAGCCTCTAACTGCGTCATTGTTAGCATATAACTGCGTATTGCGTTAGCCTATAGCTGCGTTTTTCTTATGGTGCGGTTGTTTGTGCTAATGAGGTGATTTTTACATCGGAAACAAATGTTAAGATTCTCTGGCACGGACAGGGAAAACGCAGCAGCTCATGCAGCAGCTCATGCAGCTCATGCAGTTACTGCTCAAGCGGGTTGTTTTGGACCACATATACGATTCCCCACACTCCAGTTTCAGGTCACTCCCAGAATAACAAAAAATCCCTATGTGAAGATATGGGCAGTAGGCTCTTCTAGCAGAGCACTGATGCATTAATTTCGCACTAAAATGAAACCTGACAGCAAAATTAGACTGTTGGAAGCTACGCTAGTGTGTATACTAATTATGCAGGTGGGTCTACGTGCCAGCAAGAAATATTTCGAACAAGATTATGGCCAACTCTGCATACACACCGCACATACTAGACAAATGTCAGCAAGCTAACCGACCTTAGAGTGAAAATACTTCTATGAGATGCACACACTGTCAGATGCTGTGCTGGGCATGTCTAGAACACCTGGTTTGGATGTGTGCAGCATTCTAAAAAGGCAGACGATACATTCAACATTTGCAGCAGGCCAACATGACTGCTCTACAAAATTTAATAGTCGTACCATGAAGCACAGCAAGCCCTCGTGAGATTTGTAGTCAAAGTGAGCTGTTTCGAGCTGTGTAGGACACGTCGGGTGCCCCGTGCGAAGGCTTGACATGAAGCTGCTACTCACTCTTATACCTTTTCCTCCCCTCATCTCCTACAGCGGCCAATAGTAGTCTTTTCCTTTAATAAAGGTCACATTCATTCATTGATTTTATAATCTCAGACAGAAGGTCCCCTTGCAGTTTGGCTTCTCTACTAATATCTGAAATAAACTTGGTGCAGTCGTGTAATCTGTCCATGTCGCTGGTGTGGATAAGCCTTTATTGATACATGGCCTTGAGTGTGCCTTCTCTTTTGAAAATCAGGGAGCTCGGGGTGTCGTGGGAGTCGGACACCCTGCCCCAGGTGTGCCTGGTGGGCAACCTGCCATTCAGTGTGGCCAGCCCTTTGCTGATAAGCTGGCTGCGGCAGATTTCCCGACGCGAGGGCCCCTTCTTGCGCGGCCGTGTGCCCCTCAGCCTCACCTTTCAGCTGGAGGTGGCTCAGCGCATCGGTGCCCCCATCCTGGACCCACAGCGCTGCCGTCTCTCGGTGCTCTGCCAGAATTACTGCACCACCCAGCACAGGCTTACGCTCAACGGTACGCAGATGTGTTCTCCGTCTTTTGCCAAGGTTGTCTCTTAAAGTTGCACTACAACACCTAACACCTTTTTGAGAGAAATGATCTCACTGTCAGTGCAGGACAAATCACGTGGTGCAGAAATCTTTCAAATGCATCAAGTACGAGAAAAGTTGCAATGATTTTCAAGCGTCTTCTCTCTTCTTTAGTATCAGAAAGTGGGCTGATGGCTACTCAAAGAGGGAGAGGTGACAAGAGGGTGAGAAGATTCATCCCTTTGTCCTGTGCACTTTTTTTTTTCTTTGAACGCGCGGTTTCCTTTCAGTGTGGCAGCGTGAGCGTGTACAAACATGGGGTGGCATCTTGTGCCGGTCATGGTTACTACACAGCTCACAATATTCAAATCGTTTCATAGCCGGGGACTCCAGGTGCATAAGGCTGTAATTTGAGTATATGGCATTTTATACAAAGAGAAGAGGAAGGAATTTTCAGCTGACTATGAGAAATAATTCTAAATTCCAAGCCGTGTGCTGTATTAGAATGTTTCGCTCATATATTCCCAGGAGCCTTGACAACCAGTCGACAGCGTTTTCTGACCATGATCAAAAAGTGCATCATGACCTTTTAACCATTTGTCCTTGCATTTGTTCAACTAGTCTTTGCATCAGCAACGACTAGTTGCAGGGTCCTTTATGTGCACAAAGGAGAAACGACACTGTATGGGGCAGTGCAGACATACAAATGGAGATGGGTTGTGCCTTCTACGTAGTAGGCCAGCCTTACTCGGTTACAACCACGGTGTACGAAGATTGATTGATATGTGGGGTTTAACATCCCCAAAACCACCATACGAATATGAGTGATGCCATAGTGCAGGGCTCCTGAAATTTCGACCACCTGGGGTTCTTTAACATGCACCCAAAACTGAGCGCACGGGCCTACAGCATTTTCGCCTCCATCAAAAATGCAGCCGCCGCAGCCGGGATTTGATCCCGCGACCTGCGGGTCAGCAGAGTACTTTAGCCACTAGACCATCACCGCAGGGGCATAGTGTACGAAGAAGCGGTGGTTCAACGTGATGAGCGAGCATGGCGAAACCTTGTTCAGGCTCATGCCACGCTCGCAGGTGGCCCTATGCCGACAGGAGCCACCAATCACTAAGTGCATTCGTACGATTTTTACCAATAAATAACCGCATCATAGTTTTACAAAACGCTAATGAAGATGTTTCGGCGTGAATATAGTGTTGCAAAGAAAATTAAGTGTAGCCCAGGAATACTGCAGACTTCATACTGGCCCCTTTACTCCAAGCACCATCTGGTGGAAGCAAGGCAAACGTGGACATGGTTACCCTCACGTGCCAGCTGGTTTCCGCTCAGACATTTGTTCTTTCTTTTGGCTAACTCTAAATACTATGCATATTGAGAATTGAAGATTCATTGTTTCTACCTAAAACATTGCATTTGGCTGAGTAGTGATGGCGAAATTCCTGATGAAATTTGTGAGGACGTTCAATTTTCTGGCCTAAAACCAGCGACATAGACGTGGGTTCCTATAAGAAGTCGGCTATCTGAAGCACTAGACAGGTGCGTGATGTCACACAAATGAGTAAGCACTATCGGGCAGAGTTTTTATGTGAATTCTCTGTGGGAGGGACAATGGTGGTTGTGAGTCGAGCTATTTCCTCTTATGTTGTAATCGAGTAAAGCTGAATAACAGTGATTGCAGCATGGCACTGCCAGCACACGTTTGGAAATTAAGGGAGCTTGGCACATCATGAGCCTTGTTACCGAGTGAGTAGTGTTCACCCATGGGTGAACTCTTGCTAACGGGATTGCACTTTGAATGTAATGTTAATGAAGGCACACAGTCACTTTAATGAGCCATGTGATCTGGGAGGAAAAAAAACTGGCCACGTATCTGCACGTTTCGCTGCAAATGTCGTCGAAAAATGCTAGTCTTCTGCCGGCCATCTTTTGTGCATAGCGTTGCATTTTCAGCACAGCCTAAGAAACCATAAGGTCTTTAGAAATATGCATCTATGTATTTTTTAGTGAAGCGACACACCACGTAGTACTTACGTATCGATGTTTCATTTCAAGTTTGTGTGATCTTTGCTTTTTGATCGACAATGTTCACAAGTATGAGTGCAGACACTAGTGAAAGATGGCTCGGCATTGAACAAGTACATAAACATTGGCTGGATTGCTGAATCGTTTCATGTGTCTGACAGCGAGAACGACAGACCAAAATTTCTGCGTTCAAGTATCCCAAAATAGACTATCGTCTTTAAAAAAAGAGGCCCCAACTTTTTCTCTTGTTTGTTTTCCCACATTTAGTGCTGTTTTCATTTTTGCAACTCTCCTACCTTTTTTTAATTTTCCCATAAATGGAAAAGCAGGCGCACTTAGAAGTCTCTTCCTTTTTAGGCTTAGCACTCAGAGCAACATGTGGCAGACATCATGTGACATTTATGCCAGGTCCCATCCACCTCTTCTTTCTGTGTCTGCACGGTTTTATGAATATGAAACTTCGCCACTTGCTGAATGCATCAGGGCTTGGCAGAGCTGCTGCCCTGTGAAAAAGAGCAAAAAGAAGCTGCCGCGTTGTAGGAAGGCAGAGACCCATTGTGTGTATTTGCATGATACCCTGGGCAGATAATTGGGTGGGGATTAAAATAAAAAATTTCGTCCAAGAGTATAGGAAAGGGAAGACAAAAATAAATTTGGCGTGTAAATTGGATAACGCTTCCTGGGGGTCAGATAATCGTGAAAACTTCAGGCCTGGCTACGACATGAACAGAATTTTTGTTGACTGCATTGAAAAACATTATTATTAGTGGGCTGAAGCTGAAGATAATGAAGCTGAAAATAACTTGCTGCCAGCAGAGATAGAACCTGCAACCTTAGAATTTGAAGGTTGCTGGTACGGTCTTCCACCCGGGCCCTCTTGGCTGCACTGCGACGGTGTGCCCTCGCCTCAGCGGTCTGACGCACATTCATCTTGTGCATGCGCATGCTGTCTCGGCGGTCGCTGAGGGTAACCAGGGCCTCCGAAGGAAGCACCCCAAGCTCTTCCAGCACCTTTTCAAAGCTCGCGTGGCCCCGGTTGAACCACAGGACTGCAATGGCTGTGGCTGTTTCCACAGCAGTCCGGGAAGCAAACCGGGTCTTTGGACACAGCAGCCATATTTTGCTGTTCAGGGACTCGGCCGCGTTCTGTGTCTTGCCGTGGAGGCACCGGGCAAGCAGCTTCGCATCTGTGAGACGCTTGTAGATTGGGAGGACTGCCAAACCCTGGGCCCTTGGTCAGGAGGGGGGTGTGGCACGGTGCAGGCTGGCCCTGCGCCTCAGCACGTCGGTGCTTGCACCACGAGTCTGGGCCTGCAGGACAGAACTTGTGACTTCCAGCACCGTCTGTTGAGCACGAGTGCAAACATGAGGCCCATATGGCAGTGTACATCTTGTGGACATTTCCCCGATTGTTCACAATGGCCACCTGAAAGTAAGTTTGAAGCTTCTGGATGGTGGTCTCCTTCAGCTTCTCCCCTCGTGGAAGTGGCGTTGGCAGCTTCCGCAGGCCGGTGCCCAGACGTTTCGCCACGTGGTTGGTGCACTCCTCTTTTTCAATTGGAGTGTCAGGGTACACGTTGGCATCACAGACCCCGTTGTAGGCCTTGCTGTCTCCATCGCTTAGGAAGATGGTGAACCGCAGGGGTGTCTCATAGTCCACAGTCCTCTGCCAAATGCGCACTGCAGCTTCGGCCTCCATGGCATGCGAAGAACAGTCGCAATTCTTCTCACAAACGGGATGATGAAACGCCTGCCATGTTTCTTCATCGCCTCCCATGTCGTTATGCAAACTCCACGCCAGGCAGAAGTTGGAAAGCACTTCATAGTCCAGGCACAAACCAGTGTCCAAGGACACTACAGTTCCCACACCATTGTGGCTTTTGTGGCCTCTTTTTTGCCATGTGCCGTCAAACATGACTGGCACGTCACTGTTACCAGCCACCTCTTTGGTGACGCTGCGTGCCCTTTGCATGTTTTCACAGACAGCCTTCACTGCCGCACTGTGAATCTTTTTGCCGATAGCATGGAAGGTCTTATGGTGCATAGGGTTTGGCAATCCAACTACTGCACAAAATCGTGAAAGTTGCTCATGCCCGATACCGACGGCACGCGCTGCAAGCACCACTTTCAGGTTCACGGCAAAGGCGTCACGCGAACTCCCGCTGTCGTAGCTTCTGCTTGCACCGCGGCCGCCATCTGACGCGACCCGCTTCGACGAGTACGCGGACGAAAGGATGCTCTCCGAGCACTCCGCATTCTCGCAGTGTAGCTCCAGAAACGCCGAAAGGCCTTTCCGCTTTTTATTCGGTGCCCGAACTGCGAGTTTACTCTCGTGACAAACGGGGCATGCCGCGCCTGCGACGACGGCCGTCAATGCACCCAACTCGCACAGCACTACGCTTTCGGCACGATCGGTATTCGGCCTGACGTCGTTTTCGAATAACGCGATCTTTTTCTGCGATGCACTCACAAAATTCACTGCAGCGTTGATCTCGTCGTCGCAGTTGCCATGGTCGACGTTGCCGTGGTCGATGTTAGGCCTACCGGCCGCTGGCCCGTCGCGGACATTTTCGTTGGCGGTGGCTTTCTTGTACGTCCTCCGCCGCTTCCCTCTGAACTTGTTCTTACTTCTGTATTTCCGATGGTCGGCAACGGCCTTTTTCGGGCTTGCCATCGCACGAAAACAGCGAAAAATAACTCCGGAAAACAGTGAAGCGAACTACGGCAAGAAAACACGGGTGCTGTCAGCCAATGGCGGCCCTGCGTTAGTGGCGCGCAGTTTGAAACGGCGGGAAAAGACTGTTTTTGTTGCTTTTTTTTTAGATTTTTCGTGAACGTACGAGACTTCAAGAACCGGGATCGTGGAGAGTAAGGACAACTCTACACGAGCCAGCGGCCGCAATATGGCGGACAGCTCTCTTCGCGGCCCCGCGAGCACGCGAACAGCAGCCCGTTTTGTGTAAATTTCGTGATGCCGCGCGTCACTGCCGCTCACTCAGACGCGTTTTTCACTGACTTCTGATGCTTATTTCGCTGTGATATTTTCAGATGTCAAAATATAATGTATAAAGATGATAAAGCAACAAAAAACAGAAAAGGTGAAATTTGGAAAAAAAACGCGACTTTTCGACCCGCGTCTCCCCTTCAACGCGGTGAGCGAGCATGGCGAAACCTTGTTGAGGCTTATGCCACGCTCGCAGGTGGCCTTATGCCGACAGGAGCCACCAATCACTAAGTGGATTCGTACGATTTTTACCAATAAATAACCGCATCATAGTTTTACAAAACGCTAATGAAGATGTTTCGAGGTGAAACATAGTGTTGCAAAGAAAATGAAGTGTAGCCCAGGAATACTGCAGACTTTATACTGGCCCCTTTGCTCCAAGCACGATCTGGTGGAAGCAAGGCAAACGTGGACATGGTTACCCTCACGTGCCAGCTGGTTTCCGCTCAGACATTTGTTCTTTCTTTTGGCTAACTCTAAATACTATACATATATAGAATTGAATATTCATTGTTTCTACCTAAAACATTGCATTTGGCTGAGTAGTGATGGCAGAATCCCTGATGAAATTTGTCAGGACGTTCAATTTTCTGGCCTAAAACAGGCGACATAGACGAGGGTTCTTATAAGAAGTCGGCTATCTGAAGCACTAGACAGGTGCGTGATGTCACACAAATAAGTAAGCACTATCGGACAGAGTTTTTATGCGAATTCTCTGTGGGAGGGACAATGGTGGTTGTGAGTCGAGCTATTTCCTCTTAAGTTGTAATCGAGTAAAGCTGAATAACAGTGATTGCAGCATGGCACTGCCAGCACACATTTGGGAATTGAGGGAGCTTGGCACATCATGAGCCACGTTACCGAGTGAGTAGTGTTCACCCATGGGTGAACTCTTGCTAACGGGATTGCACTTTGAATGTAATGTTGATGAAGGCACACAGTCACTTTAATGAGCCATGTGATCTGAGAGGAAAAAAAACTGGCCACGTATCTGCATGTTTCGCTGCAAATTGTCGTCGAAAAATGCTAGTCTTCTGCCGGCCATCTTTTGTGCATAGCGTTGCATTTTCAGCACAGCCTAAGAAACCATAAGGTCTTTAGAAATATGCATCTATGTATTTTTTAGTGAAGCGACACACCGCCTAGTACTTACGTATCGATGTTTCATTTCAAGTTTGTGTGATCTTTGCTTTTTGATCGACAATGTTCACAAGTATGAGTGCAGACACTAGTGAAAGATGGCTCGGCATTGAACAAGTAGATAAACATTGGCTGGATTGCTGAATCGTTTCATGTGTCTGACAGCGAGAACGACAGACCAAAATTTCTGCGTTCAAGTATCCCAAAATAGACTATCGTCTTTAAAAAAAGAGGCCCCAACTTTTTCTCTTGTTTGTTTTCCCACATTTAGTGCTGTTTTCATTTTTGCAACTCTCCTACCTTTTTTTAATTTTCCCATAAATGGAAAAGCAGGCACACTTAGAAGTCTCTTCCTTCTTAGGCTTAGCACTCAGAGCAACATGTGGCAGACATCATGTGACATTTATGCCAGGTCCCATCCACCTCTTCTTTCTGTGTCTGCACGGTTTTATGAATATGAAACTTCGCCACTTGCTGAATGCATCAGGGCTTGGCAGAACTGCTGCCCTGTGAAAAAGAGCAAAAAGAAGCTGCCGCATTGTAGGAGGGCAGAGACCCATTGTGTGTATTTGCATGATACCCTGGGTAGGTAATTGGGTGGGGATTAAAATAAAAAATTTCCTCCAAGAGTATAGGAAAGGGAAGACAAAAATAAATTTGGTGTGTAAATTGGATAACGCTTCCTGGGGGTCAGATAACCGTGAAAACTTCAGGCCTGGCTACGACAGGAACAGAATTTTTGTTGACTACGTACATTGAAAAACATTAATATTAGTGGGCTGAAGCTGAAGATAATGAAGCTGAAAATAACTTGCTGCCAGCAGAGATAGAACCTGCAACCTTAGAATTTGAAGGTTGCTGGTACGGTCTCTGCTGGCGGCAAATTATCTTTTCGTCCACGTTACTTTCTTGGCATATTGTAATTACTACAGACAATATCTTTGGCACTTTCCTCGGCATTGCTGTCTGTTAAAAGCGCTGAAATTCGAGCGAGTTTGTGCTTGAACATAGTCTGTCTGGTAGTTCTCATCAATACTGTGTGTATAAATAAAACAAAAAAAGACCCTTTGAAAATTTTGAGTGGCTCTAGTTGGTATGACTTAACCTGACAACAACTTTATTTAAGTCTTGAGCGACAGATATTTAGGAAAGCTGTAGCCCCCCCTCCCCCCCATATCAAGTCGGCTCCACCCATGATGGCACCGGAAGTCAAAGTTTCGTCGCGATGTCATGGGCCCTGTGGATGGCCTTGAGTTAAATGTGAAGAATGCTGACCTTCAGAGATGCATCTCAAAGCTTGTTCGTGATGGGTGAAAAGGCATTAAGGGCTGGACACAGCCAGACCACCTAATCGAAAGAATGCGAGTCATGGCCATATTTGGGGTGTGTTTGTGAATGGTTGGTGTCTGTCCTACTAAGGGATCGAGGAGTGGGACACGAACGGGTTTGCATTTGTCTGAATGAACGAAATTATTCTTCGAATACCTCGACTCGATGTGAATGTGTTCCTTCGTGCAGGAAGCAGTTTCGTGCCTCCCGCAGAAGTGGATGTCGGTCTGGTGCGGCTGGTACCGCTGAAGGAGCCAATCATACGGCATCCCTTTGACCTTATCGAGAAAGTTATCAACTGCCTTTTTAATGGCCGCCAAAAGGTGCTCACAAATGGAGCCAAGTGAGTGGCAGATGTGCATTCTTCTTCCTTATAATGGACCTTCCGAACCTTAGTGGTTCGGAAAGTCCACTAGATTTTTTTTATTTTCTTTCTTGAAGTGACAATCATTAAATTTCTGCTGACGAATATCATTAGACGACGCTTGTTTTAGGTAGCCATGTTCTTCCTTATGCTTTTCCAGCACCTCGTGAAACATGTGACGAGGAAGTGAGGCAACAAATTTAATCAATCTTTATTATTATTATTATTTTGTGATTGGTTGTGAGATGCTCAAAAGGACACACTGTGTGCATTCAAGTGTTGCAGCAAAAGCACATTAATTGTACCCTCAACAATTAGAAAAAATCTGATAGTTTGGGTGCATTCTCTGCTTCGGCTACTACAGTAAAAGCTCGTTAATTCGACACCCGTTAATTTGGATAATTCGGACGGCTCTATTGGTCCCGGCCAAAGTGCATGTTAATCTAAGGGACCAAACCTTCGTTATTTCGTCGGAATTTGGCTCCGCACCGCTTAATTCGGACAAATGCTGACGGCTGCTGCTACACAAAAGTGTGATAAAGCAGCGCTGGCACCACTGGAGTGAAACCGAAACCTGAGTGGCCTCGCCATCATCATCAACTAGTGGGGGCGATCGCAGCGTCACAGAACGTCGGCGTCTTCTTTCTTCTCCACTCAGCGCCTCCGACGCCATTTTCCCTTGAGTTGTCATGTCGGAACCATCTCTTCTTGCGGAGTTGTCTTTTTCTTCCATTGTGACCGTATTTGCATGCCACCACCATCGTGCGCTACAGTGATGGCAACGCCGAAAAAGCGGCAGAACTACGACGCGAAGAACTTGGGGACTAAAGTGGAAATTTTGGAAGCACTCAAGAACGGCGAATCGTGACAGCAGGTTATGACCAAGTACAACGTGAAGCGGAGCACTTTGGGAACGTACGTGAAAAATGAACAACAGATTCGACAAGCCTTCGAAAGCGAGAAGTTTCATGCCTCTAGAAAGCGGTTGCGAACCACAGCTCATCCCCAGCTCGAAGAAGCTTTGCTCCGGTGGATTACTGACTGTGGCAACGCGCATCTGCTTTTGAGCGGACCTCTCATCATGGCGCAAGGTGAGAAGTACGCTGCAATGATGAACATTGAATCGTTCAAAGCGTCAGAAGGGTGGTTTGCGAGGTTTCGAGAGAGACACAAACTTGTCTTCAGGAGTGTGTGCGGCGAAAAGGCCAGTGTTGACGAAAGCGTGACCACCGAGTGGAGAAATGTGAAGCTGCTGGAGCACATCGCCGCATATGAACCACGTGACGTGTTCAATGCAGATGAAACTGCTCTATTTTTCAGAGCTCTGTGCTGTGCTGGGCGCTGGCTGGTCCTGATGAAGCAGAAGAAGAAGACGGCCGACGGAGACGAACGCAGCCGGCGGGGACGCCGACCGGGCCGAACACGTGGGTTGGCGTGAAGCGCCGAAGAGAACAACAACCGCACTCCACGGTTACCCAACGCACACTCATTTTATTTTACAGTCGCTTTGAAATCCTGGATGCCAGAGCGGCGCCCCCTGGACTCCTCAGGTGTCATTCCGAAACAGAAACCGACAACCCAGAACACAACAAACATCCCCTCCCCGAAAGAAGTTCATTTATACTCTGTTTATATTTATACATGATCGGTACCAACGTATTATACAAGGTATGCACGTTAGAACACATGAAAATTTAGAGCACAGCACACCGAACTCACACATTATGAGTCCTGAAAATGCACTGAAAAAATTTACAATGGAAGTCCTGAAATGCACTAAAAAAAATGTACACAACTCAGTACAATATTGATTTGGATGCATTGGACCTTTTCACAGAACAATAATGTTCACAAACAGTAATGAACAAGAGTTCTACATCACGTAGTCTTCGAACCGACGCGGCTTCTGCCACTTCCGCTTAGGGCGGGCCCTTTTGAGTGTAGAATCAGGTGTCTCTGCACCTTGGTCACTTGTGCTCTGATGTGACGCATCAAGAGCAGTAGAAGATTGTGAAGGCTCTGAACGAGCGTTAAACTTCGCGGTCTCATCAGAGGTGGCAGCATGAGCTTCGAAAGAACTTTGTGGACCAGAGTCCGGTTCAACAGTCTCAGCCGTATTTGAAGGTTTGAAGTGAACCGTATGACTTGGTGTACTTGAACCAGCGACACCGACTGATAACTCCTCCCCCCTTGAAGAAGAAATGCCTGTACATGGAGGCCACATGTAACAGTCTGATGCATAGTTGAAAGTCGTGGACGGAACGTGATGGTGAAGACCTTTAGGTGTTGAAGGCGAATCCATATGAAAAATAACAAGGCGCGAAGCATTCCAGATGTTACCATCACTTAAGCGAAAAGAAGTGGGGCTAACCTGGCCCAAGACTTTGTAAGGACCCGGATACTTGGGGCGCTTGCCTGGCACACGAACCTTGACTAGATCGCCAGTGCGAACTTTGGACTGCTTTGCACCTCGACGGGTGTCGACATACTTTTTCATTGCTTGTTGATGAGAAAAAACCCTCGTACGGACTTGATCAGGAGAAGACACTGCTATATTACGAGGCAAAGAGACTATGTCGAGAGCAACTCGCGGTTGCCTACCGTGGAGAAGTTGAGCAGGAGACACTCCAGTGGTGCCTTGTAGTGTGAACCTGTACGAAGCTAAACATTCAGTCAAGACTTGCTTGAGGGGACGGTGCTCTAATTGGGCGATCTGGATATGTTCCTTCAGAACGTGATCAAAGCTCTCGATTTGCCCCTTTGATTGGGGATAGAAAACTGATGACCTCAAGTGCTGAATTTCTCGTTGTGAAAGAAAAGCCTCGAAATGTTGGGACTGAAACTGTGGACCATTGTTCGTAATATGGCATCAGGAAAACCTTCCCGGCTGAAGATTGAAGACAGAAACTCAATGATGACCTCAGAAGTAACCGTATGTGTGAAACAAAGCTCTGGCCATTTGGAATGGTAGTCGATGAGAGAAACAATGAGCCGGGCATTTTGCGGAACATTATGCAAAGGACCGATGATGTCCATGCCGAGTTTTTGCCAAGGCCGATCAGGCCGCTGGACTGGCTGCAACGAAGAAAATGCAGGTTTTGGGAGAGTTGTCAGCTGCCTGACATATATGGCAGTTGTAAACTGCGTGCTCGACCTGCTTGTCCAAGGCTGGCCACCAGTACCTGTCTCGGAGATTCTGTTTTGTGCGGACGATGCCTGGATGAGCCTCATGGGCAGGGGGAATCACGCGTTCATCGCGGAAAAGCAAGTCCTCGACACAAGACAGTTCCTGTCGGACTGCGAAGTAAGGCAAGAATTCAGAAGCAAGAGCACATTTGGGAGACCATCCTTCACGTAAATATTTGAGAACTTGAGACAAAGTTGAATCTGCAGCTGTAGCTGCCTGAAGCTCAGCTTTAGTGATGCAGGAAGTAACTAATGAAACAACTTCCTCATCCCGCTCTTCAGTAACCGGTATTTGAAGAGGAAGGCGCAACAGTGCATCAGCAACCACATTATTAGAACCTTTACAATATTGAACACTGAAATTATAATACATGAGTTTAGCACACAAACGGGAAATGCGAATTGGGCGGCGGCCTTCAGATCCTGCAGAAAGAAGAGCAACTAGTGCTTGGTAATCTGTACGTAATGTGAAGTGCCGGTCCCACAAGTAACAATGCCATTTCTCACAGGCAAAAAGACACGCGAGAGCTTCACGCTCTCCTACTGAATATCTAGGTTCAGCAGGGGTCAGTGTACGAGATGCAAAAGCGATACTGATCAGCTGATCACCTCTGAGTTGTTGAAACACTGCTCCCAGTCCAACATCGGACGCATCCGTCGTGATGACGATGGGAAGCTTCTCATTGAAAATACTAACAGCTGGCTTTGAAGCCAGTATTGACTTAACTCGAATGAAGCTCTGCTCAGCTTCAGCTGACCAGTTAAAAGGCTGTGCTTGTCGAAGTAGGGTACGCAGTGGTTCAACAACATCAGCATAGTGAGGGACAAACTTGGCATAATAACCAACAAGACCTAAAAAAGATTGCAAGGTTTTGGCATCAATAGGCCGTGGGGCATTGACAATGGCCTGAACTTTAGATTCAACAGGTGTCAAGCCGCGGGAACTGACATTATGTCCTAGAAATTGTAACTCATTCACAGAAAAAATGCACTTGTTATTAAGTTTCATACCACATTCACTGATGCGGTTAAGAACAGTATGCAAGTTAGCATCGTGCTCTTCGCGACTACATCCCCACACCAAAATGTCATCCAAGTAACAAAGGGCGCCTTTACAACCCTTACGAATAATTGACATCATTTTCTGAAACACTGCAGGGGCAGATGCAAGCCCGAAACACACGCGGTGAAACCGAAACAAGCCGTCGTGCGATACAAATGTGGTTAAGTCTCTACTGCACTCAGAAAGTTCAACTTGGTGATAAGCGGACGCGAGGTCCAGCTTGGAGAAACATACCGTTCCGGAGAGCTGATGAAGCAGTTCTTCAATGTGAGGAAGTGGAAAACCGTCTACGACGATCGCCTTGTTCGGTTCTCGTAAGTCGACGCATAGTCGAAGGGATCCATCTTTTTTCTTAACGACGACCAGTGGAGAAACCAAGTCGGAAGCAGAGACAGGCTCGATAATTCCGCTGGCTTGAAGGCGAGACAGTTCCTCAGAGACTCGCTCACGGAGAAGACGAGGAATGTGGCGCAGCTTGGCACGCACAGGGCACACACCTGGTCGACGCATCACTTTATGCACAAAACCACGCACACAACCCAGTTGACGGGTGAACAGGTGGTGGAATTCAGAAGGCGCGTTGGCCGGAAGATCATCTTGGACGTCGATTTGAGCACACGTCATAGACGCACCGACAATGTTGATGGACAAAGCCCAGATGGCATCACGTCCCAAAAGCGAGCTACCATTGGCAGTTACATAAAAAGTAATGGAAGCAGTGCGACTGTGATAGGAGACCTGAGCTGTAAAATGACCTAAATTATCAATCGTTTCCTTGATATATGTTTGTAGAACGACGTGTGAAGGCAAAAGCCGAATGTTGGAAAAATGACTATGAAAATCAGCGGCACTGATTAAAGAGACTGAGGCACCAGTGTCCACGAGAAATGACAAGGGCACATGGCCCACTGAAGCTACGATGCTGGGCTCGGACGTATTGTGGAGGCCATCCACATTTAAAACAGTGACCGTATTGGTCTGTGCAGTGCTCGAAGGAGCGGACGAAGAAACTGGTTCAGGAAGATTTGCTGGACGGGAATTGCATACGGACTGAAAATGTCCAATTTTTCCGCACCCAAGACAAGTGCGGTTTCTCGCGGGACACTGCGCAAAATTGGCTAAATGCCGAGCCGATCCGCAACGAAAGCAATGCGCGGTTGCGCTTGGAGAAGAAAATTTCGAACGCGAGTTAGGAGCTCGGTGCTGTTCCTGAAAACCAGAATTTGGCGGAATGGGGTCGCCGTATTGCCGGCTTCCTCGCCCCCGCGACGCAGAGAGGCCGCCATGTTGGCCGCCACGGAAAGACTGTGCAGGCGGGCGTCCATGTTGGCCGCCGCGCCGAGACGAAGATGAAGGGCCGCCATGTTGACGTGTCCCGTGAAACAAAGAGCCGCTGCCTTGGCCCTCTGCAGCAGAAAGTTGCTGCACTGAATGCGGAGCAATTGCTCCAACTGGGAGCGAATAAGCTCGTCCTCTCGCGCAATCGAGAGGGCTTCGGATAATGAAATCGAGGAGCCTTTTTGAAGCATGCGGAAGCGGACGTTTTGCGAGGCTACCCCGGTGAAAAGCTGATGGCGGATCATATCGTCCTCGAGCGCGCCGAAGCCGCATGACGCGGCGAGCGTTCAAAGAGAAGTAATGAACTCGGCGACTGGCTCGCCAGGCAATTGTCGCTTTTCTTGGAATTTTACGCATGCGAGATAATCGCACGAGACATCTTTAAAATTCTAATCGAAAAGAGCAACAGCATTCTTGAAGGCATCGCCCGACGCTGGCGTCGGCGACGCGTTGGTGGCGTCCAAAGTATAGAAGAGCTTTAACCCGGCAGGGCCCAACGCGTTGAGCAGCAGGGCCCTGCGACGCTCGAGCTTGCCGTCGTCCTCCCCGGCCGCGTCTGCGTAGGCCCGAGACACCAATTTCCAGTCAGCCCACGGAAGTGGCGGGTCTCCAAGCGAAGGAAGAAATAGGGGAGGTGGAATAGGAGACGCCATTTCAAGCAAGAAGAATGGAGAGGTGCAGACGAGAAGAAAATGATGCCAGTACACTGTTTGAAGACAGAGGCGGCGTAGCTGAATGAAGAAGAAATGAAGCGACGCAGCACGCAGCAGCCACCTTGCTGGGAACAAAGAGCGTCTAGGGTTAGCAGGGTAGGTCCGTTAGAAGCAAGAAAAAGACGAACACGGAGAACGAAATGGGTTCTTACACGTCCTCGTCGCCATTGCTGTGTTGGGGGCTGGCTGATCCCGACGAAGCAAAAGAAGACGGCCGACGGAGACGAACGCAGCCGGTGGGGATGCTGACCAGCCCGAACGCGCAGGTTGGTGCGAAGCGCCGTAGAGAAGAACAACAACCGCACTCCACGGTTACCCAACGCACACTCATTTTATTTTGCAGTCGCCTTGAAATCCTGGATGCCATAGCGGCGCCCCCTGGCATCCTCACATGTCATTCCGAAACAGAAACCGACAAGCCAGAACACAACACTCTGTCCGACAAAACAGTGACTTTCAAAGGAAACGCGTGCATTGGTGGCAAGAAGTGCAAGCAAAGGATAACTGTGCTTCTTGCCGCCAATATGACTGGCACGGAGCGCTTGCCACTACTTGTCGTCGGGAAGGCGCTTAAGCCACGTTGTTTTAAGAACGTCAAAAGCCTTCCTGTCGAGTACACAGGGAACAGGAAGGCATGGATGACATTGGACATTTTTCGCGGCTGGCTGCAGCAGTTGGACCGGCACTTCACGTTGAAGGACCGCAAGATAATTATGGTTGTTGACAACTGCAGTGCCCATAACTGTACAGTCGAACTGAAGAGCATCAAAGTAGTTTTTTTGCCGCCCAACACTACGTCTGCTCTTCAGCCGATGGACCAGGGTGTCATTCACTACGTGAAGTCGAAGTACCGCAAGCACCTGCTAGAGCGAATGATCCTATGCTGAGAAGCTGGAAAGTTGTATCAAGTGGACTTACTCGGCGCAGTGCACATCATCGCCCACGTGTGGAAAAACACTCCGCCGCAAGTCATCGCCAACTGTTTTCGGCACAGCGGTTTTGTGAGGCCCGAGCATGCAGAAGTAGCTGACGATGGCATCGAGTAAGTGTCAGCGGAGTCCACCGACGATGATTGCCCGACTTTCGATGCTGTCCTTCCCACAGATGTGACCTTTCAGGACTACATCGCGATTGATCATGGTGTCGCCACGAGTGGTCTCCTGACCAATCAAGAGATTATTAATGATGTCACGGGATCAAGAGATTATTAATGATGCCTATGAAGACCACGATTCCGACGAAGAATCATGCGAGGAGATACAGCCGCGACCTCATCGCATCTCACAGGAAGTCTCGGAGGCGCTGTTAATATTAGAGGACGCTTGCCTGAACACTCCCGACAGCTTGCGTGCTGTTGGCCATTTGGAACAGTTAAGAAAAATTGTGATGTCAGCCGGAATCTGCGCAAAAATGCAGACGACAATTACAAAATACTTCAACAAATAAAGGTATGCTTCTGCAGCTTGATTTTAAATGTTGTTTTCCCTGTTCATTCGTTAATTCAGCATTCGATTAATTCGGACAGTTTTTCGGGTCCTGTGAAATCCAAATTAACGAGCTTTTACTGTATATGCATTGTTTTATGGCATTAAGCTGTTGTTAATTGGGTCACATTTGGCTGCCACCCGGTTAGTTGTAATAATATCCAGACAGTGCCAAGCGCAAAGTGATAAAAAAGAGCAAAGTGGCATTCGCGGACAACTGAAACAATGCGGAGCTCTCCGCACCGCTATCTTCATTGGTTGGTGACCACGGTATTGTCTGCATGTGGATGTGACACTGTGCAGGCCCATTTTAGCCTAATAGAATGGATGCATAATGTCACTAAATTCAAACCTTATAAAAGCTGTTGAAGATGAATAGCCTTCTGCTGCGGTCAGCATTGGCATGAAACTTGTTTGGTACTCTCTGACGAACGAACAGTCAGGTGCTCGCTACTTTACCTGCGAAAGAAATTTCGTCCCATTAGTTTGGTGGCGGTGGCAGTACATAGTGAGGGAGAGTTGCAGAGCTAATTAAACAGAAAGTGTTTCAGTAAATTGAACATAGCAGGCTGGCGTCATGGTCACATTGAGAACTCGCGGGATATCCGTTTCTACACTGTTCTCGTGCAAAGGAAGTACAGGATTTCGGCATTCATTAAAATAATGAACATGTATTTATCCATCAGACATTTCTTCATTGTTTTTTTTTTATATTTCGGTAATTGGGCATTTGGTGATTTCAAACACTCACTCTGGTACTATGAAATTGGAGTCAACAAGCTTTTACTGTACCATCTTCCAGGACTGGATGTGAAAAATTCAAAAGCCTACAATAATGCATTCTCACGTGAACGAACTAGCAGCAGCAAAGCTTGCACGAGCAACAGGGGGCAGGCTGCGAGCAGGGCGTATTCAGAAACTGATGTAGTCGTAGCCAATGCGTGGAAATTTTTTTAACGACGGAGATGAACTTGTACTCTGGGACAGCCCATTTTGGCAATAGAGCGAATAATATGAAAGTGGGACTGGCACACACTGACATTATTCCGCTAGTAGTAAGCCAGCTTGCAGCCCATTTTATTTAAATTAGTTTTTGCTTGCTCGTCTAGAAAAACATACATATAAAAAATGTTAATGGCAGAGAGATATTTTAACTGTTCAGTGTACATTTGAATGTCACATTACGAGTATTTCGAAAAGTTAATTCGAGCGCGAACACTTGACACGATCACTCACACACGCACACACCCATGCATCAAACACACACAGCGCCCGAGTATATTTTTTACGAGTATATTTTTCCTTGGAGAACTAAACAGTGAGTTTGCAGCCGTACATGAACTAACATGCGTAGGGGATGCCAATGTTTATTTCAAAAAGCAAGGTTGCAGAAAACACGGTGATGTCCAGAAGATGTAAAGAAAATGAAGACGTTTCTGTAAGGTTAAAAATAATTTTATTTGACCTGCTACTTCTCGTAACTGTTTCGGTCTCGTAACAAATAAAGCAGCATTTGTTCGAGCGTTGCAAATGAGAAAATTGTCAATACGACAAGGTGCTATTTCAGAGCACGCTAGGAGGCATGCATTTCAGTTGAGTAGCTTCCCCAGCACTATCAAGAAAGGTTGTTCAGAGGTATAGCTTGTTATATCCATTATTGCAACAAGTGAATTTGCTAACGTTGTAACACTGTGGTGCAGGAACCTGTTTCCTCGTGACCGTCGTGAGGAACTGGTGCCGCGCCTCATAAAGTTGTCCGACGTTGACCCGACGACAAGGATTCTCCAATTAACCGTGGAAGAGATTGGACGCTTGTGCGACATCTATGAAGAGATTTGCACCAAGGAACCTGAAATCAGAGAGTACCACTTCAGGCTAGGACGATGACATTGCCTGGCCATAGGAGTAGGACAAGTGATTCATAGGGAACTAGGAGGTAGAATTCAGTTGGTTAGAACATTCGTTGAACTGCGCTGCTATTCCAGTCATTTTTTGTTGCACCGAGCATAATAAGTTTCACACTACTGGTTTAGCCACGATGGCTGCACAGTCTTTATCTGTAGCTTCCGATCGCTCATACAGATTTGACCAGATCCGTATCAAAATGGATTGGATAAGGATTGGATAAGGATAAGGATAAGGTTAAGGATAAGGATTGGATAAGGATTGGGTCATTACGGAGAGGGAAGCATAGGATATGGAAAGTAAATACAGACATTGATATTTTCAGCAACTTTGAACAATAACACAATAGCATATTCATTGCTCGGCAAAGTAAACATCAAGAGCACATTCAAATTTTTTAGCGTCAGAATTTTCAACAATATGTCGCGGCAATTTTTTCCACGCTTCTATAACATCAGGGAAAAAAGATTTGTGAAAGACGTCCGTGCGAGCACCGAAGGGGCGAACTGCCGTGTCATGATTGATCCGGCTGCTGAGCTTATGCGGGGGGTGTACGTAAATTGTTCTATCTATTTTTATTTGACCATGCAATATCTGAAAACATACTTTTAGGCGCTGCTTTTGTCGTCTAATTTCTAGAGATTCCAAACCACTTAATTTTAACATCTCGGTAAGCGAATCAGTCCTTTTATACTTCGAACATATAAATCGTGCGGAAAGTCTCTGAATTCGTTCCAGTTTACCTAATAAATCCTTTTGGTGGGGGCTCCTAGCAGCACAAGCATATTCTAAAACAGGGCGCACAAATGTTTTATATGCAAGCAGCTTGACGTCTTTCGTAGCATTCGGTAATTTAGCACGCAAGAAACGCAGTTTTCTGTAAGAGGCACAGCATACACTCTCGACATGTGCACGCCATTTCAAACCATTCGTAATATGCACTCCCAAATATTTATATGCACACACCTGCGGTAAATAATTAGGTCCAATGCTGTACGCAAATGGTAAAACGTGTTTCTTGGTAGTTATATGCGTATATGTTGTCTTAGAATAATTTATTTTCATCTCCCATTTATCGCACCATGTTTGAAAATCAGCAAGACAATCATTAATTACAATTTGGTCATTCGCACACGTCACCGGGGCATAGATTAAACAATCATCAGCAAACAATTTAATTTTTACAGGAGGGTTAACAATGTCAACAACATCATTTATATACACCAAGAACAGCAATGGGCCCAACACGGAGCCTTGGGGCACACCGGAATAAACATCAGTGATTCAGACTCAAACCCATCAATTCGTACCACTGCTTGCGGTTCGTTAAGTATGCCTCAAATTTACTTCAGGATATTTGTCCGTTTACGCCTGTTTGGTTTGGAGCTTGGAAGAGGCAATTTAGGGTGGAGAACTGATCGAAGTGCTTTGCAAAGTTCTATGCATATCACGGTCGAACTTGTTCTCTATTATCTAACGGCCAGCGGCAAAATCGGGGAGAGTTTTTAACCAGTTGGGAATTAACGTGGAAAGCCTGCCTACAATTAATAAATTACGATGAAACAATATAACAAAAACCCTGTTGCAGTTTGTTAACGCGCATGAAACGGCTTGAGGCGCGCGACATGCACGACTTCAGGTCGCGATCGGCGTCGTTGAGAGTTCGTGATTCCGTCGGGGACAACCTCGTAATCAAGTGGGCCGAGACGTCGAACCACCCTGTACGGTCCGAAGTAGCGTCACAGAAGCTTTTCACTTAGTCCACGTCGGCGTATCGGCGTCCACACCCAAACACGTTCACCGGGCTGGTATTCCACGAAGCGTCGTCGAAGGTTGTAACGGTGGCTGTCTGTCGTCTGTTGATTCTTGATACGGAGACGCGCAAGTTGTCGGGCTTCTTCGGCACGTTGAAGGTACTCGCTCACATCGAGGCTTTCTTCATCGGTGCCGTTGGGTAACATGGCATCGAGCGTCGTTGCCGGGCTCCTTCCGTAGACCAATTTGTATGGAGATATCTACGTCGTCTCCTGCACCGCCGTGTTGTATGCGAAGGTCACATACGGAAGAATGGCGTCCCACGTCTTGTGTTCGACATCGACGTACATTGACAGCATGTCGGCGATCGTCTTGTTAAGCCTCTCGGTGAGGCCGTTGGTCTGTGGGTGGTACGCTGTCGTTCGGCGGTGGTTTGTTTGGCTGTATGCCAAGATCGCTTGAGTTAAGTCGGCAGTGAATGCCGTTCCTCTGTCGGTGATAAGGACCTCCGGGGCGCCGTGACGTAGGACGATATTTTCGACGAAGAACTTAGCTACCTCGGATGCACTGCCTTTTGGCAGGGCTTTTGTCTCGGCGTAGCGGGTGAGGTAGTCGGTAGCTACCACGATCCACTTGTTTCCGAAAGCCGACGTCGGGAACGGCCCCAGTATGTCCATACCAATCTGCTGGAAAGGTCGGCAAGGTGGATCAATTGGCTGCAGAAGTCCCGCTGGCCTTGTCGGCGGTGTCTTGCCTCGCTGACACTCCCGGCATGTCCTCACATAACGAGTGACGTCGGTGGTAAGACGTGGCCAGTAGTACCTTTCTTGTATCCTCGCGAGCGTGCGAGAAACACCGAGGTGCCCTGCCGTCGGATCGTCGTGCAGGGCCTGCAGGAGTTCTGGTCGCAGAGCTGAAGGCACCACAAGGATGTACTTAGCTCGAAGCGGTGAAAAGTTTTTCTTTTGTAGAAGACCGTTTCGTAGAAAGAAGGACGCAAGTGCGCGCTTGAATACCTTCGGACTTCGGCGGTCCTGCCTTCGAGGTATTCTATTAGGGCCTTAAGTTCCGGGTCGGCCCCTGTCGTTCAGCGAAGTCGTCGGTAGTTATCGTTCCCAAGAAGTAGTCGTCATCCGGTCGTCGGGTAGCGGTTGGTCGACAGGCGCACGAGAGAGACAGTCGGCGTCGGAGTGTTTTTTGTCGGACTTGTAAATGACAGTAATGTCATATTCTTGAAGTCTCAGGCTCCATCGTGCGAGGCGACCAGAAGGGTCCTTCAAGGTGGCTAGCCAACACAAGGCGTGGTGGTCGCTCACAACTTATGAAGGGCCTGCCGTAGAGGTAGGGGCGAAATTTCGACGTTGCCCAGATGATGGCGAGGCACTCCTTTTCTGTTGTGGAATAATTTGCTTCTGCTTTGGATAGCGATCGGCTGGCATAACTAATAACCCTTTCAAGTCCGTCAGTCCTCTGCACAAGAACGGCGCCGAGACCTACGCTGCTTGCGTCAGTATGTATTTCTGTCTCGGCGAATTCGTCGAAATGGGCAAGTAACGGAGGCGTCTGGAGGCGATGTTTAAGCTCCTGGAAAGCGTGTTCCTGTGGCGTTTCCCACTTGAACTCCACGTCGGCCTTGGTAAGGTTAGTAAAAGGATCGGCAATGCGGGCGAAGTTTTTCACGAATCGCCTATAATAGGCGCACAGGCCCAGAAATCGGCGCACGGCTTTCTTGTCAGTGGGTGGCGGGAAGTCAGCGATGGCGGCTGTTTTCCGTGGATCGGGACAAACTCCAGACTTGCTGATAACGTGCCCCAGAAACAAGAGCTCCTCATACGCAAATCTGCACTTTTCTGGCTTCAGTGTGAGCCCGGAAGTCTTGATGGCTTGAAGTACAGCTTCAAGGCGCCGAAGATGCTCGTCGAAACTCGAGGAAAACACGACGACGTCGTCCAAGTACACAAGGCAAGTCTGCCACTTCAATCCTGCCAGTACTGTATCCATAACGCGTTGAAAAGTTGCAGGCGCTGAGCAAAGGCCGAAGGGCATCACCTTAAACTCGAAGAGGCCGTCCGGTGTTATAAACGCCGTCTTCTCTCGGTCTCTTTCGTCGACTTCGATTTGCCAATAGCCAGTCTTGAGGTCCATTGACGAAAAGTATGGAGCCGATCAAGTGCGTCGTCTATTCGTCGGAGTGGATACACGTCCTTTCTTGTGATTTTGTTCAGGCGGCGATAATCGTCGCAGAAACGTAGGGTCCCATCCTTTTTCTTCACTAACACCACGGGGGATGCCCATGGGCTGTTGGACGGCTGGATAATATCATCCCGCAGCATTTCATCAACTTGTCTCTTGATGGCCTCACGTTCTCGCGTCGAAACCCTGTACGGACTCTGACGGAGTGGTCTGGCATTTTCTTCGGTTATGATGCGATGTTTTGTGATTGGGGTCTGCCGAATTTTTGATGACGACGAAAAGCAATCTTCGTATTGCAGAAGCAGGGCCTTGAGCTGTTCGTGCTTATTGTTGTCTTGTTTACATTTGAGTTCAAAAACGTCTGAAGGTCTTCCAGGAACTCGGGCGAAGTGGCAGGTGGCCTGTATACGGCTCCGATAAGGTAATTGGTGTTCGCGTACGTAAATTTACACCATACAGATTCCGATAAATTTCAATTAATTGGAACTGCTGAGATACATTTTTTTATGACAATTGCAACGCCCCCACCACGGGAATTTCTGTCCCAGCGAAACACTCTGTACCCAGGAGGAACAACCACATCATTCGGAATATCGTTGTTTAGCCAAGTCTCTGTTACGATCACCACAGGGGGAGATCTCGACAGCAATAAATGTTCGAGTTCAGTTACCTTATTAACAAGACTACGAGCATTGAACAGGAGAAGCACTAGCTACGCATGTGACGGTGCAGCCACTGCCCCTCCCACCGGGGCGCCGCCAACGCTGTCAGAGTTGCGCGTTGCTGCTGGCGATCCTTTAGCATACCGCTCCTTACGACATGGTTGGCGTTCATCTCGGTTGTAGTCCCAAGTAAATAAGCTCTCGCCTACCTTCAATTTGTCATAAACTAGCGATACCTTCTTTCCGCTGCCCCTGTCCGCAGCTGCGCTGTCCCACAACTTTTTCCGCACCGCGACCGTCTCCTTCGAATAATCATTGCTCACGCTAATAGAAGTTCCCTTTAGTTTGCTGCAGTTTCGGAGTATAGTATCTTTTTCTTTGAAATCGTAGAACCTCATTATGACTGGTCTAATATGCCCCGGCCGTTGCTTGCCCAATCTATGAATTCTTTCTATTGTTTTAACATGGACGTTCAGTTTTTTGCCAAATATATTGTCGACTACAGAAACTTTCAGGTCTGACTCCGATTCCGGGCTGCCTTCCTTTACGCCAAAAACCAAGAGGTTATTGCGTCTACTTCTGTTTTCAAGTTCACTTAGCCTTTCAGCCTGTGTTTTTACAGTATGTTCCAGAACTTCAATTTTTGCGTTCAGTTCTTGGACAGAAGCAACTGAGCCAGCCAATCCATCAGTATTTGTCTGTATCTGGGCTAATTGATCATGAATGCCAGTCAACCGACGGTCAAATGCTGCCTGATTTTCCAAAATAGTCTGTAGCTGCTGGGCCGCAGTAGGGCCGGGGTTTTCTTCGACATCCCCCGCCATCAACAACCGCAGCAACACAGACCAGCAATCAACAAGAATCAAGGAACATCTATGAGGGCACGGCAGGACAATCAAAAATCTATTATCACTACGGTAAGTGACAACAGTAGTTTGAAGACCAACCTGGAAGACGAACGGCGGCAGTTTAGGCATTTCGTTCGCATGGACGTTGCCGTGCCCTCTGAGGAGTTGCCTGATGTGCTGCTCTTTAAGTAGCTGCGCTGCCGGTGACGTCACTGAGGCCGATGCTCCGTTGATCCACGGCGCATCTTCCAAAACCAGGTTGAGATGAGGAAGCAGGAAAGGCGTCCCATCAGATCCGCTTGTCGCGATCGCTGTCAAAATCCACGGCACAACCTGGAAGACGAACGGCGGCAGTTTAGGCATTTCGTTCGCATGGACGTTGCCGTACCCTCTGAGGAGTTGAGGAGTTGCCTGATGTGCTGCTCTTTAAGTAGCTGCGCTGCCGGTGACGTCACTGAGGCCGATGCTCCGTTGATCCACGGCGCATCTTTCAAAACCAGGTTGAGATGAGGAAGCAGGAAAGGCGTCCCATCAGATCCGCTTGTCGCGATCGCTGTCAAAATCCACGGCACAACCTGGAAGACGAACGGCGGCAGTTTAGGCATTTCGTTCGCATGGACGTTGCCGTGCCCTCTCATTTAAGGGAACTTCACACTCCTGCAAAGCCCGCTTTATGTTTAAATTAACATACTTCTCTCACATTTATTTATCATTGTTTAAATTTACAAGCTTGGTTTTACCAGTTTATATGCTGCAAGTATGGTCAATCTAGAAACGTAACATATTTTACAGTTTATGACTTGCGTTCTATTGAAAGGCAAATCCTGCTACAATTTAATGTACCTTCTGATTCCCTTTGAACCAAGATAGAATGACACATGCGAGTGCCTTGTTTCAGTTATAATAAGATATTGTGCAGGTTAGTTGGATCATGACAGATATGCTCATATTTTTTTTTTATAATATGTGATGTTATATTATTCAGATTCCGTGCAAAATTATTTGGCAAAATCACTATTCAATTCGAATTTGCTTTGAACACAATAGTTACTATTCATGCAAGCCTAGTATTTGAGATGAATTTTTGCAAAAACAGATTTAGTGTGGATTATTGCAAAAACAGATTTGATGCTAAAAATTATTTGATGTGGACTTTTATAAAATTTTACTTGATGTTGACTCACATGAAAGCATATTCCATGTGGATTTCTAAAGCGGATTCAATGCACACTCTCAAGCTTCATTATATTAAAGTTGCATTTAACACCGACAAAAACGTTTATATCCAAAAATTCGTTATAGAAGTATATTCCCAATGCTATTGCGAGAGTATTGTTAATTACCTTTGTAAAAACAACATTTTGTGATATCTGGATTTGTTATGTTGAGGTTCGAGTTATTTGCGTGAGAGCAGTTTGTATGCAAACACTCATGCGAGTTTAACTGGAGGTTTTACAATATGCCACACCTTTGGTGGCTGCTTGTGAAAACTCAGTATGTGTATGTTGTGAAGCATCACATTCTCTTCTATAAAGATCCATGATGCAATACGCTGAAATAAAGTAACGAAGCGGAAAACTTAACAATTGGCACTGGTCGCTTGTTGTGTTACTACACTAGCACAAAACTATTTTCTAGCAGTCCTAGGGGAAAACGTAGTTACTGGAGTGATGCAACCAGCCGCAGTGGTCTGGTGGTTATGATGCTCGACTGCCGACCCGCAGGTCACGGTATCGAATTCCGGCCGTGGCGGCCACATTTTTGATGGAGCCAAAAATGCTTGACGCTCATGTGCTTGCATGCATTTAGGTGCACATTAAAGAACGACATGTCCGGAACCCTCCGCTACGGCGTCTCTCATAATAATTGTAGTTTTGGGATGTTAAACCCCAACAATGAGCATTGTAGTGAAGTCTAGTCAAGCACACGCAGGTTCCTGCAACTTTCCTGCACCAACCTGCGGAAGGGCTTGTAAAACACAGTTTTAATAAAAATGACAACTCAAATTATGTTTGTTATATCGCATAAGGGGTAGCACTAGACAAATTCGAGTTGTGAAGATGTGGTTGTTCACCTCCGACACATTGTAAAGAAACAATAAAAATTCTTGAACTACTTTGTGCTTTCAGGTGGCACTCGTTATCCACCGACATCACCTACTTAGTGAGCATACGTAATGGCCAGTAGTGACCAGTACCCAGCTGTGCCCACTAAAAATTGTAAAGTGCTTTGTTGGCCGTAAACTTCAATCAACCCGCCCTCACTGTTTTTTAATGCTTTTGTGCGCGAGTACAATTCCCAGGTACACTTGTTGAAGTATGGAAATGCATATTTTCGAAGTTGCACAAATGCTGCCAAGTGATTCTTATTAATTTATTACGCATGGCGACTGAACTAAGGTATACGAGAATAAATGCTACATCAGTGCATTCTTGTAGAAATAAGCAGCTTAGTGGGAAATGCCATCATAAAACTCTAAAGAGATGCTGACACCATTTTTAGAAGGAGCGTTTACACTGCCATACAAATCTTCTGTATGGATACAAATCTTCTGAACAAGGGTGATGCTCCGGAAGTGCTGGTAAAATATTTTGATATTAGTCAATTTTCCTGTGACTCGTTTATTCACATTGACACTAGCTTGACGCCAGGTTATAGTACGAATTCTGGTAACTTCCATGTGCAGTCTGACTGGTTGTGATGACATTGGACAACTAAACTACCAAAACGGCCACCTGTGCATCACCAACAGAGCCACAGTGAAGAGTAGCTGTGGAAAAATAGTTATATACTGAGCTGCAACGTCAGTGTACAGCAGCAAAAGCAACTACTGTTCAAAAACACACTGCAATTACTTTTTTCAAGGTGCTTAGCAGATCACTTTTCGGGCCCTTGAGGTCTTGGCCTTTATTAGACGCCAACAAACGACAACCCAAAATTTTCATGTTGGTGCCCTTTAAAAGTGACAGCCCCATCCTTCGCTTCAACAGATGCAGCAGTCCTGATATTCGTCAGGTAATGTCAGCACTGCCAGATGCGGTAAGTAATAAAAATTCTTTTTTTTTTTGCAAACAATGAAAAAGCAGACGTAAAATTGGCATGGTCTTTATTCCTAGACGCCATACATCGCACAACAACGTTTAAAAGGGGAAGAAAAACACACTTGTCCTCTCAACTGGCGGCACTGTTATAACTTCCTGCAACGGGCTTTATTTTATATTTAAAACACTTTTTTTTTCCTTATCTGCACAGGCTTCGTTCATTCACCGATGGCAGTCACGTTGGCTAGCGGGGTCCATCCAACAATTGAAGTCGTCCTTGGTCTCAACAAGTCACTAGCAAACGGTTCTACGCTTGGAGGGAACATAATTAAAAAAAATGAAACTACAGTTTTATTCGTCCAGTGCGGTAGTAGTTGGTATGGCCCAGCCGAGAGCCCCCGGGGCCTGCCCAAAAACGAGGCTGCACGTCGAAGTGCCCATTCTCGAAGCCGTGCCGCTGCTGCCGCCGCCTGTTGTCACCACTTGCAGGCAGAGAGGTGTTAGGCTTTTTTTTTTTTTTTGTGCCCGACACTACTCACTTCTGCTGCACTGGGAAGGGACATACCGGATGAGTCAATTTATTCCACTGGCAGATGGCAGCACCGACCAAGCAATCAGGGCAGCGTGACTAGAGGAAGTGGCAGAGGTGAGATAGGAGGTGCACCCTGACATCAGACCGAGTCGTCTAGCAAAGTGGCAGGGGGGAAAGAAAGAAAGAAAAAAAAAAGAATGTTAATGTTAGCAGCATGTTCATTCAGCTGCAGTTGTGAAGCAATGAACGTGATGGCAACAAATTGGAACAAATTGCAAAGTAAGGCCAGTGGCTACCAGATTTGGATCCAACCCCACATAGTAGCTTTAAAGAACACTGGTTCAAGCGAAAACAACACCGCATATCCACCAAGTAAATGATGACGAGCGGGCGAAGCAGTAGGATTGTTCAGTGTTAACTCACCTGTGACATAGACCACTCACGCATGTAAATGAGTGACAAAAGCTGTGTACAATTGCATAGTACAAGGCTTGTTGGTCATACATGGTATGTTGTTCTAAGTTTTGAATTTCATTTTACCTTCATCATTACTGCTTTGTGGTATCTAGCCTGAAATCGGCAAAGAGGAGGTATGTGCACGTTCCCCCTGGTGGTTGTTTCCAGTGATACGAAATGCATCGTAGGGCCTGTTGAGACGCCACATATGGCACAATCCAGTGGTCTGTGATCGTCGTGCTCATCAAAACTACGCGCACACCAAGAAACAAGCCTCAATCTTAAGGAGGTTCCCCCCTACGACAGTCGCTCCAGAAAGAGAAGTGGCTTTTGCCCCGTCTGACGGCTCGACGCCGAGGAAGCGGTGAAAGTACAGCACCTGCACGAACCCTCCACACGTGTGTAGAGATCATAAAGTTTCCTTAAGTTAACTTAAGGGGACCCCGGCACTGGGGTCGAACAGCGACCATGGGAATTACGGGTATGACATAAATTTGCCTAGCCTTCGTGCTTACGGGAGCGAATTCCACTAGTGGCTTCCTTTATTGCTATGTTTTGGTTTTGTTTTAAAGAAAAGAACAGACTGTTTTGAACTTTGTGAGCCAATTTGAAATGACGATTTCAAAAGGTAAAAGTGGTGAAGCGCAACTGTCGAACATTTGCCGATTGTTGTTTCGTGACAAAGCAGCTTCAAGCCACACGAAGCCGGAATGAACGTAAAGTACAATGACTAGGCAAATCCTTATACCACTTATAATTCCCATGCTCGCTGAAGCGCCATGCGCTTCAGCTTACATTGACACTAGCGCCAGAGTTCCCTTTAGTGTATATTTAAGAAACTCTGTGGTAGAGACAGCACATGCGCCAGCGCTCAAGACTGTACCCTTACGATCAAAGTTCAGAACTGCTGATCAAGCAACGCAGCCAAGTCAAGAGTGCCGCAATGTCCTTACAGATAAGTGTCGGAAAATAATGAAAGTGTGTCTGAGATTATGTACTTAATTTTGTAAACGGGACAATTTAGAGCAGGCAAGGCATATACAGTAGACTCCTTTTAGACGGAACTCGAAGAGGCAAGAAAATTGGTTCTATTTATGAGAAGTTTCATTTAAGCAAGGCCCACAAAATGAATGAAATATGACTATTTCAAAAGCACCGCCTGTGGCTGACTGAACAAAAACATTTTAAAGTATACAATATTTGTACAGTTGATTATAGAGCAAAATGTTGCTAATATTACTTACAGATATTTCTGTTTACAGCCGCTCTTTTTCCAGAAACTATCTTAAAGACAAGACCATGCCGCTTTTTAAAACAGCTTAGACATTCATCGCTCACCCGCAAGTGCTCGATCCCCATACGAGTAGCAATCTCTTTGGCCTTCTCTTCGACAACTGGGCCGCTGATCGGGAAGTACGCACTGCGCGCACGCTTGAATCAGAGAAAAAGAGCATCTTCAATTTCTTTGCACGCCGCCGTTCTCATGCGCATTCTGTCCGTGGTGAAGTACCCAAGCTTTGCAGCTTCTTCAATTTTCCCTTTGTTCTTGAGTATCCTCAGCAGTGTGGACTTGGGAATATTGAACTTCTTCACGATTTCTGTGTTTGATAGGTCGTTGCGGTCAAGTTCTGGAATTATTTTTACTTTCGTTGTGAGCAAAAGTGCATTTTGCTGCTGTTTTTTGTTTCCATCACAAGTTCACGAGGAGATGGACAGAATAAAGGTGGAAACGAGATGGATTATTTGCTGCACTGCGTGCGCAAACATGTGCAATCGCTGGATTGGCTTGGCTAGGCTAGCTTCGGCATTTGTTTCTTGGTTGCTAAACTGCCGTGCCCGTTTAAGTTTCATTTAACCGATGTAAGCGAAAAAAAAAAAAAAAAAGTTCAGATTACCCGAAACTTTTTATCATTAAATATATAGGAGACAAACCAAATGTGCCTAGATAGTTTTGTTTATGCGGATTTCCCATTTAAGCGAGTTTCGTTTAATGGGAGTTCACTGTACTTTCATTTCCATAGTCTTAAATTTGGGTCATATCATCCAAATTTGGACTCGAATGCATAGATGACAGCCAACACTATATTTAAAAACGGCTCGTCGCCACATGACAAGGTTATCTCAAGCAATTTCACATACTAATAATTAGAAATTGGATGCCACATTTGAGTACGTGAGTCTCGTACGTGCCATTGAGCTATCACCTTGGCAGTGCATGTGGTGCAGCACTGCTGGCTCGGTTGAAAGTGTACGGCATACTTCAATAGGAGTGGTGGTTCACTGCAGTGACGTGGAGCACAGCTTGCCAAGAAAAGCCAAAGCAGTTCCCCATCAACCTCAACACACCCTGGCATAGTCGGGACGGGTATGAAAAAAGAAACAATCTCATGGCAAATGTGCCCATACAGAATAGGAAGCACTTCAGCAGTGCTCATGCGAACTCGGTAGGTGACGTGCTGCTCACAACTGTCCAGGGACGATTGGAGTTATGCAGCAGGTACTGTTTTAATGAAGCAGGACCAGTTTTGGACCACAGTACATTCAAACCTCGTTGTGACGAAGTAGCATATTGCACAAAAATTAGTTCATTATATCCAAAAATTTATTATAAAGGTATATTCCTAATTACAATGTCTATTGCAGGATTATTTTTCATTCGTTTTGTTATAACTGATATTTTGTTATATCGAGGTTTGAGTGTTTATCATGGTACAGATTTGCACATGCATATCAAGAAAAGTTGGACGAGTCTAATCATCCGCCCACTCTGCTGCAATGTTTGCTACTGTGCACGCATTCCCTGTCATAGTTATGAAATACTCCTTGGTATTGACAGCGTACTCATGAATAACGTTGCACTAATTAGCATAGTGCACGTGTTCCCTGCCATAGTTATGAAATGCTGCTTGGTATTTCAACCACATGCAATTTATTGCACGGTGGCTGAAAATCAGAGAGGTGAAAATTCTTTCCCGCACTTTAGTAAAAAGGTGAAAGAAAGACCTTGTGTTGACTATAAGCAACATTTACTGTGGCACCACACTTATTTCTTCCCTTTGGTTTTGGGACGTAAACCCCAGATGCAGTAGACTTTTTTTAAACGGAACCTGATGGTACCAAAAAATTATGTTCCGTTTAACAGACGATTTGCTTACAGAGAGATAAATGGAGGGCCAAATTCAAGTATTAAACCAATCAATTGGGCCAGTTGTTCCATGTAACCGGCAGTTCCATTTCAGACGTTGCCCCGCCGCGGTGGTCTAGTGGCCCAGGTACTCGGCTGCTGACCCGCAGGTCACGGGATCGAATCCCGGCTGCGGCGGCTGCATTTCCGATGGAGGCGGAAGTGTTGTAGGCCCATGTGCTCAGATTTAGGTGCACTTTAAAAAACCCCAGGTTGTCGAAATTTCCGGAGCCCTCCACTACAGCGTCTCTCATGATCATATGGTGGTTTTGGGATGTTAAACGTCACATATCAATCAATCATTCCAGAAATTTCCGTTTATTGTTTATGTATTATTACTTCAATAGTACCAGCGGCCTCTGTTAGGAGATTTGTAACCAGCAGTTACAGTGTACTACTGTTTACCACATACTTGCGCCAGCTTTCCAGCATGAACGAGGTTCTACAGTATACTACTGGCACAGTGAATGGCAGACTTACCATGGTACCACCACTTGGTCTTCTTGGGGTTTTTGTTGCATGTCTTTACATAGAGTGAGTTGTCAGGTGGTCGCTTCTGAAAGAAGTAAAATAGAACTCAAATTCTGAGGTTTCACATACCAAAACTACCTATATTATAATTATGAGGCAGTTCACAAAGAGGAGGGAGGTGAGGGGAGACACCGAATTAAATTTGATCACTTGGGGCTCCTTAATGCGCACCAAATTCATCGTAACAAGCCTGAAGCCTGAGCTAGTTGGTCATACTTCATAATGGAACAGCAGCCCAACCACATTCGGACAGGGGCATTTTTAGTGCGGAGCGCTTCAGGGTCCTGGCTTTCTCATGTTATCTCGTGTAGCGTGATCATTCTCACAGTAAAGCACTCAATGCAGGCCATAAAAGCAAGTCCAGCAATGCTCAAACATGGGTGAAAATTAACTAAGAAGGTTCATAATGATACAATTAACAGAAATAGCCAACGAGCAATTGCATTAACTCAATTGCTAAAACGTTTTGAAAACATGGGACTGACAGCATATGTAAACTACCGTAACAAACGGAAAGTCTATCAAGCTCAGCAAAGAGGACCGCACATGTCGCACCCTAATATTCCCCATGTCACAAACGAGGTTCTAATTATGCTCGGGAAACCCTACATGTTTACCTATATATCAGAGGAAACTATCACTGGGTGCCCGGTTGGCACATTTTTGCACATAGCCTCTCTCTCTTTTTTTTCTTATTCTTTTATTATTTGTATAACAATCCCACCGAGGTGTGGCTGCTGTGGCCAGGAATCAAACCCACACCCTCGTAGTCACCAGGCTGATTAGCATTTCAAAAAATCAGTTTGTGCATACTGAAAGCAAAAACCGAGATGTGCCTGCCAACTCTCCTGAACTTTTTTTAACGAAGTTACGAACTCTGGCTCAGACTACGGTTTTAAAAATGTCTTGTCACGCTACGCTGCATGGAAAATTCTAACCGTCAAACTTCTCTTGAGCTGATAACAGGGATTACAAAAAAAGACAGTTGTACCTTTGTGGTCCTATCGCAACGACACAATACATCATGTTTGGAAGTGGAACTTTGCTTTGAACAAGCCTCATCATTGTACAGTTCATAAAAGAGGTAATTTGATGAGTTATGTCAACACCATCAACGGAATACCTTGACTGTGTTCTGAATAGGGGCTTCAGTAAGTAAACCAATGAAGAAGAGTTTACCTGTCTATGAACACAGCACATTAGTTTTTGTTCTTTTTTTTTTTTATTGGTGGCTCATAGACCTCGCGACCCAAAGTTTCATGTTGAAAAATTTTTATTTCTGTAATCTGTTAATGTCGTACTCGAATTCGCTATTTTATTTTCAGGAGTGATGGTGTGTCCTAGCCCAGCTGTTCTTGCCACAATCTTAGTTAAAAAACATGAAAGAGAGAACGTCACTAAACAAACGTTTTGAAAGGTGAACTTGTTTGTTTTTTTACAGGGCAGCAACGTTTGCCTATCTCTGTTTTGACTATTTTTCCTCATCTATCTTCTGCCTTGGTATACTGAAGTTGTCAGAAGAGCATGGCGCATCCGAAAACGCTGAATCAGTTGTCCAACCGACATCCCATCGAAACGTGTCCCGTTTCCCTTCGCCAACCCAAAGCGCGCACGCGCACCTTCTCCTTGCAGCTGGACAGCATGGAGATGATGCTGAGGCAGACGGACTGCACGGACAGGGCGGGCGACCAGTCGTCTGTCAGGATGGACAGGCAGATGTGGCCATTGCTGTACACGTGAGGGTGCACCGGAATGTTGGGCCCCAGGAAGGTCACCTGCGGCAAGAACAGAGAAGAAACGAAATGTTGAAGAAGTGCACAAAGTGCCAAGATTATGCAGTTCAACTCAGATGTCAGGGTTGTTCGAAAGAGAAGGTACCAAACAACACTACGGCTGCAAATGAAGACGTCATTCACGGTGTACGTCAAGTGCCCGATCACAATTATCCCATCAGTGAATGAGCCTAAGAATTCCTAATTTCCAGAATTCCTGAGGCCGTGATGAGACCAAGACCTTTACAGTATCCTTGCATTTGTCGTTCGAGTTGATGTGCTTCTTTTTCCAATTTTTTTTCCATAAGACGAAACGCGTGCAAATCGCCGGCTTGACACCTTCCACTTTCAGAAATCAGATGGCAGCTCCTCAATCATCGAACTTTGCAATGTGGACGCCATCTTGTGCTCACACACACTGCTGTGTCAATCGGACAGCACTCTTTATAAGCGTATCTGCCCTCTCCTGCACATGCAAATCATCTTTAGATGTTTCACTACGTTCTCTCATAGCAGCATACACATCTATGCTAACGATCATGTTGTTAAGATGTTTCACACCTTTTAATTTGAACACACGTTGTGTAACAACCAGCTATAACAAAGTGAACAGAAAAAAGAGTCCTGCCATCAATGCAATGTTACAACCACAAAGTTTATAACGCATGTCCAGATGAAGTTTAACTACAGGTTCGGCACTGCCAGAGTGCAATTATTTCTATACCAACAACAATGTACTACACTGTGTAGCACACACAAGAAATGAACACAGTACAGCAGGCGAACAAAAGGCCACTTATCACACCTTTTGAGACATACTTACACATCGAATGCAATGCCTTACAGAAATTGGCAGGTGACATTTGCCCCTTCCAGAAACCCATACCTACATTGTTTCACAACAATTTTTTGCAATAGAAGTGTATTTGCGAGGACCGTATTGTGTTTGATCAAGCGTGCGAGCAAACTGCAATTATCTCTGACCGCAAGCCAAACGGTGCAATTTCAGTTTCTTTGGTGCGGAAGTATCCAAGCCCCAAGATGATCAAATCATCCGAAAAGCAACACCTTCCATAGTGCTGTACAGATCTGCGGCATTTGCCAAACTGGAAAAATGGGATTTTAGCAAACATGCAAGATATGCTTGAAAAAATATCAGGAGACACAAAAGAGTCCCCAAGACTGCTAAATTTTGGCAAAGAAACAACTGACTAGAAATCATACAAATTGAAAGGGTCATTACAGGTACAGAACATATGGCTTGTGCAATTATTTTTTCCTCTTGGTGTTCTATAGTTTTTGGAATAACGATGTTTGCCACTTTTGCAGCGGTGCCCCTTTTCAAGCGTATTCTGGTTGCACATTCAAGCAAATGATAAAAATAGGCATGGTTTTGCGAGACCGTAAACAATTGCAAGGCAGGAAGAATAAGGATAACTTTTGTGCGCATGATAATTGTGGCAACAGTACATGAAGGGGACAGCACGTGAGAACTTTCAAACAAGCAGCATTCTCTGCTTGTCTACTAAATTTGAAATACCATAGACCAAATCAGTAATGTAACTTTGACCTTTACTGAGAGCACAAGTCTGACACCCGTTGCAATAAATCTGTAGCGAAACAATGCACCATCAGTCATATTCACAAAGGAAAGATTCGTACATGCACTAAGAAGTTAATGACAATATATTTAGATTCTGCTGCCTAGCGACTAGGAGTCCATTCCTCTGTGTTAACAGTACGTATGTTACAGGTGAACAGATTTAAAAAGAGGTTATGGCCGTTGCTTTTATAGCTAACACTACAATCATTTTATGGTGTATGCATAGTGCTCGGTAGGTGTACGTCAAGTTTTTAAACTTATAATGTTTTCTTAACAATACTTGCTATCAATCGTGGGCACATCTTTTTTAAAGGCAATGTAATCGGCACACAGTGTTGAAAGAAGCAAAGAACTTTGCAGGCAACATCAGCATGCAAAGCATTGTTCACAGGAATTGCCAAGCACAGAGTTTTCTCAAGCAAGATGACCATTCCAGTAATGGAACACAGAGCACACCCTAAAGGATGCAGTGCAATGATTCTACTGTTTACAGCATAAGGTGGCATCTATGTGCTCACGCCGTTCACGACATGGATGCAGTGCAAGCGCCGCTTCAAAGTAAAGAAACGCACGCAAGATGACAATTTATTCATTGTTGCACATGCATTTCTTCGCTTTACCATCGAGTGTGCATGCAATAAGCTGTTTAACAAAATGTAAAAGTATTTAGATGAAGGCTCTAGACTGGAAACTTTAAAGGTACCAACATCTGTGTGCACTCCATTATGTTAATCACTTTGCACTTCTGCCCAACTAGTTGGCATCTGAGATCAAGCGCATACCTCTGGAGAGTCGAATGGATATTTGGAGCTAAACTTGAACAGCAGCTGAAACTTCTCTCCTTCGTAGAGCGTGCCTTTGGCACCTTCCATGTCCACGATCCACCTGCGAAAAGTGAATGAACAGTTCTGTAGCGAGACATTCAATACGAAACTACGGAGCACCAATCATAGTACCTAGTATAAACATCTTCAGACGGCATAATAGTTTGTTCTCTCGTGACAACATCTATACGTTATTTCAGTCTGATTCCCGACACAGGTAGGTGTGCCTTAATGCACCTACGTGCGTTAAGACAGGTCGGGAAACCGAGAAAAACGTGCACGGCGCTTAGAAGTCAGAACTCCAAGCTTTAGCGTGGATCTATCTCGAACTGCACGGAAATTTTGCGTGGTCAAGAGAGACGGCAAACGATGCTAGAGATAGGCGCGCGTACCAGCAGCCGTACTACTTATCTCGACCGTTGTAGCATGCCAGACACGGGAGACACGACAAAGACTACAACAGAAATAAACAAAAGCTCCGCGCGTCGTGTGACACAGGTGGAAACGAAAACTTGTTCACGGGATCGCGCACGCGAAACATGATCGCGTGCGCGAAACATGAGAAACCACGAGCGCGCAGTACCGCGCTTGCTTTAGCAGCCTCGGCAGGTAACTTTTGACGTAGTACAATAAAACGCTAGAGAAGTGGAGGGGGTGCACTTACTGCGTTAGGTTGGATCCAACGTTGTCAATGTCTACGTTCACGCCCGGCGGCGGCTCTTTCTGCATGGAGAGCAGCTCCTTCTGAAGCCTCTTCTGCCAAAATATAAACACAGGGTGGCGGATCTTTGAGTCGCGGTTTCCATCGTCGCGAAAGCGCGGCAGCATGAAAAGGAAACGGGGTGGGGTTAGCACCTACTAGGAACAGACTCCCCGCGCTAGACGTCGAAGGAGCGTCCATTAGATACTTGCATGCATTTGCTCCGAGAAGCGCCATTTCTGTGGGGGGGCCCCATGGAAAAATGCAGAGAACACGCGTTGGGGGCCACCCGCAACGACAAAACGGTTGTGATCGCGTACGCCACTAAGTCAAATAAACAGGCGAACGAAGGCGTCACGCCACGACAACACACAACTAGGCGATGTGTTTTCGGATAGCGGCGGCCCGAAACTGAGCGCTTCGGAGAACTAACCTGCATTGACGCCATGGCGTTTTCGCTTGTGGTCGATTGGCCTTTCAGTCGGACGGTGAATCGCGTAGCCTAGGCATTGCTAAGAGTCCCATTCACACTGTCCGCTCCTGTGGCGGGGAGAAAACATTCAGGAACGCACGGTTCAGATCACTGTGTCACGGGTGGACCGCGAAAGAAAGAAACACTACTGAAAATACTCCAACGAGCGTGCGAATCTACGTACGAGTTGTATTCAGTGCTAGAAAGTGCGTCAATCAGCTGTGAGCGCTTACCCACAGAACACCGTGTATCGAGAGGACAACTAGCGCCACCTTGGCGGTTCACTTATGTCCACGCGCTTTTTTATTGGCGCCATAGTTTCTCACAAGCCATTCGACAGCTTCGACGGCAACTTGAGCAATTTTGCTCATGCCTTTACACGTTGACTGATTTAATCGGTTGTGCTGTTGCCATCCGCAGTTGCTACGGCTGTAGAGGTCGTAGCTTTATTGGTACAATGTTAGTTTTCAGTAGTTATCTGCTGTTTGTGAAAGCGCGCAGTCCCTTAGATACATTTTTTTCTCGTGTTTCTTGCCTGCTTTATGTGCAGAGATTACGAGGTTCATAGTGTAACCACAGAACACTTACCACAGAACCCCACAACTACACTGTTCGTTTTCAGTAGTTATCTGCTGTTTGTGAAAGCGTGCAGTCCCTGAGATACATTTTTTCTCGTGTTTCTTGGCTGCTTTATGTGCAGAGATTACGAGGTTCATAGTGTAACCAAAAAACACCTACCACAGAACCCTACAACTGGTTAAATAGAAAATTTCGGTGATAAATATTTAAGTAGCGACTTCCTGGGTATCTGCACATAACATTCGTTGAGTGGGTACCCAAGTTAGATCTCGCTGTGTCGACAGGCCCTGACAATTTATACAAGTTATTATCTATACAAAATGTTCCTGCCACATTTTGACATGGGAAGATTTCAGCCAAGGTTCAAACCATAGAGTTTCATACAATATTATTGTATGAAACTATGGTTTCAACCAAGAGATTAATGACATCATTACGCAGAGCCGAAAAGTTATGAAGTTAACGCGCTTGAAGCGACCACCTCCGATCTGGTCTTGCGTGAACAGGCACATGTGTTCTCTGGTACGGACGTGCCACGCCTGCAAACGTGTTTTTTGTCCTATGTACCGGATACAAATTGCATCAAATTGAATGAAGCAACGTCAAACTGGTAGGTGTTCTGTGGTAACGTCCGCGGCGCAAAAGCACGCTAGGGGCGCTGCCGTCGGCATTCGGTTTGGCTCTGATGAGCAGGGAGTTGAGGGAGTGTCCGCGATTCCGTGGTGCGACGGACGGATTTTCTCGAGGATTTGTGTTTTTTTAATCGAAGTGCACGAACGGGATAAGAATACGAGGGTGCGCCCTCTTACGAAGTAAGCCAAGCCTGCACTGGCCATCAGCAGCTCACCCTCTGGTAAGTCGCGCCTGGAAACGGTGCTCCCTCCGTTGCACCCATGACAGCGATCCAAAACTTTTCTCGCCCAGGGAGCGTTTGCACGGAAAAAGAAAGTATGCTATGAGGCTTAGCTTCGCCATGTTGCGATCGGCGACGCCCAAAACGCTCTACTCCGGCCGAACTTTTCGTCTCCGATCGTGCTATTGCCTCACAAAATGGTCGATAATTCCTGTCTCCGTCGACAGAGTCCGGAGCGGAGGCCGTTGCCGTGGGGAATAGCGTCCTCTGCGGACGCCGTCCGTCGCTTATGGCCGGTTCGGAACGGTGATTAGTAAACATTGCGAGCCGATTGCTAGCTGGCGGTGCGTTTGACAGCGTCCACTTCGACCACTTTCGAACTCCGCACGAATCTCTGAGCTCCGTGGCGTACGTTGCGTGGAATTGCGTGCTGCGCTACCTGTTAGATCGCGCGCATTCCTAGGAGAGAGCCGGGCGGCGGTATGTGCCACCAACGGGGCGGAGGCACTGGCGACCAGTTTTTTTTTTCGCGACGTGTGTTGTCCTTTGGCGCGTCATCGGCGATTCGAATCACCCCTCTCGCTTATAGTCGGCGTTCTGGTGTTTACTACGATCGCTGGCGATCTTGGCATCGGTGGTGACCCTCAGGCGTGGCGCAGCTTTCGCTTGTTTGGTTACGGGGTGGCCTGAGGCAAAGGACCGTGTCAAGGAAATCAAAAAGGCGGTCGAGGGGGCGCGGCCCTTCAATTTGCGCCCGGGATCCCGAGGAAAAGTCGTAGAAGCGGGTCTCTATTGCGATGTTGTGATCCGTGGGGTACGGCGTGGCGTCACTAGCCATACGGCGTTTCTAGCGTCGCAGATAATACCGTCTCGCTATATGTGCCAGTTGCGCAAAACGCGCCGTGCATCCGTCGATTATGTTTTGTATTGCGCGATGGAGCGTGAACAGCAATTGTACGCGGCCGTTGCGCAGGCTAGACGCTATTTGAGTCCTGCTGCGCGTAAAGCGTGCAGTGTGTCGAGCGGAGGAAGAAAAAAAAAAGCGCACGGGGCCAGTCTGAGGTTTCGGATTTCTCGTTGCGAAGCGAACGCTAGGAACTTTCGTGCACTCTTAACGAAATCGTCGCGGCAAGCGCCTGACCTCAAATCTACGTTTGGTGGTCTTGCGTATATGAAAAAAAAAAAAATTGTGGAAGAAAAAAAAATCAAGGAGTGACTCAACGTGTGCAAACGCAATGGCATATCCTCGACCTCTAGATTGCGGGGGAGTGACGTTTTCCATGCAAAAACTTCGCACAACTGGTGGTATGTGCATTTGTACCCGAGATGGTGTTGATCTCAAATGTGATATCGATGTGATTGAATTCAGCAAAAGCGTCACACATTGTATCCTCGACACATTGTACACGTGTTTTTTTTTTTACTACACTTGTGCCTTATAATAGTGGGACACGTTAGGTTAAAATGAAAACTGATCTGTAGTTAGGGCAACTATGTGTATGCCGCCTTTGCTTTTACTGCACAAGTACTGTCTCAGTAATTTGATCTGTGCAGTAGTGGCGTGTTTTCAAGGACATATGTTGTAGCTTAAAGAGTACTGTAAATCTCTTGTATCTCCACTCGCAAAAAAAAAGAAAAGAAAACAGCTTGGTGTTTGACAGGTTTCCTGATTCGTGATTGCTTAGAGGTCATGCATTGATTTTTCGCTTTGCTCCCATGGCCTTGGGAACAGTTCTCTTGTATTTGTGCTCATGCTGTTACCTGTGTCTGTGCTAGTTGAGAAGAAGGCACTTACCGCCGGAGCATAGTCTAGAAATGAACATTTAGAGTTTTCGGTCATGATTCGCTGATCTACAGCTATCGGAAGCCAACTTTGACCCTTCAATAAGCCAGCATGGAAATGATGTTTCGCGATATCATCATAAAGAAATGTTATTGAAAAATGTCAGTGCATGACAAAAATGGCACAAGAGGACTAACAAGACGTTCGAATCTTTACTTTTCTGTGTCACAAACAAAGTCCTCAAAAGATCAGAGAAAGCACTTTAGGAACGGAATTTAAATACTTACTCTAAACTTTTGGAATGGTTACACTTGCAGAAAGTAGGTTACATGAATACACATTTTTTTAGGGCTGGCTGTTTTTACATTGAAAGAAAAACTGCAATAAATGGGTTCCATTTTTGTTGCAAAGTTGTATATAATTAGGCAGAACCAAAATGCTCCCACCTTACAGATGCTAAAGCTCATAGTGTATCATGTATCATATCATATCATGTGTCATAGTGTATCATGTATGTGTCTCATAATTGATGAATTTCCACTATTGGCCACTGGTACTCCGTAAATGATAACGACCGCAGGTGAAACATATTGTACGTGCCACTGAAAGTGGGCAAATCACACTACTCATCTCCGGTCCACTATAAATGAAGGAAGGTGCACACGGGCAAAGACCAATCAAGATTTCTTTACAGACATAAGCAGTCATTAAAAGAACTTCAGTGGATTGTTGGAATTAAATCATCGATGACAATCAGGGCGGCATATTTCAGCTTGACTAGTTAACCATCTACACAGAGTGCTTGGGCAGTGTTTATTGAATGTTCACCGGGGTGTGCAACTTTTCGCATACCACATTGTGAAATGAATATTTTCCAATCTAACATGTTGCAAAATCCGTTTACGAACATTATTAATCTAAGTTGGTGTTATAGGTGCCTTGAGTGATGGGCGAGTGCTCGTCATGATGACTGTATTGGGTGTAGGCTTATTTGCTCATTTGTCTCGCTGAGAAAAGCTTATTTCTTTATTTATTTATTTATTTATTTATTTATAAATACTGCGATCCTTCAGCTGAAAGATCATGGCAGGGTGGGAAAAAAAAATGTTCGAGAATCGGTACATACAAAAAAATAATGAAAACACAATAAATCGTACGATTTGAATATACAAGGCGAACGTTCACAAACCCTTATTTCAACAAATTTTTCGAGTAACATAACACATAATAACGTAACACGTAGAATACGGGTTATAGACTAACACAATAATTACAATAAAACAAATAATACAATGCAATGTGTAGTGATGGTTTAGGCGATGCTGTTTTCAAACAATGACAGTTTCTTCTGTAAAACGACATCATTTGTCAGGCTATTCCAGTCATTAATAGTTCTAGGGAAGAACGAATACTTGTGGCAGTTAATCCGTGAAGGTAAAGGAGTTATCGTTTTACTATGTGCTCTTTATAGCAAGAGCTGTTATGAGATCACAACGAAGGTGTCACAATTGTTCGCCGCCTGTATCCGTTATCGTGCGTAATAAGAAAAAAATATCCAGGATGGAATGAGGTTCAAACCTGAGTCCTCTCCCTGACAGCTCAGTATTGTACCACAGAGCCATGCCGGTTCTCAAAACCCCTGCCCACGAGAACCCTGTACAAGCATTATGTCTGGAACCGTTTTAATGTGCGTAAAACAGAGCAGTATAAGAGTAGAATAACAACCAGGCGTCGCATAATGTGAATTGTGTAACCAAGCATCACACAATGTAAATTATGCATCGACTGGGTTGTTGAGTGCTTCTAACTATTACAAAGGGCTCAGCCCCAACTCTTGGTCATCAGCCACTATCTATTACTGGAGTAGTGGGTGCCCTTAAGAGAGTTTGCTGGTTCTAAAAGACACTTTTTCCAGTTTTTGCTGTGCTGTGCTTTCCACGAAGACCTGACAGGTTTCGGCTTGTCGTCGCAATAAGTGCTTCTCGGCATTCGTGAGACTTGCGTAATTGCTGGCAGTCAGTTGAATTAGGAAGGATCAGAGGACAAAGGTCTACTCAATGCTATTTCTCATAGGCACTGAGCCGTGTCGCCAGCTGGGAGACAGAAACAATTCCTTACTTTTCATAACAATCACTATACCGTAGGTGTATAGCGAGAAATAGCTTTTTGGTGGGGTGAGGAGGGTTCAACTCATTATTATGCTCGTGCATGTGTTTTTATGTTGTCTCCGTGTAGATTTACAATGTGTCAACAACATAAATGTGCGTGGAAGGGTCAAGGAAGAAAAAATCTGCTTATGCCTCTATACCCACGCTATACCACCACTCTCCCCCTCCCCCAGCCGGCATTCAACACAGGTTTCACCCCCCCCCCCCCCTTGAATCCTGATAACACTCATGATTTATCTGTACACGTCTATTTTGTTTTTCTAGCGTCCTTCCTGTTTGAAACCACAGTCTTGACCACCTATCTCGTAGTCTATCTTGTGCTTTGCGAAATGCATAGCCACACTCAAATTACATTAGTGAGAGAAAAACTTAAGGAGATTCCTTCTTATGCTGGTCTAGCTTGATATTACATTCCCCTCTGTTTGCTGGGCATTGGCTTCCGCAGCGTGTGAGTGTGCTAGAGGTGATAAGATAAAAGCCAGTTCAAGCGCCCACCACTTGGACGCATATTACAGGAGCACAGGAAGAATTTCAGATAAGGTCCAGATAAAGATAAGGTTGTTTCAGCAAGACCTGTGGTGAGGCGTTGGCATATCTCCACGAACTGCTGTGTGCTATGCGAGGCTGCAGGCAAGTTGATGGCCACTTATAGCATTTTCAGCCTGTGTAGGAAAGTTTATTGACCTCACGCTGTTTGAACTGAAGACACTGCAATGTGCGAAATGTAACAGTGTGCTTTGAAATGTGCTTGTTCACTTGAATTCGGTCGTTGGTGTTTCAGTGCAAGAAACCATTTAGTTTCAAGGTGAGGCATTATAGCTTATTTACGTGATTCCATTTTTTTGTGTGTGTGGGAGGGGGGGGGGGGGGTCTGTAACATCGTGTGCAATGATGTAGCCCATCTCACCGAAAAAAAAAAAAATCTGTGAAACATGTTTTGTATGTTATCCCTGTTGGCCAAAAAGAACTTTATTGCCCAGGGTGCCTGGAAATGTAGTATAATAGTGGCAACTGATTTAAGCAAAGTGCGGTTTGCATCTGTGTCCGTAATGTGTTTGACCACTCTACCGCTATACAGGTGGAGAAATATTTCAAACTTTTGAATAATCAATCGAATGCTGTCTGTGAATGGAATATATTCACTTCATAAACACAAGTATTTTTGAAAAAAAAAATACTTTTGAACACTGCAAACAACCAAAGTTGAAAGTGGAACAAAGCTGATAATTTATATCCATGTTGGTACAGTACAGATACAACATAATAACCTAGCTAAGAATATCTTACTCCGCAGGCAGCAATCACTTGAACTCTGCAAATCGTCCTGATTATCTAATCAAATGGATTATTTGTCCCTGATGCTCTATTTACACTTTTAACAAACGATGCTCCAAGACACGCACTTTAATAATAGAAACTAACTAAGGTTGCGAATACCGCGATGGGAACATAAGCCGTACGCTTATTATGAAAACAAATTTTTAGCACTTAAAAACTATTTGCTAAGTGTTGGACTATGATGGTATATTTAACATGCTGTTTACTTGTACCTTATTTAGGTTGTCTTAAAAAATTACTGTCTGCATGTCCATGTCGAGCAGGGGTGTCGAACTTACTTTAGCTAGTGCGCCACATTCACAAAATTTGGTGCCACTAGGGCTACAGTGAAGATGGTTGATGCAGAGTGCGTAGGATGGAATTTCAACAAAGTGTCACCAAACGAATGTTGCCATTTGAAAGAATGCCTTTTCTATATCTCATTCACGAATCGCTTGTGAAGGGGATTTGACGTGAAGCTTCAAGAAACATTGACACCGGTTTAAACGATGACTAAAATGTTGACGGCGGTTTACAAATAAGACTTTCATTCTCTAGGGATGTTTAGACTCATAGTGACTGTATGAGGTGCCTCACAAAAAAAAGAGTAATCTTCAAAACCAGTTTCTTCTCTGTATGTTACCCGAATGAAACGTTAATCGCAATAGGTAAGAAAATAGGGCAGTACCATTTAGGCACAAGTTGCAAAACTTTATCCGTCGTGAATCCGCGGGCCGCACGTTTGAGACCACTGATCTAGGGCATTGCTGTGTTGAGAGCCGCTCTGTGTAACAGCTTGAATTCTCCCGAAGTGACAGATATGGCTGTAGTAGCACTCTAGAAGAATTAAAATGGGAACTGGTTGGGTGTTTCTTGGGGTCTCTCATCCCACTTTCCGAGTTTTTGATGGGGGACAGCGAACGGTACGAAATAGGTGTTTAATGGTGTGTCTTGCCATTTATAGTTACGTTTCTTTACCTTGTGGTGCTTTATAGTCAATATAACAGAAGAAAAAAATTGAGAGCCCTTCTCCTATCAGTAGAGGCAGAGAAGTCAGGCGTGTGCATATGTGACCTATGACTGTCTCTTGCTTTCTCTTTCTTTCTTTCTTTCTTTCTTTCTATCTATTGGATTGTGCATATTCCTTCCTAGCCTTTTCCTTCCTCAGTGTTGGTAATCGGAGCTTCATCCACGTGCTTAGAAGCGCAACACTTGGTTCATTTACTCCAGTCAGCAGCAAGGGTCGTGCATTTGTATCAAAGCAACAGTGTTAAGTGGCAACGTAAAATGACAAGCAATCTCGATAGAAGATCTGATCATTGTATCAGAAGTGGCTGACCCCTGACAAGTGCACGACTTAAAGAGCATCAGTTATTGAAAAACTGCGCTTACAAATGCGCACGCGATTGGCTCAAGTTTTAGGGTTGTATCACTGTACGCTCACCAGTGACGTGTCTGTTTTTCTTTTTTCTTTTTGTTATAATGCCACTGTCAGAGAAATCTTTGACTTGTCACCAGCTTTGCTTGTAAAGCAAACTTTCAGCTATATTTATCAGCTTGAGTGGTAATTTATCTTGAGAAGGCGAGAATTGATGCCAGAAGCTGCTGTGGATGGACAGGATTAAGGATGCTATCTTAGCCTCAAAAGCATCTGCTTCCACGGGGAGCATGTTTGTTTCTCTCACGCAATGTGTATGCAGCCCAAAATACGGTAGAGCCTTGGGCTGTATTTAGAAGTGCCTGAGAAAATAAGGCTGTGTTCATTGTGAGTTGATCGGTGCTTGTTGAAGTGTAAACCTTCTCGCGCTGTTTGTTTATTTCGAAAGCCTGCCCTTAGGCATCAGGATTTGTGGTTTCAAAAATATACGTGCAAATTTGCCTCGTGTATAAAGTCTAACAGCAGAGTGGGTAGATTCATGAACCTAGTGGTTAAGAGAGGGTGGTTGGCATGGTCGTCGGCAGGATTTTCTCTCTTGGCGGGGCGGCGCAAACCAGTGTTGCATCGCGTCTGGAGGAGGGGGCGGAGAGCACTGGTATAGCTTGGGTGAAGGCAAGTGCTGGTGAGGCTAGAGGGGAGGGGAGGGGGGCGAGTGTTTTCTTTACACATCCTGCTGACACAAGTGGTGGTTGGCCATGTCTGAGTTAGGCTGTTCTTGCCTGTAGACGGGCGGTCTGAGCCATGGCCGAGGAGAAGGAGTCGCCTGAAGAAAATGGTCCTGCGGAGTCGAGCCCGTCGAGCAAGTCGCGACGGTCGGGGATCCTGCGTGCCCGCTCGACAACTGCCTGCCGTGTACACCTGCTTGATGGCTCAGACTACGAATGCCAGCTAGATGTGAGTGTGACGACTCGAGTTTTAATCGTCTTGTTCAGATCATTCCATAGGAGCAATGTTGCATAGGAGTGCAAGGGCAGTGCATTTTTGATGGCTGCTTGCATATTAACAACAGCCCAGAAGGGATTATGGCAGCACCTACGAGGGCCTTGTTGAGAAGGTTCATACATGTGAAGCTCTTCAGATAACTCATTTAAAAAGAAAAAAGAACTCTCATTATTGGATTGCTAAGAAAAAAAAATTGTCAGATGGTAGAATTCCTGGTTTGCTGTTGTCCGTGAGTATTGGTGTCAAGTTAATTAGTGTATTATTAACTGTAATTCTATAATGATCTGGTCAATTACTTTATGACGGGTTTATATATGTTGAGTTTTTCAAATAGTGATAAAAAAAAGGAAAAGAAACTCGGGGGGGGGGGGGGAGCATGAAATAGCTGAGAAGAAAAATTTTCACGTGTAAAATTCCAGGTGTGTCGTGCATAAGTGTTGTCATGCTAGTTACCAGCTAATTAGCTGTGGTTTGATAACTGACATTTAAATTAGTTACTTAGCAGAATTCATTGCACTCCAGAAATTCTAGAACTCTTTTTTAAAGTGACAGTTTCAAGAAGCTCATTCCTAAAGCGTGCGGCAAAAACTCATTCACTTTCATGGTGCAATGCAAAAAATGACATTTTGAGAAAAAAAATAGAGAGAGAGAAAGATGACTAATACAACACTTCTTTCGTGCAAGCTTCAGTATCTCGGTGCTGTACAGCCCTCAGTTTCATTAAAATTAGACATGCTTATGAACTTGGTGACATAGTTTGGGGAGTTCCAGTGTGTATTAATTTCTTCAATAATTTGTTCATTTCTGGTACGTAAAGGAAAGACTGCAGTGTTGCTTTGGTTTGTGACTTATTTCATAGAATCTATTGTTTATGCATGTTTGTCCTTGCTGTGCAGCGCAAAGCCCGCGGAGAACAACTCTTCGATCGCGTGTGCGAGTACCTCAACTTGCTCGAGCGGGACTATTTTGGCCTTACATACAGAGACCATGAGAACACAAGGGTGAGTTACTCAACATTTTGTGTTTTTTTCTAGTTCTTCATTTGGCTAATCTATGAAAGAACTGTGACGTTTATTTATTCTATAATTTTCTTAAGCTTTGCATTTGTTGCTTGTTCAGGTAGCTATTATTTTCTTCGGTAAATACATTTGGGAAATACCTGCCTTGCTCAATTATTCAACAAAGAAGATTGCAAATGTCAATTCAAAGATCAAACCAAATAGTAAAATGTCACTGTTGAATACTCAGACCAATACAAGATTGATGACTTGATAACTGACAAATCAGAGTATGAAAGAACAAGGCAAGGGCTATTTCTATTACAGGAAAATAGCCATCTTAATTTTAAGATAAGCACTAAAAGTGAATACCTTATGGATGTCCTAGAAAAGAATCAGTACAAATATCAATTGAAGCTGAATTATCAGATAAAACATATCTGTTGAGCTACAATACCTTGATGATGAGCAAAGCGAAGAAAATATCTTTTTTTTTTTCCTTTTTGCAAACTGGTGTTATTCACAGCTTTGAAGGAAAGGACTCAACTTTTGCTTTTTAGCTTAAATTGAAACATTTTAAATAGCTGCCACAATGGAATTATGACTGTTAATTTGGGAAACTTCTGCACTTAGCCGAATGAACTTTCTCAGTGTGCTTATGAGGAGTTTTTAAAATTACACTATGCGTGACTGATTCTTCCATCGGAATCGCTCGAAAGGAAAGTAGAATTACTTTTTTTTGTATCCTCGGTAGAATGTCCTTTATTGTTGCATCTGGGTTGGAAGAAATGCTGTTTCGAATTAATTTTTTTACTTTAGTCATATCCCCCTTCTACAATTTTATCAGAATAAGCCACTTGTGCAGGAGATAATGGAAATTGAATTAGCTACAGGACAAGGTGGTTTGTTATGAAATATTTGGGCGATTTTCTTTCTTGTCCACGATTTCTTAATTTGCTTTGATACCGAGCAAGGTCTCGCTTAGTTGCTGCCACTAGTAGCCAAAGAGTTTACTATGTACCTACTACAAAATGCTGTGTCACAAGCAACAGACCGTAAATTTGCATAATGTATTGCTCCCAGTGCCTGTAATTCTTCTAAGAATTACAGGCACCCGGAATGAAATGAGCCTCTTGACGACGTTTTTACTCTGCTCTCTACAGTAGGGAGGCATAGCCTTTCATTTCTTTTATGACTCTGTGCAGAACTGGGTCAACTTGGAAAAGAGTCTCTCAAAGCAGATGAAACGTAAGTCAAACAACATGTTGCTTATTTTGTACCCCTTAATTTCGCCGCATGCTGATTGACTGGGAATCGGTGATTGGGATTAATCTGTAATCCTTGTAGCTTGGGCTAATTGGGCATCCCTCTCCACCTAGGTCGGCCCTGGGAGATGTCTTTCGAGGTCAAGTTCTACCCTCCCGACCCCTCCCAACTCCAAGAGGACATTACGAGGTTGGTAAAGTTGCCTAACTAGAGTTAACTACCCTTAATTAACTACTAAGTTAACTACCGTATATACTCGTGTAAGGGCCGCACTTTTTTTTTCGAAAATTTTGCTAGGTGCGGCCCTTACACGAATCAGGCCGATTTAGTACAGGCAGTACAGGCCAAAGGTCTGTACTGTTTATGCAACAGTAGCAGAGTGCAAGAGTCACAAATGACATGCCAGAAATGTTTTTATTCGGATTCCATTTCGCTGTCCTCGTTCTCGGAGGAGCTCGCCTCGGCGTCCGCGTCTTCCCAGAGACGGTCATCTTCGGTGCCGTTCATGGAGTTCGAAATTCCCGTTACCTTGAAGCTTTTAGCAACTACTTCTACTGACATGGCACGCCACGCATTCAAAATCCATTCACACACCTGTTGGAGCGACGCCCGCTTCAGCCGTCCTGTAGGGGTCTTCTCGTGGACGCCTCCAGCCATCCATTCAGAGTAACATCGGCGAAATTCCACTTTGAATGGTCTGTTGACGCATACGTCGAGCGGCTGCAGCACACTCGTCAGGCCACCGGGAATGACGGCCAAGTCCGTACGAGTTGCGGCAACTCGGTTCTTGACGCGGTCGGTCAAGTGGCCCCTAAAGCTGTCCAAAACAAGGAGGGCTTTCCGTTGTAACAGCCCTCCAGGTCTGTTTGCCCAGACGGTCTTAATCCAGTCAACGACCAGTTCCTCGGACATCCAGCCCTTCTCTTGCGCACGTACGACGATTCCCTGAGGGAACTTCTCTTTTGGGAGAGTCTTCCTTTTAAATACGACGTACGGCGGAAGCCTCCTGCCGTCTGCCGTGATGCACAACATCACAGTGCACCTTTGGCGTTCTGCACCAGTCGTGCGCACAGACACACTTTTCGCACCTTTTAAATCCACTGTGGTGCTTTCCGGTGCATCGAACCACACAGGTGTCTGGTCCGCATTCCCAATTTGGGACAGGTCGTATTCATGCTCCCTCCTGAGAGCATTCACGAAGCGATGAAACTTAATGACGTGGTCTTCGTACTCGCGCGGCAGTTTTTGGCAAATCGTCGTTCGGCGCCGAATAGAAAGCTGGTTACGGTTCATAAACCGCGTAGCCCAGCCCCGACTTGCCTTGAATTGTGCCGGGGGTATTTCCATGTGGCGAGCGATGCTGAGGGCTTTGACGCGTATCATGTCAGTCGATACGGCGTAGCCGTCCCTTCGTGTGTCGACGACGTAGTTGACGAGCTCGCTTTCGAGTTGCGGGTACTTGCACTTTTTCCCGCGAAACGCCTTTCGGCTCCTGTTAGTAGCGGCGAGGGCATCTTTCTGATTCATCCAGTAACGCACGCGCTTCTCATCGACGTCGTACTTTCGTCCAGCTTCCCGCTTCCCGTGCTCCTCGGCATAGTCAATCACTTGCAGCTTAAATGCTGCAGTGAATGATCTCAGATGCCGGCCCATCGTCCGTCACGTGCGCTGGCTTCTGCAGGGTTCACTACAACCAACAAAGTGACACCGACGACACCGATCTGAAGTCGCGCTGCCAACGTATCGACACGATGCTAGGAACGATGCCAACAAAGAGGCCGCACAAGGCAAATATGGCGGCGCGCTGTCAACAGCGTGGTCGGCGCGTCGGCGGAAGTAGAATAAAAGCGGAAAAGCGTGCAGCGCCATCTGGCTGTAAATGAACTAACTACACTTTTCTGGCGGGACATTTTGAACTTTTGTTTTTTTTTTTTTTCGAAATATCCGCTTTCAAAGTTGGGGTGCGGCCCTTACACGAGGGCGGCCCTTACACGAGTATATACGGTACACATTTAGTTAACTACCCCTAACTAGGGTAGAGATGGTTGGTAGAGTGACATGTAGAGCCTGGTCAGCACACCAAGAGAAAGACAATTAAAACGAGCGGATTGGTATTTCCAACCGATACCGTATTTTCTCGCATATAACCCACACCTCTAACTTTGAACTCCCCCCCCAAAAAAAGAAAAAAAGTTCTTGCGTATAACCTGCATGCTTAGCTTAGAATACTGTTTTTGAAGTCACAACTGCACAGTCACAATCTCGTTTACAAAAGGTCTTTATTTCAAAACGATCGCCGCAACTTTGACAGCGCCGATCATCGCCCGACTCCCTGCTGCCATTCAAGGCTTCGTCGCCGCTCTCGAAGACGCAATTGTCTTGGGGGCCATCCAAGCAATTGCTGGTGGCGCACTTTTTGACGCTCTTGCATACCATGTCAGCTGGAATTGCCCTTCACGCATACTAGATTCACTGGTACAGCAACGCGATGTCTGGCCTCTGCTCGCGCCTCATTGGTGTGAGGTCGTAAAGGCCGTCGGCCATTCACACGGGAAACAGCCGCTTCATGTGCACCTTAAACGGCTTATTGAGGCACACGTCTAGTGGCTGTAGCATGGAACTCGTACCACCGGGTATGATCACGAGGTCGGTGTGGTGGTCAGCGAGGCGTGTTTACTGCTTCAGGGCAGTGGCCTCAAAATGAGTCCAACACCAACATTGATTGCGGTGCTAACATGGCACCTGGCCTCTTCTCCCAGATTATACCTCCTAGCAGCAGCTCTATTGCTGATTTCTTCCGCAGCAGATATAGTCTCGAGTTTTTCTTTCGTGGTGAAAGATTGCCGCCAAGACCCACTCATGGTGCTTCACCAGACAAGGCTGACCAACGGTGCAAACTGGCTACACCTGACTCGGAGGCAGGCGCTGTAAAAACGCTGTTGTGACGCTGTTCATCAAATCAAACAAAGCATACCAAAGTGAATAAACATGCTACGGAGGGGATCTATTTATGGCCTCTATTGGCTTTTTATTGAATTGCACCAGACGATGCCAATGGGGATGCGGACTGCACGGCAAGCCACGTATTGCCATGAAGCCGAGCTCTGCTTCCGGATTGTTCGCAAATAACCCATACCCCCACTTTTTAGGCAATTTTTTAAAAATCTTTAGTGTGGTTTATATATGAAAAAATATGGTATCTAGTTATACACTTAAACCTCTACATAACCAACCTGGATATAAGGAAATACTTGTTATAACAAAGTAAATGAAGAATAGTCTTGCACTAGATACAGTGTGCAGAATTCACTTTTAAAACAAATTTTTAGATATAACCAACTTATTCTCGTATAAGGCACAGCTTTGTCATAATGAGGTTTTTGCGCACTTTATAAGTGCATAGCACCTTAGGGGCCTGGCTTGTCTCCCATGTGTAGATGTCATGGCATAATAACGCTCAAAATCATGTGGTCAACACAGACATTAAACAAGGCTGGCATACTCAAAACTGCATTAAAATAAGCATACAAGGTCTTATATAGTATAGCTATTAAAAGTAACCCAGGAGTAATCACAGCAAGGGACTTGAAATTGCTAGGGACGCTTCAGAAACAACCTGACTGAACTCGCTGTTGATGTCACGTATCTCAACTGCCATAACGAGTACGGGAATTCGATAAAGCGCCACAAAAAGGTTGGGCACATGTCGCGCACCGAGTTTAGGAATTTCGATAACAAGATTCTACTCATGTTGGAGAACTCAATATGCTTACCTACAACATGTCGTCTATAGTTTAGTAAATGACGCAGTGGAAACTCCACGAACAGGAATTCACTGGGTGCCCGTGCTATGCGGTTCGTCAGTGGCGAAGCTACACTTAATTTGGGATTAAGAACTACGCCAACCAACACACATAAGGGACATTTTGCTCTCGACAGCCGCCGTGATGCTGCATGTCTTGTTGCTCATTTGTTGCAGCCCACTTTTGTTTAAACAAACGTTACATTTCATGTCACCATTTTTGTCCAGCTGATGTTGCCTTTGTTAGTGCATTTGTTTACCCGGTCAAGAAATACTTCTGTATGGTATCAAGACTTGTATGCTTCATTGCCCTGTTTCCGTGTGAAAGTTTACAATGCTTACGACCTCTAAAGAAAAAAAAAGCGTAACAGGAAAATTTTCAATAGCCTTGTTTTCAAGCATGTGCTGTCCCTCGTGTTTAGTGAAGAAACTACATTTATGACGTGTTTGTTTAGCAACAAGTATTGAGCGGAAGTAGCTCTCTGCATGTTTTGTTTTTGTTCTTCTTGTTTCGGTGCATTTACTGGTTTCAATATGCCAAGCTTCTTGAGTAGATTAAAAGTGCTTGCAATGATCCACTGTTCATTCCAAACTGCCGTATTTACTCGATTCTACCGTGCCTTGATTCTAACGCGCACCCGGTTTCCACGACGAAAAAAAAAAAAAAGTAAGACAGTGATTTCAACGCGCACCCATCTCGTTAGCCCGCACGATCACACCACTTGGGAAAACGACTCTTTTCTCGAGCGTCTTCCATTTAAATATGAGGTACGAGGGAAGCTTGGGCCTATCTCACGTGCAATGGAACATTGCCGTCACTCCAGTTTTACCGTGGCCCGATGTCAGCATGCGATCTTGCTTCACCCCCTTCTTCTCGACGGTTGTGGTGCCAGGCATGTCGAAGTAAAGAGGCATCCGATCGGCATTCCAGATTTGCCCAAGCAGGTAGCCATTGTTGAGATGCAACTTTTAGTATATGCCCGTTCGCCTTCGGAGGAAAAGCCTTTTCTCATCATAAAGTTAGTTAGCCAGCACCTGCTCGCTTTAAACTGGCTCCGCATTAGCCCCTTTTTTAAGGCTAACTGCATAGCCTGCACTTGGAGCAGTTCTGTCATCACGGGCCGCTCACTGCTCAATCATATACTCGCCGAGCAGCTCTTCAATTTGCGGAAACCGACCCTGCTGTGGTCCACTGAAGCCTTTGCGTGAATGTTTGCTGTCGACAATATTCTGCTTTTGTGTCCGCCAGTCCCGCACGCACGTTTCGGGAACTCCGAACGACTGCGATGCGGCCCGATTGCCGTCCGTTTCGGCACACGCGATGACATTTCTTTGAAAAGCGGCATCGTGGTGCACTCGTCGAGTTTTTGGAGTCGGCCCTTCTATGCCGTCGATGCTAATGCACTACAAGATGACGAACTCCTCAGCACACGTACGAAGTGCCGCACATGGGAAACACATAGGCAGAAATGGCCGATGCGCCATGCCAAAGCACGTAGGGGGTGGCCATTTTGGAAATGCCGATGGCAATAGAATGACCGTATTCATTTTTTTTTTTTCGTACTTGCTTCTAACACGCATGCGATTTATGAACTCGCTTAACGGAAAAAAGGTGCGCGTTAGATTCGAGTAATTACGGTATGTCACCATGTTAGTAGGAGTCTTAGCTTGCGCATTATTACAGACACCTTTGATATCAAAGGACTTAAGTATAAATATATGGAAAACGTGCAACGAATGTAAAATTTGCACTTGGTCTTCATTATTTTTACGAGCTTCAATGTTCGAAACTTCATGTTTAATGCCCATAATCTTGCGATAGCACCATGTAATAGGTATGGGCTTATAAAAAATGCACATTTATAAAAAAAATTTTGTACTATAAAGCTGACATCCTCGTGTCATGCTAGATAGTGCTTCTGATTTGTGCTGGATATTTGAAGCTGAGCCATCATGAATCTACGTTATTTTTTTTTAAATTTGTTTTCATCACATGGCATGCATTCAGTGCATTGGAAAGACTGAGTGCATCTCACCTGAAAGTCAAAATGTGTTATTTGATCAATTGACATTGTACTTGTATGTGGCGGCATTGTCAGCTAATGGGCTGTCGACATCCAATAAGCTAGCCGAGCTGACGACTGGCTACAATGACATTGTTGTCTGGCCACTCGCAGGTACCAGCTCTGCCTTCAGATACGAGATGATATCCTGTCTGGAAAGTGAGTACGCCATCTGGCACCACCATCTTTTCCTTTTTTGCTGGAGGAGACACTCTTGACCACAAAAGTGTGAATATGTTTTGATCAAGTAGCATCATAAGTGTGAGCTATTGTATGTGCTACTATTGGTAAAGCTATTACTGTTTCCCAACTATTGACGTGGCATTGTGCTAAGAAGCCTCGCAGCGGTGGTCTAGTGGCTAAGGTACCTGGCTGCTGACCCACAGATCAGGGGATCGAATCACGGCTGTGGCGGCTGCATTTTCGATGGAGGCGGAAATGTTGTAGGCCCGTATGCTCAGATTTGGGTGCACATTAAAAAACCACAGGTGGTCGGAATTTCTAGAGCCCTCCACTACGGCGTCTCTCATAATCATATGGTTGTTTTGGGATGTTAAACCCCACATATCAATCAATCAATCAATCGATATGCTAAGAAGTTATGAAATTTAATATTTGACGCCTGCTCTGTTGAGTGTTTTTCTGTTGTGGAACGGCATAGTTCTCAATTATCTTGTTCGTCTTTCGTTTCGTTATTGTAGTGCTCACTTCCGTGTTGTGAATGGCGTGCGCACTATCAGCATGACAGGGCATACTTGATTGATCGGAAAATGTCCTTCACGATGGTGTAGCGGTCACGGGGCTTCGCTGCTGACCTGAAAGTTTCAGGTCCAATCGCAGCCACGGCAGTCGGATTTTGATGGAATTCTAGAAATTCTAGAGGCCTACGTATTGTGCGATGCCATTGTACGTTAAAAAGCACCAGACGGTCAAAATTTTAGGAGCTCTCTGGGATGGCATGCTTCGTAATCGTGTTTTTTTTTTTTTGGCACGTAAAACCTGTTATATCATTATTATTGATTAATTGAAAAGTAGCGAGCGGAGCTATCAGGAAAAAAAATGCGAGCAAGTCAGGTTACGATTACTGCTGTGTTGCAAGTAGATATCCCCATATAGGTGTAACTGTGTTTAGAGCGTTGTAGAGTTTTTGTCGAGCGAATACAGTGTTTGTGGCTGCAATACATGTCATGTGGCTACGACATGGATGAGGGATCTGGTAAGACTTCTGAATGCTGAGCTGTCTATTGAGTGAACTTGGGCCCAAAAAGGAAAATTTAAAGTAGACTCGTATCTCATTATAAAAAAGTTGCATCTTACACGAAAATATGTTTGTTGTATACAAAAATTCGTTAGAATAGTTTATTTACAAGACCGTATCTTTTGCAAGACTATTTTTCATTTACGGTAGACTCACGATAATTCATGCATTCGGTCAGTCAAACAAAATTCAATTTTATGGTTGGCCCTCTATTCTTTCAATGTATTTAAAAGCCTTTTGATTCAAACTCAATCATTCGGTTGATTCATACTTTTTGCGGTTCCTTACCAGAAAATATCTGCTGCTTTCCCATTATTATTTAAAAATTTACGTGCTTGTATAATCTTAAGAGTAGAAAAATGAAAAATAAGCACCTCAGGCTTTTGAGGAAATAGAGACTTTGCTAGTAAACAAAAGTTACAAATGAAGAACACGCATGGTAAACTGCGATGCTTCTCAACAGGTATAGAGAGCTTTGTGCTGTAGGCACATATAGCTAAGAAGCAGTTGGCAATCCATGATTTCCTTAGAAGGTCTGATCAGCTGTAAATGGTCGACAAACTTGTGGAACTTACACCTCTGCTTTCTGTTCATTGCGTGCAGTTAGTGTTTAAAAACGCTCAAAAAAACAAAATCAATGCCTAATCATAATGTGTGGTGTCACTTCATCCACAGTCATATATCTGAGAACTTCTAATAATTAAAAAAAAAAAAAATCGGAGATCCCTTCGATGAGATTCAACTGTATTTCGTTATGACAGATATTTTGTTATATAGAGTTTTGAGTGTACAAGCAGTGCGTTCAGCACGCTGATAGTGGCAGCCACAGTTGGTGGTAATTGATTGGCAGTGGAGCGCATCATCTTTTACTCATCAATGATTGGAAATTTCAGCACCGTTGCTGGGGCTGGCATTAGGTCTGCAATGAGCACAGCTATTTGTGTCGTATGTGCAAATCTATCAGAACAATCTAAAACGCTCTAGAAGTTTTCTAAAATTGAGGCACTGAGCACTGCCTCAACGTTTTTTTTTTTTTGTGGTTGAAACCCATTGCATCCAAGTAAGTAAGTGTGCTGGCAGTATGAAACGTGTACTCATTAACGTGCCTCGGGCATGACTCTTCCAGGCTACCGTGCTCATTTGTGACACACGCACTACTGGGCTCGTATTTGGTGCAAGCGGAACTGGGCGACTTCGACCCAGACGACCACGGCCGCAACTACCTGTCCGATTCCGCTTCGCGCCCAACCAGACGCCCGAGCTAGAGGACAAGGTGATGGAACTCCACAAGCAACACAAGTGAGTGCCGGGGTGTCTGCCGTTTGGCTCCTGTGATTAGCAATAGCCTGTGGTGCCTGGTCGGGTGATACAGTGGAACTTCGATTATACGACTTTCAGGGGACCACGCAAAATCATCGTATAATTCGGGCGTCGTATAGTCGAAAAAACCAAGAATATAGGCGCTGATGGTCGTTGTTACCCCACAACAGTTGTCACATAATGCGTAAGAAAGTCCGCGGCAGAAATCTACGCTGCTCCGATGAAGGTAGAATAATTTACTTGAAAAAATTACAACCACGCGTTTTATCGGAGGTGTAAACAAATCTTTATTCTCACCTTTTAAAAAAATCTGCGATTTTTTTCTGAGAGTTTGTCCAGCCACGATGCATCAGCTTTCTTTCGAGAGCTGTGACATCTGGCAGCAAGTCGCCGATCTCGTCGCGTGCGCAAGCAAACCGCCGAATGTTGTCGACGTAGCACAACACGTCCACGTACGCCGGAGCGGACGAACCAGCCTCTGCAGTGTCATCCATCTCTTCCTCTTCGGAAGTTACCGCAGTGTCAGGACGCACAGTTTCCATAATGTCATCCAGCGACACTGCACTGCACACTGCAACGTTGTCGTCGGCACCAATGTAGTCCGCGAAGGATCCAGGCAGCTCCAGGTTGCCGAACTCTGGTTCGTCATCAACAGGCACTGCAGCTTCACTGGTAGAACAAGCACCGCGTCTATTAAAGCCGCAGTGCCTGAAGCAGTTGACAATGGTTTCTGGCGTGATTGCGTCCCATGCACTAGCAATGTAGTGCACTGCATCAAGCACAGAAAGCTTCTTATCCAACTGCTTGCATTCCATGCCCGCCAGCCGACGTTGCACCAGAAACTTCCGATATTTTTGCTTCATGAACTTGATGACGCAGGCGTCAAGTGGCTGCAGCTGGCTAGTGCACTTGGGGGGCAAAAATGTAACTTTCACATTTCTCAAATGCGACTTATCTAATGGATGGCCAGCGCATTGTCAAGCAGAAGAAGAATTTTTCTGTTTTTAGCCCCCATTTTTTGAGTCCAGCTGCTGCAGATATGTTGAAAACAGCAGCCGTCATCCAGGCTTTCCGGTTGAACATGTACTGGCACGGCAGCCTTTTCAAATTCTTGAAGCATCGCGGCTTCACAAACTTGCCGATCACGAGAGCAGGAAGCTTTTCTGAGCCGTCTTCATTAGTGCAAAGCAATACAGTAAGACGCTCTTTGCTTCGCTTACGCTTGGACAGCTTTCTCCTTTGAATGTTAATGTCTGCTCTGGCTGCATATTATAAAATAATCCAGTTTCGTCCGCGTTGAACACGTCGGACGGTTTGTATTGCCGTATTAATTCCGGCAGCAATGCAGTCCACTTTTCGACAGTGTCGGAGCTGACTGACGAGCTCTCTCTACAGCAGCGGCTGTACACAACTCCACTGTATTTTTTAAAGCGATCCAACCAGCCATTGGAGGCTTTAAAGTCATCAATGCCGCAGCGCAATGCAATTGTCTCCGCCTTCTCCTTCAAAATTGCGCCATTCATGGCAATTCCTGAACTGCGGGCCTGACGCAACCACTCAACGAGGGCCGTCTCCATGGCAGCATATTTGCCATCTTTCGCGGCCTTTCTGTTCAGGCCGAACTTTGCCGCATTTAGTAGGATGCTGTCTTTCTTTGCGAGGATCGTTTTCAGCGACCACTCAGAAATGTTCAGGTCGCGGGCAATGCTGGCCTTTATTGCTCCGCTCCGCTTCTCCGTCTCCTCGATTATGCGAAGCTTTTCTCCAAGCGCCAGCGGTTTTCGGTTCCGCGACATTGCGAGACGCAGCACTCGCAACCAAGAATTCGAAAGCTTCCTTGCACACCAATGTCCGAATACTGAAAATTTTGCACGTAGACGCAGCAGCTGCGGCGCACAACCCACCGATGAGGCAAACACGTGAAGGAATGGCTGAAAGGCAACAAGGTCCATTCGATTTTTGCAAGCGCGTACATCTGCGCAAGCTTCGATCAATCGCGAGGGGCTAAAACTCCCCAGCCCTCTTGTAGCTAGACAGTAGCTAGTTCCGGTTCCCGCGGCTGTCCTAAACGTAGACAGGCTCAACAATCACCGTTCAACACGTCCAGTACAACGACGCGAAATCTAGTGAAAGTTATCGCATGCTAGAAAGCGAGCTCAAAATTATCTGCCATGGTACCTGCTCACAGCTGTCGCTACAAAACCACCCAAAAGAAGGCAGAAAACAAAACAAAAAAAAAATGCCCCAATGAAAGTGCGCAGTGCAATGCGACTAAGCAAAGCGAATGCGCTCGGGCTGGCTCTGGACAACGTTGGCTCTGGCTAGCTATGGCCGACAGAGTGTCGAAAAATTGAAGAGGCCCTGTGGTGTCAGCGGTGGCAGCGCGGATAGTGTGCTAGAATGTGCGAAGGAACGAACTCGGTTCCTCGGTTCCTCGGTTTCCAGACTTTTTTTCATCCGGCCGCAGTGTGCTTGCATGGCAGCCTGCGTGCGTCATCGTAGGTTTTTTTTCTCTCGGACAGTCCAGCTAAGCGTCGTACGAGGCGGGGCCGGCATAAGATTGCGTCATAGAACTGAGGTTTTCAATACATTAGTTCTATGGGTGTTTTGCCGGGACCCAGCCAATTCGTCGTAAAACGCGGGTCGTTGCAGGACCGGGGGTCGTATAATCGAAGTTTCACTGTATGTAGTGTTGCCGTACAGTTGTGGAATGCAGGCGGTCAGACATGAGACCTCGAGTTGGAACAGGACATACCCGTTGCTTTTGTTTGACTTTTGTCTTTTGCGCACATTTCTTATAACAAGGATGAAGGACAGAGCCAGGGAAGAGATTTTATGCTTGTTCCTGGACCCTAGTAGCTGGCTTGAGTGTTTAGAGGGATTCAAGGGATAAGACTCCCTGCTCTGTGTAATGAGCCTGGGTCAAAAACCGGTGAAGGACGCAAGACTCTTGACATAGTTGACCCCCACAAATATCTTACTACTAAAAGCACCATCGCACAAAGCCGATGGCTAGATGTCAGTATTGGCAATGGTCGCATTAAAGAGCACAAAATTTACGTAATAATCTCCACACGGCTCGTCTTCACATTTTAAATAGGCCTGAGCCTACTAGTGTCTGTATATTGAAAATTTCACTTATGTCTCACAAGAATGAATTACGGTATTTTCGCGCATATAACCCGCACCAAAAACCCAAAAATTTCAGTGGCAAAGTGGAGGTGCGGATAATACGCGGGGTTTTTCCTATAGTGCTGCTTCACAGCAATGCGTGTTGTGCTGTTAAGCGCCTTAACAGTGTAGCGAAGGCTACGGAGGCGGTTTCCGCAAATTCCTGTTGCTCCGCAAGTAGCACGGCAGCTTGCAGCTGATTTTGGTTTCGCTTGCTTGCATCGTTGAAGCGTTTAGAAAAACATTTGGGGAGAGACAATTTGATTGTTCAGTGTAAAATCTCACTGTCACACCACAAGTATATTTTTTGGACGTTCGCGGCCGCTCAGTGACCCTCCACATTTCCCTACGTCACGGACGCCATGTTTACTTTTGGAAAGGGCTTGCCGAAAAGGTGGTGCTGTCTAAAAAAGTTCCATAATAAATAAAGCAGTATTTATTTCAGCAAGGCAAATGAGATGTTATAGTGCCTATAGAGATATTATCAGTAAATTAATGTACTACTTTTTAACGCGGTAGCAGGCATGCATTTCGGTTCTGTTGTTTCCAGGGTGCTGTTACAGTGTACTAGAAGGGGTGGTGCTGTCAAGTTGTCGCCGAGTGTGAGCACTCTTTACCTCGCTGATACCACTAGTTCTCCACATCTCGACCCGTTCGCCAAGCCTAAGTCTATCTGTTCTGTCACCATGAGTAGTGTACGGGGGCAGGCCTTCACGGCACAGGAAAAGCTTAAGATCATCGCCGAGAAATTTGGAAATCGCGAAGCGGGAAGACGGCACGATGTGGGCGAGTCCTGCGTGCGACTGTGGAGAAAGAAAAAAGAGAGCCTACAAGCCACGCACCGCGACCGTAGGTCATTTCGTTGCCCCAAGACCGGTGCCTACCCTGAGCTGGAGGCGGAGCTAGTAAAGTTCATCGAAGATGTGAGAAGCAGGGGTCACGCCGTATCGACCGAGATGGCCCAAGTGGAAGCGCGGCGACTTTCGAGGGAGCTAGGCCTACCTCACGAGTTTCGTGCGAGCCGCGGATGGCTGCACCGCTTTATGAAGCGGCAAGGGCTCTCAATCAGATGGCGGACTACAATATGTCAACGCTTGCCGGCTTCTTATGAGGAGAAGCTGCTCAAGTACCAGAGATATGTAATTGGCCTGCCAAAGCAGCACAATTACATTTTCTCGCAAATCGGCAATGCGGATGAAACTCCTGTTTATTTTGAAATGCCGTTGGACACAACGATTGAGAAGACAGGCAGCAGTTCGGTGAGCGTGCTGACCGGCGGAAACACGAAACTGCTCATCACAGTCTTGCTTTGTGCCCTCGCCGACGGCACGCAACTGCGACCGTACGTCATCTTGAAAAGGAAAACTCTACCAAAGGTTCATTTGCCTGCCGGTGTGGTGGTGCGCGCACACGAGAATGCGTGGATGAACAGTGACTTGTTCGTAGACTGGATCAAGACGGTATGGGAGAAGAGGCCCGATGCGGTGCTCGCAAAGAGGTCCATGCTCGTTCTTGACTCGTTCCGCGGCCGCACAACTGAGGAAGTGAAGGACAGCCTTTCACGCAACGTCACCGACTTAGTTGTTATACCCGGTGGAATGACGTCAATGTTGCAGCCTCTAGATGTCGCTTAACAAGCCCTTCAAAGCGCATGTCAAGCGCTATTACGCCGAGTGGATGGCCGAAGACTGCTACGACTTGACGCCGACAGGACGAGTCCGAAGGCCTGATATTGCCCTATTCTGCAAGTGGATTGTCGAGGCATGGAAGGCCATTCCAGGTGAGATGGTGCGAAAAAGTTTGAAGAAATGCTGCATTACAAACAACATGGATGGAACCGAAAATGACCTTGTGCATAATAGTGAGGACTGCGGCTCAAGTGATAGCTCTAGCGAGAGCAGCGACAGTGAGTGAATTGTAACTGGCCTTGCAGACAGCGTATTCTGCTTGCTAAATAAAGCTTTTTCTGTCTACATATGTGCTATGTTGCTTGAGCAGTAGCTTTGGTACAGCCTTTCCTGTATATCAAATGTGCGGGCAATACGCGAGGATTTTTTTTTCTTTCTCGGTGAGCTGAAAGTAGGGGTGCGGATTATATGCAGAGGCGGGGTATACGCGCAAAAATACGGTACCCCAGCAAAAATGTCAATGCGGGAGTCTTTGCATTACATTCAGGCCTACGACAAAAGCAACCGTAAAATCTGGCAATGAGGTTGATCGTTAAGGAAGGCAGTCTCACAGGGTTCTTTAGACAGTGTCAGGAGGTGCGGTATGTGTTTCGTGCAATTCCTCTGTCTTAAACGTAAACATTTTGACAGCAATCTGTCTGGCTGGGTAGAAAAGTTTAGAAAATTGAAATTGCTCCAGCCACAGTTCAAAAAGAGCCCGACGTTTCGGGACCGACTCGGTCCCTTCCTCAGGGGGTGACTGTCTTGGTCATGGAAGTGTCGTCGCGTCGTGTTCTCTCACCACGGCTCCGGCTTTCCCTTTCCACCACGTTTCGGAGACCATGAACGTACACCGAAGGCATTGTTCCCAGCGAGCGGTTCACGTTGGCAGGCGTATGCTGAATGTGCCAAGACTCGAGCAAGAGCCTCTTTCCCAAATTCCGTTCTGTTTCAATAACAGAAGCGCCGTCTAAGTCAATTTTATGGTCGTGCTTCTCGCAGTGCTCCGCCAGAGCGCTACGTTGCACTTCCATCTTCCTGACGTCGTTCTTGTGTTGGCGCATTCTTTCCGGGAAACACTTGCTCTCGCCTATGTAGCAGGCTGGACACCCAGAACACGACACTTTGTAGACAACGCCCGGGTGTAGCTCCCTCGGAGGTCGGTCTTTCGGCCGCGGTAGCAAGCGAGTGAGCGTCGAAACAGGTTTATGGATTACCGTGACCCCGGCTTTTCCTAGGACTCTCGAGAGCTGTTCACTTATGCCCGGCACATATGGAATGGCGACGCGGTTGTTTGGCGACTTCGTTTCTCTCGTGTGCGGTGGTGTGGCCAGGGCGGAAAGGGGGTCGGGCGGTGTGTCGCTTGCAGGTGTCTTTCCGCGGTGCGGTGGTTGTCGTCTCGACAAACGGCGTGACGCCCGGCGGATGAACGCTTCTGTGTAGCCATTCCTTCGTAGCTCGGCGACAATCCTCTTTTCTTCTTTCTTCCTCTCACCTTGCGACGTGCAGATTACTCGTGCACGTGAGAGGAGTGCGGAAACCACTGAAGCTTTGTGGGCAGTTGGATGACAGGACGAAAAATGCAAATACCTGCCGGTGTGAGTTGGCTTTCTATACACCGAAAAGGTCATGCGCTCGCCCTGTCGTCTGACTAAAACATCGAGAAACGGAAGCGCCCCGTCTCGCTCTCGTTCCACCGTGAACTGTATCGCTTGGTCGATGGAGTTTAGATGTTCGAGGAAGCTGTCTACTGCTGCCTTCTTTATTATGCAAAAACAGTCATCCACGTACCTCACAAATACTTTCGGCCTGTCAATAAAGGAGCCCAGTGCCGTCTCTTCTATGTGTTCCATTGTGAGGTTCGCAGCCGTAACTGAGATCGCCGCTCCCATCGCGGTCCCGCTGGCTTGTCTGTAGAAGCTCCCGTTGACGCTGAAATACGTCCCCTTGAGGCAGTATTCCAGTAGGCGACACAGTTCGTCGACGCCCAGGCAGGTTCTTTCATCCAAGAGCTCGTCTTGGTTCAACGCTGCTCGTGCGCTAGATACCGCTAGTGCTACGGGCACACTGGTGAACAGGGACACGACGTCGAACGAGACGAAGCACTCATCGCTGCTCACGGTCACATCTCTCATGCGCTCCACGAAGTGGCTGGCGTTGCGTATGTGGGTTGGTGTTTGCCCCACGAGCGGCGCGAGAGTCCACCGGACTCTCGCGCCGCTCGTGGGGCAAACACCAACCCACATACGCAACGCCAGCCACTTCGTGGAGCGCATGAGAGATGTGACCGTGAGCAGCGATGAGTGCTTCGTCTCGTTCGACGTCGTGTCCCTGTTCACCAGTGTGCCCGTAGCACTAGCGGTATCTAGCGCACGAGCAGCGTTAAACCAAGACGAGCTCTTGGATGAAAGAACCTGCCTGGGCGTCGACGAACTGTGTCGCCTACTGGAATACTGCCTCAAGGGGACGTATTTCAGCGTCAACGGGAGCTTCTACAGACAAGCCAGCGGGACCGCGATGGGAGCGGCGATCTCAGTTACGGCTGCGATCCTCACAATGGAACACATAGAAGAGACGGCACTGGGCTCCTTTATTGACAGGCCGAAAGTATTTGTGAGGTACGTGGATGACTGTTTTTGCATAATAAGAAGGCAGCAGTAGACAGCTTCCTCGAACATCTAAACTCCATCGACCAAGCGATACAGTTCACGGTGGAACGAGAGCGAGACGGGGCGCTTCCGTTTCTCGATGTTTTAGTCAGACGACAGGGCGAGCGCATGACCTTTTCGGTGTATAGAAAGCCAACTCACACCGGCAGGTATTTGCATTTTTCGTCCTGTCATCCAACTGCCCACAAAGCTTCAGTGGTTTCCGCACTCCTCTCACGTGCACGAGTAATCTGCACGTCGCAAGGTGAGAGGAAGAAAGAAGAAAAGAGGATTGTCGCCGAGCTACGAAGGAATGGCTACACAGAAGCGTTCATCCGCCGGGCGTCACGCCGTTTGTCGAGACGACAACCACCGCACCGCGAAAGACACCTGCAAGCGACACACCGCCCGACCCCCTTTCCGCCTGGCCACACCACCGCACACGAGAGAAACGAAGTCGCCAAACAACCGCGTCGCCATTCCATATGTGCCGGGCATAAGTGAACAGCTCTCGAGAGTCCTAGGAAAAGCCGGGGTCACGGTAATCCATAAACCTGTTTCGACGCTCACTCGCTTGCTACCGCGGCCGAAAGACCGACCTCCGAGGGAGCTACACCCGGGCGTTGTCTACAAAGTGTCGTGTTCTGGGTGTCCAGCCTGCTACATAGGCGAGAGCAAGTGTTTCCCGGAAAGAATGCGCCAACACAAGAACGACGTCAGGAAGATGGAAGTGCAACGTAGCGCTCTGGCGGAGCACTGCGAGAAGCACGACCATAAAATTGACTTAGACGGCGCTTCTGTTATTGAAACAGAACGGAATTTGGGAAAGAGGCTCTTGCTCGAGTCTTGGCACATTCAGCATACGCCTGCCAACGTGAACCGCTCGCTGGGAACAATGCCTTCGGTGTACGTTCATGGTCTCCGAAACGTGGTGGAAAGGGAAAGCCGGAGCCGTGGTGAGAGAACACGACGCGACGACACTTCCATGACCAAGACAGTCACCCCCTGAGGAAGGGACCGAGTCGGTCCCGAAACGTCGGGCTCTTTTTGAACTGTGGCTGGAGCAATTTCAATTTTCTAAATTCCTCTGTCTGCTTCAGAGAAGTCCAACTGTGGCCACTTAAGACTCTTTTTCTCTAGCTGCACGTGTATGGTGGTGACGCTCGGAGAGTTGAAGGAAAGCTTCGATTTCGAAGTCACAATTGAAACGCGGCTGACACAGTGCGCATTGTATCTTTGCAGAGGCCAGACGCCCGCGGAGGCGGAGCTGCACTACCTGGAGAATGCCAAGAAGCTGGCGATGTATGGGGTGGACCTTCACCAGGCGCGGGACTCCGAGGGCGTCGACATCACCCTCGGGGTGTGCGCGTCGGGTCTGCTCGTTTACCGCGACCGGCTGCGCATCAACCGCTTCGCCTGGCCCAAGATCCTCAAGATCTCATACAAGCGAAACAACTTTTACATCAAGATACGGCCGGGCGAGGTTGGTGTCTTCTTAGTTTTTTTCAGTCCTTGTTTTGAACTTTATTCCTTGTGTAAATAAAGTAGTGGGATAAGGAAGTTTTACTACTTTGTGTTGTGCACCTTGCGCAGTTGAGCCCCTTTTATAAAAGACATGCATTAGGGCACAGTACTTTTAATTGCTACCCTTTTTTTTCTCTCTCACGCTGTGTGTAGCAATACAGTTGATGTATAAAAATGAATAAGTGGCTACTGAGACATTGTTGTGGCAATCAGTGCTACAAGTGCCAAGCACATGCTACTCAGTCTCAAAATAGCATGAAGTGCTTGTGTTAGTGTAGCATGTTTTTCATGCTTAATCTTGCCAAACGTCATTCTGGTTAATTTTAGTATACCCTAAAAAAATTACGCACCATAAGGCATAAAACTTCACTGTGCCAATGGTGAATCGATGTTGAAAAGAATGCCGAGTAACCATTTATAGTCGATTATCGAAGCAGATGGCTCAACGCGAAAAAGCAGTATCATTTACCGTGGATGAGTGAACTGTACAAAACGGCAGCACGAAGCAGCAGGTGCAAAGCGAGCGATAGTCATTCAAGGGTGTTGCCATCGGTGGGGCCATCTTGTATGCAGACAGAGTATTCCCCCTGCCACAAGTGTCTTTTATTAGGCCCGGCAGCATGCAGAACGTCTCGGCCCGGCAGCATGCAGAACCTATCGAAGCAAACAGTATCCGGCTATATCAAAAACCGAATGAAGATTTTGACAGCGTTTCAGAATTCATACAACAACAGCCAGAAAAACAACAGCAAAGGCGTTCATCCAGCCCTTGAACATGCTCTGCAGTTGTGGTTAAAGAGAGTGTTGGCAAAGAACCTGCCTGTATCAGGAGATTTGTTGAAGGGAAAAGCCGACTCGTTCGCACTCAAAATAGGCATTGAGGATTTTAAGTTCACTGGCGGATGGCTTCGCGGCTTCAAGAAAAGGTATGGAATTCTGTTCAAGAAAGTTAGCGGTGAAAGCGGAGTGGTCGACCAGACTCTAGTGTCCAATTACCGTGTGGCGAAGTTGAGAGCCTTGCTTAAAAATACACTCCTTCGGACATCTTCAACTGCAATGAGACAAGACTGTTCTTTAAGATGCTTCCAGACTGTACGCTATCATTTTTGGTAGAATCATGCTCTGGCGGGAAGCTTAGCAAGGAGCGCTTAACAGTAATGGTAGGTGCCAACGCCACCGGTACAGAAAAACTGCCTCTTTTTGTAATTAGAAAGGCGAGAAATCCTAGGCGTTTTAAGGTGGTGAAGACCCTCTCTGTGGACTACGACAGTAACTCCAAAGCGTGGATCACGCAGTCTATATATGAAAAATACCTACGCAAACTTGACCGCAAGTTTCTGCGGCAAGGCAGGAAAGTCATATTTTTTGTTGACAAATGTGGCGCGTACAGTAGTGTGCCGAACCTTGAGGCCATTCGGCTGGAATTTTTGCCGCCTAACACCACAAGCGTGCTCCAGCCTATGGATCAAGGCACACTATCATGCCCGCGTGCTCAGCTGCACCATCTTGTGCCTTGACAATGGGAAGGCCGACAAGGTCGACATTCTGGCCGCCATTCATATGTTGGCCGAAGGTTGGAAGGCGATGAAAGCAGACACCATTGCACATTGCTTTAGGCATGCCAGGTTCGGTGCTCCCGAACAGCCCGAGGGGATGATCTGGACGTAGGCGATCCAGATGGCACCGATGGCAGGGAGGACCTCTTGCGCGACCTGTGCAGTGGTGGAGTGGATGTGCCTGCCACGATGACATTTAAGGACTTCACTCGTGCAGACGATGACATTGTTTTGTGTGCGGAGCCCACAGACAAAGACATTCATCAACGCAGTGGCGGAGATCGCCACCCCGGTGATGCTTTTGTTGAGCATTTATGGTGATGATGTCACCTTGGTGCAAATACGGGCGAACCAAATTCTTCCAAGCTTAGTATGAGCCAAGGCAAAATCATGGACTTTTTTAAGCCTGCCTGATGCAATAAAGTTAATATTTTTGACAAAAACTAATTTTTCGGACTGTTCAATTTTTTGAACTTTTTTTCTGTCCCCGCTATGTCCAAAAAATCAGTCGGCGACTGTAAATGCAAGATTTAGGGTGTGTTTGTGCTATGCATAGCTATTCATAATGCTGGGCACGGGAAATATTAAAACTATATTTTGAAGCATACGCTATATGGCTTAATATGATTACACGTTCGTTGTATCAATATCAGCTGTGTTTATATACTTGTAAACTTATAATTTTCTTTAATTTTTTTTTAATCCGGTAATTATTCTGGATGATTATGTACCAGTGTATTCTGTACAACAAACGCTTGTTGGTGTGCCTATGCTTTTGCTGCCAGGGTGGCACGACCCATTTAGGCATTTATTTCGCCTTCAGTCGTGTCCCCAAGGCTAAATGGAATGATTTTCCCTTGAATAAAAAAAAAATGAAATGAAATGAAATATGTACCACAACTGTGCCCCATTTATTGACTATGTGGTGTGCATTCCTTTGGGAAGATTCAAGTTGGACAAGAACATCATTCTCAAGTTATTTCTACTGTAAAACATCATTCTGTTCTTCCGTTTGCGTTTTTCTGATAGTTACATTACATAATGAATGAGTTCACTCTTATCACAGAATGACATTATAGTTAACCATAATGTGCACGCACGGTCGCATTATGAAGGATGTAAGTTCAGGACTTCATGGCTGTTTTGGATCTTGAGATACCAATGCAGGCCGTGGTAGATTGATCCTTTGGAGTGTTACGAAGCAGTCCCCAACATTCAGAGGAAATAACATCGTTTGAGGATGATGCTTTTTGACCAATACACCGCCGTATATTCTTGCTGGACCTACTGTAACAATACTGATTGTTGGCCTAGTTGGTCAACAATCAGTATCAGTTGGTCAACAATCAGAAACACTCAACGACAAGCACAAGCCGCTTGTGCTTGTCGTTGAGTGTTTCTTTACTTTGTGTGTGTATTATTTGCAGCCAAATCATGTCAGTTCCTGTACCTAAACTATATATATATATATATATATATATATATATATATATATATACAGTGAAATCACGTTATAACGAACCTCAGATTAACGATTTTTTCAGATTAACGAATATTTCGGAAATCCCCTTCCAAATGTCCATTGGTTCAATGTAAAAATATTTCACTACTACGAATTTCAGAATAACGAATGTTTCAGGATAACGTATCAAATTTTATCACCCTGGTACCTTAAGAGCACTTCAAAATAACGAATTTCTAGCGTAAAAATTACGTGCAGCGGTCTAAATGCCCAGCGCCATATGTGGCACTATCATCATCATCAGAGCTCCTGCTCATTTCTCCATGCGTTGCCTTATGCTAAATGCGCACTAGCCTGGCTAGCCCTATCGCCATCGCCAGTACCTTGTTTTCGATGTTTTTTTTTTTTTGCATGCTCGTTGAGCCAGGTTGAGCCTAACCTCGCCGCCTTTGTTTTGTTACGTGTCCGGCAACGTCGCACGATTGTCGTACAGCTTTCTCGTTTTAAAGGTTAGAGTGATTCGTTTCTGTGTTCGCGATGAGCTCCGGAAGCAGCGCGAAAAAGAAACGGAGGCAGTTTCCTTTGAAAGAAAAAGTGGATATTCTTTCTCAAGTGGACGCCGGTAAAAAACAAATCCACATTGCGAACAAGATGGGGGTTGCACCATCAACTGTCGCAACCATCCTGAAGGACCGACAAAAGATCCTCGAGCTGCACCGAGGGTCCCAACTCGCACCGTCAAGAAAACGACTCCGACTTGGGAATTTCCAAGAAGTGGATGCTGCAGTACTGACTTGGTTCAAGGACGCGCGTTCTCAAAATGTGCCGGTGTCGGGACCCACGCTGCAGGAAAAAGCCCGGCAATTCGCTGATGCTTTGGACATCACAGGCTTCGAAGCAGGGGTGGCTTCATCGTTTCCGTGAAAGGAATGGAATTACCTGGCAAGTGGTGTCTGGTGAAGAGAAGGCGGCAGACGCAGCAAGCGCTGCTGCATGGAGGGACGAGAAGTTCCGCGAAATCGTCGCTTCATACTCCGAAGATGGTATATTCAATGCGGACGAAATGGCGTTCTTCTATCAAATGCTTCCTGATAAAACCATGCATTTTAAAGGGAACAGCTGCAAAGGCGGCAAGCAGTCCAAAGTCCGGATTACGGTATTGTTATGCTGCAATTCCACAGGCACCAAGAAGCTGAAGCCCTTGGTGATCGGCAAATACAAGAAGCCTCGCTGCATGAGGAACGTTGTTTCATTGCCGTGCGATTATCGGGCTAATTCGCGCGCGTGGATGACACGAGAGTTATTCTCTGAGTGGCTATTAAAGGTGGACGATGAGATGAGGAGCGCAGGTAGGAAAATCCTGATTATCGCCGACAACTGCTCGGCGCATCTTGTTAATGTCAGGCTGACAAATGTACAGCTGGAATTCTTGCCTCCGAACTGTACGTCCTTGCTCCAGCCACTGGACCAAGGCATCATAAAAAGTGTCAAGGCCCATTACCGGACACGCCTGGTTCAGCGATTGCTGATAAATCTTCGGATGAAGCTGCCTACCTCCATCAATGTGCGACAGGCCACAGAAATGGTTACCGGAGCCTGGTGGAGTGTTACATCAACCACCATCCAGAACTCCTGGAGGAAGGCAGGCTTGGTAGTAATGCCATCTGAATCTGAACAAGGCAGCGAAGAAAGCGACGTGAGTGGCATGTGGCAAGAAGTCGTCGAAAGACTCGCGATGGATGCCTCGGTGACGTTCGAGGACTATGTGCAGTGCGACGACGAAGCATGCACGTCAGCCGAACTGACGACCGATGACATCGTCAGTGCTGTTCTTGGTGACAACAGCGACGAGGACGCCAATGGCGAAGACGACGCTGAGACTGCGCCCGTTAGCCAACCAGAAGAATTGCTTTCCAACGCTGACATCATGGAATGCGTGCGAAAGATGCGCACTTACCTTGGCAGGTGCAGCAATGCCACCGAAGCAGAGCATAAGAATGTGGACAACTTCGAAGCGTTCGTCCTGCGGCAGTTGAGCGGCACCCGCCAGGCTAAGATCACCGACTTTTTCAAATAAACGTGCGCTCATTCCGGAATACTTCGCGTTTTGTTTCTTTTCACGCTCGTCATAAAATCAAGCGTTTGCGGATGTGTACACAGCAAAGGTAGGCGACTCCTTTTGTTGCATTTACGATTTTTAATGCGAATTTTCGATGTTATCACTATAACGATATTTCAAAATAACGAACTATTATCCGCGGTCCCTTCAAATTCGTTGTATCGAGATTTCACTGTATTTGTGCTTTTTACAGTTCGAGCAATTCGAGAGCACCATAGGGTTCAAGCTTGCCAATCACCGAGCTGCCAAGCGGCTTTGGAAGGTCTGCGTTGAGCACCACACCTTCTTCAGGTGAGAGTCTGCTGCTTATGTCATGGGGTGTTGTGGCACATCGTTGGTAGAGGTTATGGTGAAATCCAATGCCTGGCGGCTGCTTTCTTTTGAGTTGATTTCCAAGGTGAAACGGCTAGAGAAACTGCCCTGTTAAGTTTTTGTTGGTGCCATATTTATTCGAATCTAGGCCGATAGTTTTTTTTTCTTTTTTCAAATTTCTTTGCATCAAACTCCAGAGTCGGCTTATATTCGAGGATATTGAAATACGCGCATTATTTCATTGAGAAATGCAGTGCACAGCTAATGCCACCCAGACTGCACTATAGCCGTTAGTAGCCAAGTCAACACCCGGTTTAAGTACACACATGAGGCCGCCATTTTGATCATTGTGGTGAGTGTTGAGGTGAGCGTTTGTCATTTCGAGTCTCGCTTCGAGTGGCCTGTGTGCAGCATATCTCAATGGCACCAAACAGGCGGTGCCATTGTAGGGCCGCTTATGCAAGGAACGTTGTCCTAGCCGCGGATTCGTCCTCCAATGTTCACGCCGGGTGAGACTTTGGAGTGAAGCGTCTGGAAGGGCTGCAGTGCGGGACGAAAACCCGGGAACATTGATTGTGGGCTCTTTCAAGAAGTTCGGCATATCCAATGCACTTGATGGCACCGAGGATTGCGCAGTTTGAAGACAGCGACAAAGAAGTCACCGACGAGGGAAGCAGTGACGACGACTCGGAATAAGCGTGGCATCGGCCAGCACGGCATCTTTATTATGCAACTAGAAGCAGTGCGAAAAAAACTACGTCAAAAAACACACGCAATAGGACTTTCGGCTGTATGTTTCGAGTGTTATTTGCATCGTGTACCTACTGCTTTGTTTAATCTTCATGTTCAATAATTTTTTTCAATTTCGCTGTTTCATTCGGTCTACATTCGGTGTATGTTTTTATTTTCCAGGCTTTGGATTTCGGAGGGTTGGCTTAGAACGGGGTTGGCCTAGATTCGAGTAACTATGGTAAATACTAGGCTTGTGCGAACAGTGAATTTTAGGTCTGAGGCGAATTCGAAGCGAATAGTGATTTTGGGCGAATAATTTCAAATCGTATTCGAATAGTATATATGGCACCTCTAGAAAAATGGGCATATTTATCATGACATAGTTAACCTGCACAATATATTTTTTTAACTGAAATAGGGCCTCTATGCAAATGTTATTTCTTTTTTCGCTCAAAGGAAGTTAGAACAACTTTGAGTAGTAGCAGGATTTCACTTTCAGCAGGATGGCAGTTATAACCCTTAAAATACGTAACATTTTAAAATTTATTATACCTAGAGCATATAAGCTGTCATAACAAGCTTTCAAGTTTAATAAAATGAATTGATTTAGGATAATATCTTTATTTAAGGGGACCACCTGACTTACAAGTAGCCATAAATTGAATTCACTAAAAAAGCTTATTGCCTCATGTATTCACCGCCGCAAGAATTTTTAGAATCCATCCAGTACGCACGGAGTGCATTCTCTCTTCTCTTCCCAATGAAAGCGCTGGAAGCTAAGCAGGGAGGGACGGCACAGGGAAAGAAAATATGCCACGCATGCTTTCTGAGCTTGTGGAGTCATCTGCCGAAAGAAGGGAGCAATTTTTAGCTGAGTGAGAATTTATTGTGAATTGCGTGCCGCTTGCTGCACTATAATATTTGGCTTGCGTGTCCTCGGTAGCGTCGACTACCGATCGGCAGCGTTTTCTTACAATACTTAAAAAGTGTTGCAGGGCCCATTGTGCCCTGTCCTGTCCACAGTGTTTTTCAATGACATATGCGCCCCTTTCCTCCTTGTCTTCTTCCGCTGTTTTTTCGTTTACCATGTGTGTGACCAGCTGGCTCAAACAAAACATAGCAGTGGTGCCTTTCCCGGATAAATTGAAATTGGTCGTCTTATCTGATCTGTTTGGAATCTCCTCTCTCTGCCTCTTCATTAGGCTCATGTCACCGGAACCCGCGGTGAAGCCCCGGCTGTTCCTTCCCCGGTTTGGCTCCAAGTTCCGTTACTCTGGGCGAACCCAGTACCAGACGAGGCAGGCGAGCGCCCGCATCGACCGTCCGCCACCTCACTTTGAGCGGACGCGCAGCAACAAACGTTTCTCTTCGCAAAGTGAGTGCCGAAATGCACCTTAGAGGCAAGGGTGGCGACTTCATATTAAAAGGCTGTTTCTGAACTGTTATGTCTGGAGGGATAAATTTAGTGGTTGGCTTGCTTAGCCTTCGAAACCTTATGTTGGAGGTTCGCTTCTCAGACCTTCAGTAACTTAGATGATGGAACTAGAGTGGAACCATGTCCATGATGGGGTGATGAGATTGCCTGGTTTTACTAAGTAATGTTTTGGCTATAGGTGTGCCAATTATAAATCGCAAAAAAACGCAGAGTGTTGAGCACGAGACGAAGACAAGTGTCGCTGCTTTTCTAAAATGGTGCAGCTCTGACGTACCCATTGCGACCGGCTGTATCGGAGGAGAGCAAACGTCACACGCTGACGGGCGCCCTTCGCCGGTCGCCCAGCGAGGAGACTGCGTCGGCCGATGTCCCCCGCTTTGCCACCAAGGCCTCTCCCGAGCAGGCATCGAGCCCTACAAACGAGGCGCCACCCAAAAAAGGAAACGAAGGTGGGTGGGGCCCTACCAGTGTCGGTTGTTTGCTTGCTGTCAATGCACGAAAAAGTAGAGCTGTGCGAATAGGCAAAATTCTAGGTAATTCTAGGTGCAGGTGGCAGGTCTTAAAGGTGCCCCCCTTTCTTGGAGGGTCATTACATAAGGGGTGGAGTTTTGTTTGGGTTAACAATATGCAGTGACCACAGTTCTTGGTGTTGAAAATGATCAATAATACGATCTTGAAAGGCAGTCTTGAAAGCTGTGAAGTGAGTTCGAGTATTGAAGTGCGAATGGAAATGGGATCGAATATTTTTTAAATATTTCTTAAACATTTTTCTAATACTTCAAAAAAAAAAAATGGCAGGGAAATGGAGTTGTAGAGGAGTCCTAAGACTATCTTTATGAGATAGCAACATGAGAGTGTTTCTTCTTTTCACTAGGTTGATTAAGCGCTGGCTGGGTGGGGATTAATAGTTGCGTTATCAAGAATGCAACCAAAATTGTTGCAAACAACACTTTGGTTGCGCCAAATCTGCCCCATAGACGTCAACATACCAAAACGTCTGAAATTATGGTTGCTAAAAATTTTCTGCGTCTGATTTATAAGTCTTCCTGCCCCAATTTCAAGCCCGAAATAATGATAAGACCCCACCTCTACAGCTGTCTTTTTCACGTTGGAACTGGTGTTTTCTCGAATCGATAAATTTGCAACGGTAGGCGAGCTTAAAAGATAGTTTTGCCGCAAGACGAATGGGATGAGGTGAAGCATATTAAAAAATTATAAGTAGAAGGGGTCATTCTTAATGGAACGTTGACTGCATTTGTTCATGTGCATTTAATAGCTTTTGCAGTAGTAAGCAACCAGTTTTCTCTCTCTCATTGCGTGCAGAGGACTATCCCAGTTGGGGGCGTGGCTGTCATGTTGCCCATGGACACCAAGAAGGATCAGCGCCTCAGTCTAGAGGCCAAGACACCTGAAGACAGGAGTCCCCTTCACGAAGACGGGGTCAGTACCCAGCACCCTCTTTTGTTTGCTGCGGGAATCTTCTGGTCATTTCTAAATATGTTTGTGTGCGCTTCATAGCCTTTCTTTATAGCATGCAAAGGACAGGTGGTATGACGGACTCCTCGCTTAGCTGGGCTGTGGCAGCATTTTTCAGATGCAATTGATTTGTTTTTTTTTTGCAGGCACGAATGACGATTCTTAAACATTAATTCAAATCAGTTTGTGCACTAATGATGCCGAGTCAAATATGTGTTGCGTGGCCTTCCAGTAATTTTCGCACGGTGTGCGATAAATTGTGAAAATTTAAATTTTGTAGCTGTTTCGTCGGTTTAATGAAGCGAGGGAATTTTCGAGCGCTTATCTCTTTTCAGCTGTCAAGTCATGTAATTCAGTTTTAAAACAGTGGTTTGTCGGGTGATGGTCACTTCCTTAATTAAAAGGTGTTTGAGAGTCATCCATATGATATCGGGGATTGTTCAAGAAATGTTGGAGTGCTGAAAACTTTGAATAGTGGCTGTTCAAATCAGAATCCGAATCGAATAGTGAGAGCTTAAATTTCCTGCGTAAAATTTTGCGATATCTGTGCACTGACCGGAGGCTCGTGGGGTTGACTTCCTGGCATGGTGGTTGAGTTTCCACAGTAACAAAATGCAATAGTTTCATGAAAGATTACTTGTCACATAGATCATAATGGTGGAAGAGCACTCAAGACATAGCCTTTGGCGTTCCATTGGGCACATCTGTTTGCACAATGTTACTTGATGTACTACCAGTTAGCCCACCAAGCCATCCTCGTGAAATGTTCAATTAGATTGAGGTGCGTGTTGAAAGGTGGCAGGTGGCCGAAATTTCAAGAGCTTTTCACTCTGTCCACTCTGTTGTCCTTCATACACATAAAATGGTCTTAAGGGGAGACGCTCCTCGAAAGCACTTTTTTTTTGTTATTCAACTTAGAGCTTCAGAAATTGGACCACTGATGCAGTTTTTCCTCCTGATTCCAAATCTGTAATCAGTTTTTACATAAGTGCAATAGTTTGGGAGTTGTGTTTCAAGTAATGGTGAAACTTGATAAGTTTTCCGGGAACTTTCGCGCATACTAAATGTTCATGCAGAGAGTTGTTCAATGGCTCCTTTTGCTCCCTATTAGCCATAGAGTGCCGATATCTAGCTAGAAATTGTGCTCCAACTTTGAAACTATGAAAAAAACATCTGTGTAGCAAACTACCCTTTTTTTCCACTCGACCACCATTAAATTTATTAATAGATATTTACAGCTGATAGGTTGTGCTGATTCAAGTAGATATCGGCACCCTACGCACTCTCCTCAATGTGTGTGCCAAATTTCGTCGTCGTATGACCATTCTAAGTGCCCGAAACACTTCCCGCAAAAAATGCAAATTGGCCAAAATTGCGAAATGAGAAAAACGCGTTTGAAAGTTTGAAAGTCTGTATTTACAAAAATGAAAAACGCAGTAGCACGAAACTTGTGCTGAACACATACACACATGTCCAGAGGGAATATCAGTTGTCTAAAACTCTCCAGCACCGTAGGTTTTCCCTTCCCGGCTGGTGCGGCAGGACTCCTCCACCCGGGCCCTCTTGGCTGCACTGCGACGGTGTGCCCTCGCCTCAGCGGTTTGACGCACATTCATCTTGTGCATGCGCATGCTGTCTCGGCGGTCGCTGAGGGTAACCAGGGCCTCCGAAGGAAGCACCCCAAGCTTTTCCAGCACCTTTTCAAAGCTCGCGTGGCCCCGGTTGAACCACAGGACTGCAATGGCTGTGGCTGTTTCCACAGCAGTCCGGGAAGCAAACCGGGTCTTTGGACACAGCAGCCATATTTTGCTGTTCAGGGACTCGGCCGCGTTCTGTGTCTTGCCGTGGAGGCACCGGGCAAGCAGCTTCGCATCTGTGAGACGCTTGTAGATTGGGAGGACTGCCAAACCCTGGGCCTTGGTCAGGAGGGGGGTGTGGCACGGTGCAGGCTGGCCCTGCGCCTCAGCACGTCGGTGCTTGCACCACGAGTCTGGGCCTGCAGGACAGAACTTGTGACTTCCAGCACCGTCTGTTGAGCACGAGTGCAAACATGAGGCCCATATGGCAGTGTACATCTTGTGGACATTTCCCCGATTGTTCACAATGGCCACCTGAAAGTAAGTTTGAAGCTTCTGGATGGTGGTCTCCTTCAGCTTCTCCCCTCGTGGAAGTGGCGTTGGCAGCTTCCGCAGGCCGGTGCCCAGACGTTTCGCCACGTGGTTGGTGCACTCCTCTTTTTCAATTGGAGTGTCAGGGTACACGTTGGCATCACAGACCCCGTTGTAGGCCTTGCTGTCTCCATCGCTTAGGAAGATGGTGAACCGCAGGGGTGTCTCATAGTCCACAGTCCTCTGCCAAATGCGCACTGCAGCTTCGGCCTCCATGGCATGCGAAGAACAGTCGCAATTCTTCTCACAAACGGGATGATGAAACGCCTGCCATGTTTCTTCATCGCCTCCCATGTCGTTATGCAAACTGCACGCCAGGCAGAAGTTGGAAAGCACTTCATAGTCCAGGCACAAACCAGTGTCCAAGGACACTACAGTTCCCACACCATTGTGGCTTTTGTGGCCTCTTTTTTGCCATGTGCCGTCAAACATGACTGGCACGTCACTGTTACCAGCCACCTCTTTGGTGACGCTGCGTGCCCTTTGCATGTTTTCACAGACAGCCTTCACTGCCGCACTGTGAATCTTTTTGCCGATAGCATGGAAGGTCTTATGGTGCATAGGGTTTGGCAATCCAACTACTGCACAAAATCGTGAAAGTTGCTCATGCCCGATACCGACGGCACGCGCTGCAAGCACCACTTTCAGGTTCACGGCAAAGGCGTCACGCGAACTCCCGCTGTCGTAGCTTCTGCTTGCACCGCGGCCGCCATCTGACGCGACCCGCTTCGACGAGTACGCGGACGAAAGGATGCTCTCCGAGCACTCCGCATTCTCGCAGTGTAGCTCCAGAAACGCCGAAAGGCCTTTCCGCTTTTTATTCGGTGCCCGAACTGCGAGTTTACTCTCGTGACAAACGGGGCATGCCGCGCCTGCGACGACGGCCGTCAATGCACCCAACTCGCACAGCACTACGCTTTCGGCACGATCGGCATTCGGCCTGACGTCGTTTTCGAATAACGCGATCTTTTTCTGCGATGCACTCACAAAATTCACTGCAGCGTTGATCTCGTCGTCGCAGTTGCCATGGTCGACGTTGCCGTGGTCGATGTTAGGCCTACCGGCCGCTGGCCCGTCGCGGACATTTTCGTTGGCGGTGGCTTTCTTGTACGTCCTCCGCCGCTTCCCTCTGAACTTGTTCTTACTTCTGTATTTCCGATGGTCGGCAACGGCCTTTTTCGGGCTTGCCATCGCACGAAAACAGCGAAAAATAACTCCGGAAAACAGTGAAGCGAACTACGGCAAGAAAACACGGGTGCTGTCAGCCAATGGTGGCCCTGCGTTAGTGGCGCGCGGTTTGAAACGGCGGGAAAAGACTGTTTTTGTTGCTTTTTTTTTAGATTTTTCGTGAACGTACGAGACTTCAAGAACCGGGATCGTGGAGAGTAAGGACAACTCTACACGAGCCAGCGGCCGCAATATGGCGGACAGCTCTCTTCGCGGCCCCGCGAGCACGCGAACAGCAGCCCGTTTTGTGTAAATTTCGTGATGCCGCGCGTCACTGCCGCTCACTCAGACGCGTTTTTCACTGACTTCTGATGCTTATTTCGCTGTGATATTTTCAGATGTCAAAATATAATGTATAAAGATGATAAAGCAACAAAAAACAGAAAAGGTGAAATTTGGAAAAAAAACGCGACTTTTCGACCCGCGTCTCCCCTTAAGACGTAAAACCCCAACAATTATTGAGGTGTTAATATGCGCATGATTTGATTTCAGGTAATATAGAGTACTATGGCTATGCACATCTTGTGCTGATTGGCAATTTCATTAGTGGTAAATGGGTGGGGGAACAGATGACAGCACATTGATAAAACGATGTCATGCTTCAGTCATTTGTATAACTGCGTGGGCTGATTGGGATTACATAACACGATGTCCAAATTTTCAGTTATATTTCTGAACTGCATGGTAATGTCGCAACTTGACTCAATGCCTGAGCAACTCCGTGTGACATGTGGCCGTGAGGGATAGAGTAGATGCTGAAAAGAATGCCTCCCTGGTCTGTTTATTAAAGCGTACAAAGAAAGAAAAACAACAGTAAAAACAAGCCTGCCCTAGATTTCCTGCCCATGCTTTTGTTTTGCAGCACTTTCATCTTATCTGCTTCGTTATTGGGTAAGTAAATGAAATGACCTCGGATGCAAGTAGGAGGCCATGAACACTTGATTACGGACAATGAGTAGTAACAGTTTGTGTTTTAAATTGATTGATTGCTTTTGGTAAAGTTCATCAAGTAGTGAATGGCTGTAGCTTTTGGAGTCAACTTTCTTTTGAAGTTGTAAGTTTGTGTAGTGACTTTCGCATGACATGCCAATTTAGTTCGATTTGTCAGATGTCTGCATCAGCGCTTTTCCTACTTTTAGACAATGAAAGTATGCAAAGAGATACAAGGCCCGAATGAAAATGACATAGGCATCTTTTGCAATGCAGGTCCGTGCAGGACAACTTTACGAAATAAGAATTAGCAGTATCGCAAACCTCAGATGCGTAGAGGAGACGCTGTTGAGTGTGCAAACGTAAAATATTTTAGTTACTCCATCTTATGTGGCTTTCGAACATTGATAAACAGTGGAGTGTTGTTAACTTAGTGGTAGTCAAGTGATAATGAATATTTTCTCTGCTACTTTTCTTGCATTTAGTGTAGCTCCTACTTGTAACCACGGTAAACCGTGTCTGAGTGATTTATGTTAATCTTTCATTTTATTAAACACATTTATGGGCACCCTGATTTGACACAGTGTAAAATCGGCACATTGCAACGTGG